ACCCCGTTGACCAGCGCGACCTCGTCGTCGTCGTCATCGACGTCAAGCCGACGCCATTGAGCAAGTCGTTGACAGTGGGCAGATTTCTGCGTGAGTCGGCCGTCGGCTGCTGCCATAGACACGCTTCGTACTTGCTTATCGTCCATATGAGAGTCACTGGCCCAGTCGGCGATCCGATCGATGCATTCGACGGATTTGAGCCCGTAAAGAGCGTGCTGCCAATCCGTACTCAGAGCCTCGTCGAACCATCTCGTGTTCTCGGGGCCCCACTTTTCCCAGGGAATGATCTCCCCCTCTGCCATCAACAGAGTGCGAAGATGCCTTTGTCTGCGGGACCCTGTGTGGTTCTGGATCATCGACGGCGATACCCCATCCGAGAAACCGATCGGGTCATTTCCAGGATGTCGTCTGTGAAGGGTCACCTTCCAGAAAGATCTTGACATTGAGACACCGAAGGAGTGCACAGGGGTGATCTCCTGGTCCGTTGGGTTTGAAAACGTACAGGCAACAGGCCTGGAGACGCTCGTCCGGCTTCGGATAATACACCGTTTGCCATATCCGGCCGTCGGAGGAAAATATCCGGACTGGGATTGCTGCTCATGCAGCTGCAGATGTACCAGTACACAAAGCCCTCGCCAGGGGAGGAAGGGCGTAGCTGCTTTTGAGGCGTGGATCAGATTGACCCAAGACGGGATTTTTAAACATCATAGTACTCAAACCCGACCCAACGGTCGCACAATCAGAAAAGTCGCATCCGAAAGGAACGTGAAATCCCGATCCCTTTCTATTTTTGCCATGGAACACTGTGATACATATCATAATCCACTCGAGACAAGTCGCGAAATCACACACCGAATTGTTACCTCCATGACGCCAGTTCCATATCTCCAGATGCGCTCTGACGGTCTCCTGAACCTCTTTGATCAGCAGCGCGCGAAGTCTCCGGTGATTTGGATGCGCACAGCGCCTGTGCTCTCGGTAGGCACATTGGCAGCGGCGTTGGCCGACTTGCTCAGACACGAGAATATGCCATCGGCAGTGAACTTTCGGGATGGGGCTCGTTGGTAGTAAGAGAGCGCAAATGGAGTTCATAGACAAAGTCCGATCTGGAGAATGCAGTTGTAGCGCCGAGTGTGGCTTGAAGAACGACGTACTGTGCAGGTGCAAGTGCCACGAGTATGAGCAGATCTTGCGCCGGATCCATGGTAAGTCGACGATGCGTATTGTCCCCCATCGAATGCGTCCACATCCCCCCGGAGAGTCTTCCGTGCTTGGCTCGGTCGATGGAAGCTCGAAAAGGAAATCCCAGACGTCAGTCGGTGATTATCTTCTCGTCCATTGGCATAATATCCACCCGCGAATTCATAAACACTCCCCGCCGGCGGCAAGGCTAGTTTCTGAACAGGCCCCAGTTCTCCGGAGACCGCCATCGTGCTTCTCGCTCTCGGATGAGTTTGAGACGCGTCGAATAGGCGGAAAGTCGGATGGCGGGAGGAGAGGGAGCATGCAGTATTTATCAAGCTCGAGGGTGAACTGGAGTCGCGAGGATTCGACGATCAGAGTGTGGAAGTACCTGCTAGCCTGGCACCGCTGATGAGCAAAACGAGGACGAGGACATCACTTTCAGACACCTACTGCGCTGCATCGCAACAGTTCATCCACCTCCAGCAGATACAAGACCTGACACAGAAGCTCGTCGGAAGTAGTGGACGATTACGGTCTGGAAGACCATGAGGAATCCTGCCTCCCTCAATGGATGCCTTGCGTTTGGAGAATACACGGGCGATTGGAGAACCGACAGAAGAGCAATGAGTTCGGGCTCCAGAAAGTGAACGTCAGATAGAAGGAAAGTGAGGGCACGCGGAAGATTTCATAATTACAGGTGAGTGAACTGATCCAAGGCGGGTGGCTTTGTCAGCATTTTTTTTGTTCTTCGTGACCGCGGCACGAGAATTCGCAGATACGAAGCCCTATGGTGCGTTTACATTGCATTGTATTTGAAGACGCTCCTTGAAAGTGTGCAGGCTGGGGCCTAACGGTGGTCGGCAAACAAGGCCCGATCTACTGACAGTCCAGGATATATAACATACTATGTCTATATCGCACATCTCTCTCATTTCAACTCCCTTCGGAAGCTGCCTTCCCGTTGTTTTGGTACGACAGGCAGCTGTTTCCCACCGTGGACGAGGGCAGCTCTGTACCACTGCTTCCAAGGCTCTGTTCCGGCCAGTGGACGAGCCCGAGTTGCCCAGAACACCCACTCCTCGAAGCGATCAAAGAAGAGCAATGACCAGACGACAGTGGCGGACAGCCAGGCCCCCAGAAAGACGTAGTGTCCAGCGCATGCTGGTCGGGGATGTCCAGTGGGAGCGGAACCTTGCGCAACGGGGCACTGCGCCATCGCTGACGGCGAGTCATCGAGTGCGACGGAGGAGCTGCGAATATGTCACAGAAGTGTTCTGCCGAAGAAGCGAAGAACACATGTTCCGCCGCGCCCAGGAGCAGTGCGTGCTGTGGCGACGGTGACAAGAAGATGATCGTGAATAGGCGGGCGGACAGGTACGTGATCGTGAGAGTGGCTGAGCCGGGGCACGAATCAGGTGTGAATGTCTGGGTCGGGATCGAGGGATTCCCGGGCACCAGCACGACAGCGATCTTTGTCTCCCTGACACGTCTCTGCAGAAAGTCTTCTACCAGACGTCGGGCGTATCCTTCGAATAGGCCTTCGTCGATCCAGCGCACACCGCCTGCAGGACGTTCGCCAGCAAGAACAGGAACTGGCTCAGGTCGGATATAAACATCCAGTCTTTTCTTGTAGTGAAGAATCCATGCGACGTAAGCGATCCTCGCAAACGACAGGAACAGATCGAAAGGTGCCGGGAAAGTGCGGACAGAAGATTTGGTATGGTCAGGGGAAGAGATCGAGTCGGTCTCAGAGTCGCCGTGAGCTTCAGTTTGTCTGGAGTCGGGGTGTTCTCTTCCGTCGCAGTGTACAAATCTACGCGAACCGTAGGCTGCGGCGGAGATTGCACATCGTCATCTGAGAACCCAATGGGAGAGTGCGACGGGTTCTTCACAGACACTTTGTAGAAACCGTTGCGGTCGTTGAAGGGAGACACATGAAATGCTCTGGGGAATGTCCATTGATGATCGAAACTGCTGAGGCATTGGAACATGACTGGATGCAGAGAAGCGCCGTACCCGGTGGGAAGAGTCTTGTCTTCTTGCTTGCCAGTTTCAAGGCAGTAGACGTGGCTTTCGCCGAATGTGTTGTGGACCTGCTCGTGTTGGAAACAGCGCGAGTGGAAAGCGGGATAGATAAATTTACCTCTAGCACCACCAAGTATAGATCGTCGCCGGGGCGATAACAGAAATACACGGTCAATGGATTGATGCCCTCGAAACCGAGTAGAGAGGGCATGGTCATCATCCACGCGTCGTCAAACCCTGCCTTGTCAAGCCCTCGGTCTTGCAGTACTTGCTCTAGTCTTGATCGTATAGTGCCACCGTTGTCGCGTAGATAAGGACTAGGTCGCAGACCGAGAAGTCTTGCCCATCTTCCGCCGTAGCCAAATATCCACCCCCGACCAAGATCCAAAGCATGGTCCTCCAGCGCATTCAAGGACACTAGGAGCGAGAGACTGGGATAGACAAACGCATGGTTGCTCTTCACCGGAAATAGACGCGCGTGAGTGATCTGGTTCTCGAGAACATATCCTCGAGTCTGGGTGGTGGGCATGGTAAAGGAGCGGTAGAGAGGTATTCTATGGTGTCTCCATCGCCAGGTCGGGACGAAGTCTGTGATGCCGTCATCACCGGCACCGATCGCTGCCCTAGTGCCGTCAAGATCAATCGGAGTCATCCTCTCACAGGCTGGGCCCGACCCAGCCTCAACGTGATCTGCTTTCCCACTCATCGTGAACCATGCCAGGCGAGTGGATTGACCTACCAGTTGAAATCTGGCTCTACATCGTGGATCGCTATCATAACACACGCGAAATCGCGAAGCTCTGCTCGACATGCCGTCAGAATCTTGCCCTCTTTCGGCCTATCCTGTATCGCGACCTGGTGCTGAAGGCCGAAACGTCAGCATGCCAGCCCAACGACGCAGTAGCAGACACGCTGGAGCTTCTCTCGCGCGACAAAGCTCTAGCAAGTCATGTTCGGGCTCTCACTCTCGATGCGACCTCTTACTCCGAGAACTATTACCGAAATCCCAATCTCATCCATATCCGATCGCTGGAGAATATGACGCAGCTGAAACGCGTGACTCTAGTGGGCGATCTCTCTCGAAATGCATCTCCCACTTCGGTGGATGTCTTCATCCAGATATTAGCGAAGCTGTGCTTGGACGAGATCAGTTTCCCCTCGCCCGGTGCTCGAACGTTCCTGCTCGCCAGGAACTGGGATCAACTCCGAAAACTGGGCAAAGCCAAGAAAACCGTTTTCTACTGTCGTGCTGACCACCACGGCCAGTCTTTTACTTATCTGCCCTCCATCTCCCCCTGAGATTACCAATAGGCCTGCTTTCGCTCAAGTTCGCGGCCCTACTCACCACGAAACCAGCAACTGTATCCGATCTCCACATATCCGCTCCTTTCACCCTCGTTTCAGATCTCTTTGCGCTACACTTGCCCCGTTTGCGAGTCCTCGAATTGAGAATCGTCGAAACCAGGCAGCGGCCATTGTCTCCGAGCGGATTCAACGCATTCCTGGCCTCACACAACGACACGCTAGAGGAATTAAGCATGTTGCGCAATTCCCCCAACGAAGCTCTTCAGCAAGCCGATCTTCGATTCGAGCCGAACAATCGATCCTTGGGACCGGATTTCCTTCCGAAGCTGAAGGTTCTCAGAGGGAACAGCGAGAATCTCTTCATGCTAGTTCGAGCGCGGTCGACTTGTCTGTCGCGTTTGGAATGCCTGGCGATCGGTTGGTCACGCGACCACGCAGAGGAAGCCACGCACACGCTTCTTTCCGCTTTGGAAGAGCGGGGACCATTCAGCAATCTCATCGACTTTGATTTCGCCTTCGCTCCTCGAGCCTCTGCCGCAGCTCCCAAATTCCTGCAGAGTATCGTCAGGTTCTTCCCCTCCTTGGCGATCTGGCGCGGTGATCTGCCCTTGGAAACTGTCCAAACCATCCCTGTAATCATGGACTTGAAGCAGCTTCGTGTTCTACACATTCGCGATGTCTCCGGAACTCAGCTCGTCCGCTCAGAGTGGCTCGAGAGCATTCCCAGCCTGGATTCGGTGATCGTCCGGCACAATCCTCAATCGGTGTCAAAATCCGTGTATGTAATGAAAAGAGATAGGTTAGGCCGCTTTCAGCTGTCTTATGACTGATGAGCGCGGCTGGGGTGTATTCTGTATAACTGGTATCCAGAAGGATCTGCACATATCAAAGTGCTAAATATATGTATTGTCGCCGTGGAGAGGCAGATGGGTATGAGGGAGCAGGTCGTGTGCACCGGGAAAACCAATGCATCACGAGTCCGACATGATTCTCCTGTAGACGGCCACACTGCGGGATAAGTCGATAACACCATAGGGCGTCGGATCGATGCTGCGGATTCGCATTGCACGATCGAATTCGGCCACCAAAGAATGGACGGGCCAATGGTGCTGAGCAGTGCCGGGCCGGCTGCGTGGGCTGCGTGGGCTGTGTGGGCATAGATGCGATGCGATGCGCAAAAGTACGGTCCGAGCTCAGTTGGCAGCAAATGACTATCAGTCGTCGATTTCTCTTTCTTCCCGGATCACGTAGAGAGAGGCGGGAGGAGAATGGGATGAGGATCGCGAGACAGCGAGGCCGCGGTTGCGCCGACGACCTTTGCTGGACTTCCGCCGCGGTGTAGAAGCAGGCACGGGAGAGGGTTTGCGTGTAGATGAGCAATGATGAGAAAACTCGTGGGAAATCGTATTCTCGAGGTCGATGTCAGCTTCAAGATCGAGATCGAGATCCAGGTCGAGATCAAGGTCCAAGTTCGCATCAAATACGGAGGGACGACAAGCAGTCCGCGAATGAGATCGTTCAGTAACGACTGGAGTGACTGAGAACTGCACAGAAGTGTTATAACAGGCCAGTCCGTGAAGAGGAGCTGGTGGCTTACGAATGGGAGTCTGACTGCGCTGACGCTGATCCAGGCTGCAACACGGGCAGCGCACTCTTGTTCCTCCTCCAGCTCGAGCTTCAGGTCTATTTTTGCAGGGTCATCAAAGTCGAAAGAGCCTCGGCGGCGGTGGCTGTAGACTTTCAAAGCTGGCGGAGGAGCGGGGGGAGCGGGCGCAGTCAACAGGCTGGTGCATGCGAAACGGTCGAATTCGAAGATCGGGGAGGCTGCGATGGAGAGCATTGCGGGAGGTGCAGTTTGCAAGGATAGAGGAGACCGCAGACGCAGATGTTGATGGTCAAAACACGAAAGCCTTATGTGGCCGGTTATATAGCTCGTTCATTGTATGCGGCACAGTCCGCAGTCGACCCGCAGTCACGCTCCCTGATGTGACGATCAGTGACGCACGCGACTGTGACCTGTGCTAGTTGTTGTTTCTCCGCCTTCGACTGCCGTTCCGGCTGGATGACCGACAGATGAACACGCCCCTTCCCCGGCCTCATGGGCCCCCAGGCTCTTTTGACGCGCAAGCGAGCAGAGAAATTCGAAGGAAGAGACTGCAGGCGAGGTTCCGGGACCGCGAGGGGTGCGTCCCTAGTCCGTCAACTACTACAACTTTGCTTATGCACATCCACAGGGTGTTCGTTCCTCGAACTCACAATAATCTGCTGGATATTCTGCAGGGGAATAAGGATGCTTCTGCGCAGGCGAGATCGCGTTCACGCTCACGCTCTAGAAGTGCATCTGTTTCGCCGACCAAGGGGAAGAAGGCACCTTCGAAACGCGTATCTTCGGTCGCCCGCAAGAGTGGTGGCACGGCTTTCAAACGTGCTGAAATCAATAGCACCTTGGAACTCGATCCTTCAGCCACATTGCCCGACGTCGACGATTCGATGAAAGTCGGTGAGTGGTTCATTGTTCATCTGACCAAGGCCGCCTTATTGACGCCCTGAAGTCTCAGGTACATCCCGCCGGCCTCCGTCTAAGACGGCTGCGGCGGTTGAATCTGGCGTTGATCGTGATACAGGTACCTCGAAACGGTGATCCCCCGTATTTCCAAGCTCAATCCAAGTTCCTAGAGCCTGCGGAATCTGATGAGGAAGTAGCCGAGCCTACCCGCAAGGGGGGCTCTAAGAGCGGGAGTCGAACTACCAAGGCCAATGTTGATAAGGGTATGTGATCCGTAGTACTCTTACACCGGCCTCTGATCCAGAACACGCAGCTAAACCCATTTCGAGGCGAACAACCTCCAAAGCAACGGAGACCAAGCGCAAAGTTTCCACGAAACGGGCGGAGATGCAAGATGGCGTTGAAACGCGAGACTCAACGGCCGACGCTGCGAAGCCAAAGAAACGCGCATCGAAAACGCAGGCATCTGCCACAAGCCAAGCTGACCTTGAGGCCTCCAAGCCTGTCTCAGAACCTGGACCAGTCCGGCGCAAAGGTCCGCATTTTTGACGTCCAAGCCACTGAAATGACGAACCGTTCTCTAGCGGGCAAGCCGAAGTCTCAGGTTGAAGATCCAACCAAACCTGCTAGCCGCACCACGAAGAGTGGAAAGGGCAAGGCGAAGTCCTCTGACAGCGAAGTGGCAAGCAAGGGCAAAACGCCGAAAAAGTCTAAGAAACGGACGGCGGAGCCGGATTCAGAGCCTGGAGCGGAGAAAAAGGCACCTAAACGAAGAAAAGTACAGCCTAAGGAGAGTCATGTCGCATCCACTGGGACGGAAAAGACACGACTGGAGGTCATACCTGAAGAAGACGAAGAGGAAGCTGTGATAGAAAAAGTTTCGGACATCCAGACGCCTGCCGCGCGGACAACTGCCTCGGTGCTTGCTCTGGATCCCCTTCCCCCGAAAGTTAAGAAACGCAGGTTAGTTCCTGACGATCCTGCGGACGAATTGCCTGGAGAGAAGGTCGCCAAGAAACGCAAAGTGACGACAGAAAACGACAAACCTGCCAGGGCAACGGCTTCTGACGTGCCGAAGAAGTCGTGAGTGTCTGTCCTGATCCTTTTCGTCTGCTGAGGCAATCTCAGTGTGAAACGACCATCCAAGAAGCTCAAGGAGAACTCCCTATCGCCTGCGGTTGCTCCAAAGGATGTACAGTCTGATAAGAAACCCCCCTCATCTGCAGGTGCTGTCGTGAAGCGTTCGGGCCCTCCGAAGAGTGTGTTGGAAAGGATGCGCACAGAACCCAGCGATGGGCATGTCTATGATGGCGAGCCTGACGAACTCGACCTGCTGAGATAATCTATCTCTCGTCTGTTCACAATCTCTTTCCTTATCTGTTATAGACATGTACGTGCATCGGTTTGTATTTCTGTGGCTTCATGCCACCAGCTGGGTCGTTTGACGACACGCTTCTTATGAAGTCCATGTGGCAAGCTACTTACCACACGCGGTTCCCGATGGGGAAACGTCGAGTCTCGACACTAGCATGATCCAGCTGAGGTCAAGCTTTTTTGGCCTGCAAGCACCTCTGTGCGCGTACAACCCTCTTCACCTCGTGCGGAGAGTTGGACCTCTGGGATCAACTCTGAACCTAAACAGAGGCGGAGATTAACATGCCAATCAAGTGGCAGTGTAGATCAATTAAGCTATTTTTGTTTGTCCGCCACGCTCACTGGGGCAGAGCCTGCCCTTGTTTTAGACCATGCGCTAGAACGGCGGCCGGAGTGATTCCTGATCTGTAGAAGAGAATGCCAGAGCTTGTGCCGATTCTCGCTGATTGCGGGGAAAGGACCTCGAGGCCGGCAATGAGGCACTCGACTATCAAGGGGAAGAGATCACTCGATGCTCAGTTGGTGGTGAGAAGAAGATGGGCAAGATTGGGCAAGTGTCCGGCCCTCTGGCGAAAAACCCGCACCGTTACTGGATCGTTACGTCGGTGATCGGGACTCGGCGGGCGGGAAGAGCACACATCGGGCATACGCTCCCTTAGGCGCACTCTCCCAAGATGCCCAGGGATTTATCCGGCGATAACCTCCGCACAGGCGATACGCGAAATCTTGAAGGTTCACGAAGCCCCGTTGAGTAATTGCATCAGTTATTTTTGAATATCAAAACTCTATTTGGTACTGCTTGGTGTTGTCGTTGCTACATACCTCCGGCTTCTCCGGAGCGATCGCCGGTGGCCAGTGCACAGTTTAAGGTAGGGTGTGTGCTGTCAACTACAGTCAACAAGCCCTCCTTCCCACCACCACCATGATCACTCGTATATCCCGGCTCTAGAGATGGACCTGGTCCAATAACCCCTCGAGGTTTGTTGGCGGGCGTTATCGCTCAGCGTCCATCACCTCTCTTACACGCAATCACAATGGTTCGTCTTTTCCCCCCTCTCCTCAAGTTGAATCGACTGACCCAGAGAATCTCGCAGGTTCTAATCAGCAGCAAGAAGTATGCATGGTCAGCTTCCCTCCTCGATCCTCCCACCTACACTCGCTGATGTTAGTTGCAGTGAAACTTGCATAAAGGGTCACCGCTCGTCCGCCTGTAAACACACCGATCGCCCGCTTTTTGAGATCAAAAAGAAGGGTCGACCGGTAACACAGTGCGAGCACTGTAGAGAATTACGCAAAACAAAGCAAGTCCACGTTAAATGTATCTGTGAATCCAAAGAACCGCCCTCCCCTACTTCTTCATGCTCCGCCCCCAAGAAAAAAGGTTGGCGCCACTTTTTCTTCCACCGATCTGCTTGCTGATCGGGCCCAAAGGCACCCCTGTCCTTCCTGCACACCCTGCCTTCCCTAACGGTGTGCCCGATTTCGTCGTCGCAGCGTCGACAGGGTCTGCATCTGATTCCGAACAAGGGGGTATGCTGGCTAGCTTCCCATACTTCCTGCGCGCGAGATGACTTAAAAACGTTCCAGGATCGGCTCCTTCAGTGCCGGGTTGCAACTGTAAGGCAGGCACTGGTGAAGGCTGTCAGTGCTGCACGCCTCGCAAACGCCCCGGCCGGCGCCGGTCCTCCCCGGCGGCCCCAAGTCATCTCACTCTCAGCGTTGCGCAATCCCCCAACCCCACACTCCCATCTCTGCACACTAGAGACATCATTAAGGCATCCCCGCCCGCTACTCCCAGTCCCATCCCGCCTCCCGCGCCGAACCCAGGTCACAGTCGGTCGGCATCACATCACATCCTCGCGCGGATCGCCGAGTTGCGACCAGTCTTGCCAAGGATGTCTGCCCGTGATGCGGCACTCCAAGCACAGGGAGGTGGCCAGCACGACCTCTTTCACGGTCATGGGCATAGTCATGGGCACGGCGAGCACTTTTCTCCATATGGAAGGGCCTACGAGCATGCCTTCAACTCTGCAGAGAGCAGCGCGGCCGGCAGCAGCTTCTATCGGCTCCAAGATGCTGCTCAGAGCAATGAATCCTTGATGAGCTCAGGATCACACTTGAGCGTGAGCTCGCATCCTCGGACCCGCAGCCCGCTCGAGACCGGCGGTAGAAGTCCCACTTTCAAGAATCCGAAAGCACCTCGCCGCGCGTCATTCGATGTGCATGGCAGCTATAAGCATTTTGGCGCTGCGCACGAAAGGGAACAGAATGCTTCTGCTGACAATGTGTGGCAAATTCCCCCCAGCCTGTCAAGGACTAGTGCGTCACACATCCAATCTCGAAGGGTCGGTACTGATCCAGTCCAGATGCTCCATATCCCCGTTCCGAAGGTGCCGTGCCATCGTACGAGGACTATGCGCTTTCGGATGCATCGGGTGGCTTTCCGTCCTCGGCGGAGTTAATCCAGACTTGTACATGCGGGGACGGTTGTGCCTGCCCCGGCTGTGAAGTCCACCCTCAATCAGCGACCTCGGATGCGACAGAACACCGATGTGCCGATGCGTCGTGTGCTGGCTCCTGTCTCAACTGCACGCTGATGGCCATGCCGGACTTTTCTTCCCACTTTGGGCTGGGCGGTGATTCGCCCATGCCGCTGTCCTTCGAAAACAACGGGACGACGTTTCTAGACGAGGAAGCCATGCGGCTAGGATTAGACGGGATCGATAATGCTACCGATCTGGGCTTGCTCGCTACGCTCAACGATCCGTTGTCCAGCTCCCTTTCGTCCTACGGTCAGATAGATGAGTGGATTCGGGAAGTGGAAGCATTGCCAATCGGGCCATTAGCTTACCCTGGCGTCGCTGGCGTCCCTCCTTTCGAGGGCCTGGACTTCGGAGCAGAGGTAGCTGTGCAGATGTTCGATGCAGAGAGGGGACAGGACCAAGTGATGCATGGATTGTCTGGGTCTGCGGTCACCGACTCTCACGCACCCAGCTCTTTTCTGGCCGTCCCAGGGCCGGACTCGCACCACCGTAGCCGGAGCTCGAGTTCGTCATCATCCGAGATGTCTTCTGGGGTCTTCGCCGTCGAGGGACTCAATCTCGATCGCCGGGAAATTCCTTCGCCGATCCCTTCGCCCATCGACATGGCCTCGTCGCCCAACTTTAAACTGGACGAGGCCATGTTCTCGTTGCCCACACCGTCGATGTTCCTGGCTTACGCGGACGACTCCATGTTCTTCTGATTCACGGCATACAAAATAATTTTACGAGGACGCATGACATGTCTAATACTCATGAGCCTATCTTATCCTCATTGTACCATCACCATACCATCCATCTACTTGCACTTACTTTCAGTTCTCAGCTGTGTTATTCCCTCATTCTTAGCTAAGTAGTAGTACGAGTTGACAAGGTTCTTTTTTAGCAGGGGTCGGCGCTGAAACATGGCCAGAGAGCGGCGGGAGTCTTGCAAAGCATCTTGTTCGCTTCTGCTCGCTCTTGATCTCGTAATAAGTATGTTGCAGCGTCGGAGTGCGGAGACCGTATCGCCCCCGTGCTTCGCTTGGCACAGTGATGTAGATCAACCACTTCAGGCCTCACTTTACCGAGCTCTCAAACTAGTAGACTACTGGAGCATAGCTCAAAGCCCTCCAAGTCCCGGAAACCTGCGCAGCTACTTACCACATACGTGACTAGACCGAAGTGGTGCACACGTGACCGCGTTTGGCGGAGTTATACCCGATCGATCGTTTTGGAAACACCACGCGCGCCGATTGTAACAAGGAGATCGATTTCATGCTGGTAGTGCAGTAAGAGCTCCTCAGTGCCCAGAGACGGCCAGGAGGACGTTCATTGTAGTCAGGGCATTGACAGTTCAAGGATCACAATATCAGTCTGCAAGCGATGCGATAATTGCGCAGCCACTTTGTCCTTTTTTTGAGGACCCTGTACTTATCGCCGCCCCTCACCCCACGGTGATCGCGCTCCCGGAGTATAATGAACCCAGTAACAACTCCCCGCGTAAGTTGCCTCCGTTCCTTCAGACAACCGCCACTCTCTTCTTCGAGGTATGGACTCTGACGACGACACCTTGCAGCGCTCGGACACGTTCACTCACCGTGGCTTTGCTGTAGCTCCCGATCCGTGCGTCCTGCCCCCTCGTTCTCTGCGCCGTATGCGACAGCGACTAAGAGAGCCACAGCCTTGCGGGTCGTCGTCGTCCAGGAGCGTCCGCTCTCAATGCACTCCTTGCTACCGCGCTCTTCAGGTGCTGGCACATCTTGTTGGCGTTTGGAGCATGGGCCACGCTCATTACTGTATTGGACCACCACAAATTCAAAGTCCGGGTCTCGGTGACTTTGCTCACTGTGTGAGTACTGCTGCTACTAACCACCAACGCCTTGTTTTCGCACTGACATGCGACAAGGGTCGGTACCGTTCTTGGTTTCATTATTTCGTACCGGACAACAACGGCTTTCGAGCGCTACAACGAGGGACGACGGCTGTGGTCTCAGATCATCCTTGCGAGGTGCGTCCAGTCTGAGCGCTCTTCGGCGGCTATCGCCTCATGTCATTCCCTCAGCCGGACTTTTGCGCGCACAACGTGGTTCCATGTCCCTGGTCAGTCCCGCCTTCTCTGACTTGTCGCTTCGTGCCATTAATCGTGCCATAGACATTCCAGTCAGCGCAACCGTCACCGCGGAGCAGTCGAAGGCGCGCAGCATGATCGAGAAGAAGACGGCCGTCAACCTGCTTGAAGCCTTCGGCGTCGCTGTGAAACACTATCTGCGCGGCGAGGACGGGATCTACTATCAGGACCTGTACTACCTCGTCAAGTTCTTGCCCGCCTACGCGCTTCCTCCTGGTATCCCCGCGAACGCCGACCTGTCTAATTCTGACGTTCGGGACTCGCTGTCGTACCACGGTGCGGGCGGCGGCCTGTCGCCTACTTCAGCTCGGCATCCGTCCGACGCCTCGTCGAGACGTCGCCCATCCACGGCGAAGGAAGGCAACCCCGGGTCATTCTTGTACCAGCGCTCGGCGCCCAGCACGTCGGCTCCGCATCTTCCGATGCCTGCCACTACGCCAGGCCACGTCAAGATCGAAGCCGATGGAGCTCACCGCCCGCCACCTCTGACCATCTCTCCGCCCACGGCGCTGAACTCGCCGGTGGACAACAAAAACAGCATGGAACTGCCCAGTGCCCAGTCGATCCGCTCTCCGAGGCCCAACGAGTCGCAAAAGGTTGTCCTTGCGCGCCAGGATGAAGGGTTACTGCTCCCCGGCAAACTGCCTCCGAGATACCATCTCTTCGATATCTTCCCCTTCTCGTTGCTCGTGCGAAGGCTGACCAATCGCGGACACGAAGTGAAGGGGAAGAAGGCAGCGCGTCTCCGGGCCAAAATGCTGCGGGAAAAGGATGGAGAAGGCTCTGGCACCCACAACTTGCCACTAGAGATCACACTTTATCTCGTGCGGTTTGCTCGACTGCGTGCGACGATCGGAAGCTGATGTTTCTCAGAGCTCTTACATCGCTGCTTTGCAAAACCGGAAACAGACTGATGTGCCGACCACTAGTAAGCTGCAATCTACTCACAAGGAAACAGTCCATTGAGTTCGCACAGACACTTTGCTCGCGGCCCTCAACCAGCTGGTCGATGCGCTGACTGGGCTGGAACGTATCTTGACCACTCCCATTCCTTTCTCGTGAGCCGTCTCGCACAACATTCCAGACTCTTCTCTCATTCTCTTTCCTAGGTACTCTTTCCACCTGTGGGCCGTTGCGACTATCTATATTCTTGCCATTGTAACTGCCCATGAGTTTTCTACCTCACTGCAAACGACTCATTCTCTCCCTACAGCCTAGCCAGATCGTCTCTGCTTTCGGATGGGTTACGATCCCTGCCACTGTCATCTTGTCCTTCATTTTCTTTGGCTTTATCGTTGCCGGAGAAGAAATCGAAAGTGGGTTGTATCTTCCAAAGATTGTCTCGTGGCTGATATATTCGTGTTACAGACCCTTTCGGATATGACAAGAACGATCTCAACCTGGACCACTTCACCAACAGCGTTATTCGTTACGAGCTGCGGGCCATCACTAGCGCACCCCCGCCGGACCCGTCCCGATGGGCCTTCTCTGCAGAAAACGACATGCTCTTTGTGTCTGACGTCGAGAAAGATGAGCGTGTTACCCCTGAGGAGTGGGTCCGTCGTGGCAACCATGATATCCTCGTCGCACTCGATGGACCGGGGCGCTCATAGATTTACGCTGCACTACTTGCATTTCGTTTACTGGGAAGGTGGATTTACTCGGACGCTAGTTTTTGCTTTGCTTTTAGCTATGTAGCCAGTCTGAGTCGTTTCAATCTGGAGGGCAGTTAGAGTCACAGTCACGGGACAGGATCACAACTGCACTTGAGCGCGTCTGCCACCTCGATCCCTCGTTGTCGTCCCACCTTCGCGTTTTTCACTCCGAAACATGTCTATCGTAACCATACGAGTCTGTTTTCTTCTGCGAGGCCTTTCTCCACTCATTTACACGTCGTTAGAACGTTGATTTCATCAACAACCCCGCAAAATTTTCGGACTCGTACAGATTTCGTGTTACATTCGAGTGTATCGCCCCGCTGGAGGATGGTGACGCGTCTTTCTCCCCTATCTATTACCTTCGCTCACCTCCCGCCTCTTGACTGTAGACTTGGAGTGGAAGCTCATCTACGTCTCTTCGCCGGGGAACGAAGAACTCGACCAGGAGCTGGACGACTGTCTCGTCGGTCCTGTCCCAGTCGGCGTCAATTCGTTTGAATTCGAAGGCACGCCGCCCGATCCATCGAAGATCCCCAAAGAAGACGTGCTGGGTGTCGCCGCGCTCATCCTCACGGGATCGTACAGAGACCAGGAGTTCGTGCGGGTTGGGTACTACCAGAACACGGAGTACGACAACGAGGAGATGAAGGAGACTCCCCCTCAGAATATTCTGTTCAACCGGCTTCTAAGGGATATCAGTACGAAGCCGCGGGTGACGAGGTTCCAAATTAAATGGTGCGTCTGCAGTCTTTGTTCGGGGGCTACGAGGTTTCAACTGAGTTTCAGGGATGTCTCCGCAACGGCACAGACTATGACTACCGCTGGGGCCGCTACCTCTGCGGTTGTACCTTCTGCGAACGATCTAGAGGGGGATGTGGATATGCCCACAGCCAAGTGACGACAACCTGTATCCGCTTTGTGTATTTCTAGTTGGCTCACTATCTATGGGGTGCTTCCATTTCTGCAAACACGTCTGATTATCGGGAATCGAACTGGATTGAGCATATGCGACCAGGTCTCTACATGACACCCAAACCAGCCTTAAGCTCGCTGGCAAGATCATCCATGCCCTCGAGACCAGCTGGGGGCTTCCAATCCTTGCCCTCGGCCAAGCATCTCGAACATTGGCACACGAAACCCCACGCCTCGAGCGCACTGCGTCGTTCTGCGTAGCTTCCAGCCGGATTGACGTAGGTGATGAACAATTCTTGGCCGGGTTCGATGTCTGTTGAGGCCCTGACTGTGATGCGGGACAGTGCTTTCCGCTGGTCCAGATGTCGCACAGAGACATTCGGTGAACATGAGTGATTCATGTGAGCGTGCAGGGTGTACAGGCCACCGTGCGCTTCCAAGTCTGCAGACAAGTTCATCCGAGGAAATTAACCCCTGCAGAAAACACTCACTCAAACTCATGCTGCCCAGCCGATGCAAAAATCCCGCCTCGTACTCGAAGAAGGCGGTCTCGATCTCCGCAGGCAGAGTCTTCCTCAGTATCCCCGCTATCCTGCGCTCCTCGTCAGAGGACGTCTTCTTCGGCTGCTCCTTCCTCGGGCGGTGGAACGCATCACAGAACAGCGAAAACGACTGTCTCCATGTCTTCCGATCCGGCTCGGACCTAAAGCTGTACTTGGCGCGGTCCTCCATCCCGAGCGACGCCAGCGCGCGCACGACGTTCCAGTCGTCCGCCTGAGCCTGCGCGGTGGGCGCCAGCGCCAGGCGCGCCGCGCACTGCGTCAGCGCGTGCAGGGCCATCCACTCGTGCTGCCGGATCCACCGCAGGAGTGGCATGCACGCGGGGTTTTGCGTCGGGCAGAGCACGGGGTGCGTCCTGTCCGATCGCTTGCGACACAGCGCGTTGCAGAACACGGCGGGGCAGTACTGGCATCGGGCGCGTATCTCTGACGGGTGGGCGAAAAGGGTGGTGCATTGGCTGCACGCCTGGCCCGCGCGCTGTTTGTCGTAGATCTCCCTGGTTTCGATCCGGATAAGGGCAAGGCAGCGCGGGATAAGCGGGCATCACACACCATTCTGGAGCGAGGATAAATGGGTCCTCGACCCAGATCGTATCCCCGGCTGTGATTTTTTGTTTCGCGACCAGCCCTTTGCCTTTGCGTTTGTCGAAGAATCGCACATCGACGCTCTTAGTCCATTGTTCTATATTCAGACCTTCGACAAGCCCGGAGGCCGGGTGTGGGGATGCCACGGTGCTGTCTTGCGGGGGCGCGATGGCGGCTAGAATCTTCCGCATGCGCTTTTCGCTGACCGTCCATTCGGGATAGTCGGATTTTAGGCGCGCGTGCAATTTGGGAATGCCAAGAGTGGGGTTCGCAGCTTTCAGCTCCGAGAGCGCCAGTTGTAGATCTTCATCGCTTGGAGAGGACATCGGGCGCAGACCGTACACAGATATGGAGCATGCAGAAAGTTGTCGATCCCTTGATCTTCCTTCATCGATATCTAAGCGACACAAGTCACATGAACACGGAACCCGTAACCATTGTGCATGAAATCATTGTGCATGAAATTCAAGAAAACGTAGATGCAAGAAAAGTGATTGGTCGTTACAGGAAAGTACAACGCTCTGCTACTTGTACACCTTCATAAACAAAAAAAAGACATTCGTCACAAGGCATGAGACTTATTCGGTGCGAGGCCGCTTATCGGCCCCGTCCGCATCGACACCATCGGGGCTACTGCGCTTCTCTGAGCCCGAACCTGGGACCGCCTTTCCGCCACGAAGAGCTTCGAGCTCCTGCTCGACCCGCTGCCGGTTCATCCGCTCTTCGTCCCACATTCGGCGGATCTCGTCCAGCTGGACTTGCAGATCGCCCATGGCCTGGTCCATCAAGAGCTTTTCGAGCGTCCACTTTTCAATATTGCGGGCCTCGTTCTCCTTCAGATGGTGGATGTATTGCACTGCACGAGACAGGATGGCCCCCTTGGCCTTCTCCCCAGAGCCGTTGGGAACGATGCGGCCGAGCTCGTTGATTCCTTCGTTGATGTTGCTGCGCCGCCTGCGCTCAACTTCTTTCTGCAGAACGTTCAGATAGGTGATGGCACAGCCATTGGGCAGAACGCACATGGTTATCTTTACGCTGACGAGTCCACTCGTCGCTGCCCATAGCAGCACCACCTCGGCCGCGCCCCTTTCCGCTCGATGGTTTGCGTCCAGAGTCCGTCAGTCCACCGTCCTTGTCCACGTAGTCGTCCTCGTCGCCTTCGTCGTCGCCCTCCGGCGCAGTCGGTGGCGGATTGGGCATGCCGCCTGTCCCGAGCATGCCGAGGTGGGCGGGTGGCAAGTGGCCGAGAGCTGGGGGACCGTGTGGATGTGAAGAGGGACCCGGGTCGCGGAACTGCCCGGAGAGATTGGAAAGCGTTTGTGCGGCATCTTCTTTGTTGAGGTTACCGTCTGCGAGTGACTGAAGGTGGGCAATCAGCATTGCATGTCATGTGAGGGCGCGTGCAAGCGCAGAACGATCACGTGTGGCGGATGAGCGACGGCGCGCTCAACACATATTCATATCTGGCGCCAGAGAGGCTGGGGATCCAGAGGAATAGCCACAACATGGAGCGACAAGCAACACTGTACGCCGATACAGGGAAATGCTAGGAATGGCAATCGCACCTTGGTCAGGACGTTCGGCAGATGTCTTAATAAGTTCATGAGCTGGTTGGGATCAAGTCCACTCCCTTGAATCTGGGAGAGGTCCAGGCCAGCAAGGTTGGGGGCACCGGCAGTGGGTGCTACCGGGGCAGAGGGGATGGCGGTGGCGTCGGGCGCTCCGGAAGCCATGTGTGTAATCGTCTGGAGGGGTGAAGAGGGGCGTGCGTAGTCTGGGAGATGATCTGAGGGCCTCAAGACACCGACAGAGTCAACTGGTCTCCGACAGAGGGTTGGTGGGAACCTAGAGGTAGGGGAGCAGCCTATCAATAAACAGGAAAAAATGTGAAAAAGAGGCAAGAACCGACCAAGATGAGTATTTACAAACTCAATGAGGCTTTGAATCTGGGGATGTTGGCAAGTACACAGCCGATGAGAGCAAGTGAGGCAGAGGGGGGCAGCAATTAGCACTCGGCGCGCAGATCACGAGAGAGGGGAGTGACCGAGGAGTGACCTGGAGGTCAGGCTTTTTGATGGTGGGCACGCTCCTCGCAGCCACATCTTCCCACGCACGGGCCAGATGAGCCACATGACTTTGATGCGGCTAAATGCGGACCACGTGTGTAGGCCTCGTTAAAGATTTTTCCGTTCACCCCCAGTGGTGCAATTGAGCAAAAGTACTTGCCAAAGAATCGTAATTGGTTGCGACCGTCAAATACTATGTAACACTGAAGTCATGTGGAGTTCTGTATAGACAACAGAGGACTCGATCTACTCTGACGTTGCTTGTGAATGTGGACCACGTGCTTCTATGATTCCAAGCTTCCCATACCAAGCAGTTCCCGACGGTGAAAGCTGAGATGTGACGGGCACATCTCTGGACGAGGATGGGATGGATCACGGCTATTCTCGCCCTCATCAATATCGATATCAAACGGATAGAGTCTTTCTTCAAGCACAAGCCACGGCCGTACTATCTGCACTTGCGCTGGAATCTGCCGCGAGCTGCAGCTCTTTGCATGCAGATTCTAGATACGACAGTGTGTACCATACGCCAGGAATCCCCTGCAGATGATAATGAACATAAGGCAACTGTCGGTAACGAGCCGCGGGGTTCTGATCTCGAAGCGAGGACTCGACCGCGCGCATGATCGCTTGCATGTATCGGTCGCGCTCTTCGGGATGGGCTTGTTTGGCTTGATCGAGTAGCCCTGCGGCATGCTGCGAGAAACCGAGCATCGTTGCCCAATGAAGCGGGCTGTCAAAGGACGCGATGAGGTCCGCAGGAAACGTTTTCGGTGGCTCAGGGCCTCTCTTGAGCGTCAGCATTTCTGCCATGGGACCGCAGTCGACCCGTTTCAAAAATAGCGGAAGCGCTGAACCGAGGATGTGGTCTAGGAGAGGCTTGATTTCGGGCTCCCTGGGTCCAACGAGGGAGGAATGATGCGTCCAATCCGCCACGGCATAGGACGAAAGCGAGCATCTGGCCAGCAAGGCCGCAACACACGCCGCGAAGAGTGTTGCATGAGCGGAGCACATGTTCAGCCGCAGCACGTCGCTGCCATTGAGCAGGTGATCTCTCACAGTGAAATGGACGAACTGGACTTCGATGAGCCCGTTCCGGGTGTTTTCGACGATATTGACTAGCGATGACCCGCGCCGCCGGATCAGTTGTTCTGGGTCCCGTCTGGGTTGAGAGATGCTGGGCAGTTCAGCGGTGCGAAACCACTCAAAGTCGATAGCAAGGATCTCATCCAATTGCTCCGTCGTGAATGAATATTTGCCAGCTGCTATGCATTCCAAAAGGCGGCGGGTCCGGTGGAAAGAGCCCTCGTTCTTGAGGCGTAGGAGGATGCGATCGTAGGTGTCCTTCAGATCATGCGGCAGATTGGCTAACTCTTCCTCGATGTCGCTCTCTTCGCATTCCCGAAGATGCTGTACTTGGAGCAGCACCCAAAGAAACCTGCACATGCCTGGTCAGTCAATACGGCGAAGAAAAGATCATTGAAATCCTACATTCCATCAGCTCTTTCTTGCAGAGTCTGCTTGACTCTGACACAAGTATCGGCGGACCAATGCCCACAGTGCAATGCCAGCTGCGCTGCGATATAGCTCGAGATGTCGTCGGCACGGCTCTCAGGGACGTCATGCAGATCCAGCGAATGCGTCGACAGCGGCAAAACAGCATGGTGTATATCAGCCTCCCGACGTGACGTGACCACCAGCCTCAGATTGTCCATCGCGTCCGCCTTCAGCTGCCGTAAGAAGGGAAGCAGCGCGTCCTTGCGCCCAGGATTTGGAAACTCGTCAAGTGCATCCAGGGCTATGATCACTCGTCGGGGTGAGGTCCTGATCATCTCCAGTAGGCATGCGTGGAGGGAATCCTGGTCTGCGGAAAGGCTCGAGCGGCGGAGTTGGTAGTAGACCTTCTCTAGTTGACCGTGGCAAGTCTCAGATGTAGTGCCGAGTTGATAGACCAACGATGAAAGCATTTTGAGTACAGAATATGTGTCCGGAGCGCGGAAGTCAAAGAGGTGATAGGCGACGCATTCCTTCTGCGTTATCAAATGCTCGACGAGGAATGATCTGAACCGAGTTGAGCAACGGACGACAAGCGACGAGGAAGAAATCATACAACAAGACACTTTTGCCTGCCCCAGCTGAGCTGCAATGAGAAATTTGGACTCGTGAGAGACAATCGCTCGCTCACGATTACCATGAAGCCAAAACAAGCCATTGCTGGTATCTAGCCATTGCTGGTAGGTCCCGCCGACGAACCATTCACACGTCCCGGATTGCCTAGATTTGAGAAGTGTGTGGTAGCGAGGGCCGTTGTCGTAGGGGGCTAGCCAAGAGGTGACCTGCTGTCCCACTAGGCTGCGCTTTAGTCACGAATATGCTCAGAGAGAATGAGGCGCACCTATCATCTCCCGAACGTCCTCAGACACCACTTTTGCATTCTCAGAGGCAAGTTGGGCTTTCCCGGAAGCCACCTTGGCGCCCTCTGTTGCCACTCTGATCTCCGCCAACGAAGCAAGACCCTCTTGTTTCGTGAGCTCATCCAGTTGGCCCAACGCATCATTTACATCGTCCGCCTGAAGCAGCTGCTTCGCCCAGTCCTCTGTCAAGCACAGCTGTGAGCATTTGCACACCTCGACAGATCATGTAAACGTACTTGTCCGCCTGAGCGCAGAGAGCAAGCGCTGTCGCTTCCCCAGCATGACGTTCAGGTGCGACGTAAGACGCCCGAACACAGTCACGAGCTGGATGAGAATGCGCACGAACACGTCGCGCAGCGCCGGGCCCAGCAGAAAGCCTGGCTGCAGGTACGTGTCCAATCGGACTAAGCAGTCTCGGATCCTGGTCAGGATGAGTTCCAGCGAGTCGTACGTCCCGCTGACCCGCCGCGCAGCCTTGTCCAGATCATCGTGTGAGGGATGGGGTCGTCGGCCGGCGTGATCGCTCACCTGGAGAAACACCGCGAAAACAATGAATACGGATTTCCCTCCCGGAAGCTAAAAAGCGCCGATGTCCATGAGGAAATTGAATACAGCCGGTATTGTGGGTGAGGGGACTCACGAACGCGTTGGCGACCTCGCCGGCGGGGTCGAGCAGCGTCTGCATCAGGGACGCGATAGGCTTGAGGACGGCTCTGACTCTCTCCTCCTGCGCTCGGAACTGCCCAAAGGAGTCCTTGTGCTTTCCCAGCACAGCCATGAGATCTTCGACGGTCCTGCAGGATTGCAGCTCGTTTGCGTACGGCAGTTGGGATAACGACGTGTCGGTCTGGCGTTCATAGGCTTTGATAGCCTCTGCTATCATCACCCCAAACGTCGCATTGTCCGTCGGGCTCCTGCATGTTTGTTCAAGGGGACATGGAGACAGATCGTGATTGGCATGATTTGTATGATGAAAGATGGCGTCAGGACAGGGTCCCACCCGAGAGTATCAAATGCTTTCCAAGTGAGCTATGCAAAGAAGTAGGGTGGTTGCACTGGATCGCTGAAACAACACATGCGCTGACTCGCACAAGTACAACGGCAGAGACTGAGAGTCTTGGCACGTGCCAGTCATGCATTTCAGCTTGGTCACGTGCGCAGCCAGCTCCTACTTATGAGTTTCGACCTTTATTTTCATTCCGCCGTACAAGATGTGGAGTATCCGAGAAACAAGTTGGATCCTGACTGGATACCTCTTCTCATGGAACTATACCTTACCATTTGCGTTGCGTTTAGTATTCCATAGCCGATCGTCGGCCATCCAGTCGCGAAGCAAATCAGCCTTGAGCTAGCTTGAAGATGACACCCAAAGCTTGAACAGAAGAATTCAAGATGCCCGCAAAGACCCAGTTCAATAGAGTGATTTTTTAGATCTTTCAGGCTGATGAGGTTCTCACTTCTGGCCCACCGAAGACGATTGATTTCGACTGAAGCGCGAGCCAATGAGTCACATGACCGTGTCCCAATTAAAGTCAGGAGCACCTTGCGTCGCTGATCTGAAGTGCTGATGGAGTGCAGCTTGCAGAAAAAACCTGGAAGAATGCATGGAAATGATTCCACTAAGAGCTTAAGCGCGGCGCTGATGGGTGAGTGAAGACCGCTTGGAAGGTGGTGCGACAGAGAGTTCAGCTTTTTAGCGCTGAAGCTAGCACTCAATGTGCGTTCAGACGTTCACCAGACACTCGGCCGGCGCCGTCGCGTCTCGATGTTGATGAGACGTCTTGAGCACTCAATCTATTATAGATCTCGTCCAACATTTTCCAAGAATCTATAACAGCCTTTTCATGGTGCGGATAGTACCAATGAAGACAGCGGCGGCAGATCTAGACACGTGAACGTCAACTTCGAAAGCCTTTCCCCAGAACGCTCCTACGCACCACTCAACGTTAGAGACGGCCCATGCACAGGTGACGAGGGCGCTGAGCGATAGTCGGGCGGTAAATCCTCCGGCGGCGGATTCTCCAGGATGCTCTGAACGACTTGTCTCCGATACGCCGTCAGCTCTTTACGCGTCTGCTCGAGCAGCTCAGCCTCTTCAGTGAGATCCGACTCGATGATCGAAGCGCGCGTCTTCGCTGCGTTCATTTGAGTGAGTATCTAAAGAGGCATGAGCTTCAAATTTGCATGATGGAGGACCTGTTAAGGACTTGCCGCCTCGCGTGTCGACTCTACGGATGAGATACAGGACCTGATCTTGTCTGTGTCGAAATCAGCCTCACGGAACCGGGTATCTCGAAATCTGTCCCGACGCACTGCGTAATGTGGTGCCGTAGATCGAAAAATCGAAGTTGACTTCCCCAAGCAGCGGACTGGGTAAATGGTCAGTGCCATAGGCAAAAGCAGACATTTAACAGCCCACACACCCCTGCGTTAAGATGTTTGAAGGTAGCCTTACTTCGGGGACGACGATGATAGCCTGTTGAATACAGGTCGCAGCCTGAGTCGCATGGTTCTGTGCCGCACTCAACGCAGACCGTTTCATCGCATCTGCCGTTCTTGCGTAGGTCCCTTGTCAGCACACCCTTTCACAACATCTGGGAAACAAGACGGCTCACCCGCCCTCTCTCATAGCATACTTGGCCCCGTCGGTCAACTGAGCGAGACAAGCAGCCAACGCTCTGTCTGCGCTCTGCAGCTGGTTGACCGCTTGCAATTCGTGTTCGTGCTGTCCCTTGGCTTGGTTATATCGCCCCAAGACGACCTGCATCGCGCTCTCAAGCCGATCGTCTTCGGGATAATCTGCGCAAGAGTGGGTCAGAGAAGGATGAGCGACGGGCGGAACAGTTTCAGTCTTGCCTGGTGTCGGTCCGTCGAACAGTCGACTGTAAAGCCCATCCAGATTTCGTCGCGTGATCTCGAATCGCTGGAGCTTGTGCTCCAACTCCGCACGCTGAGATTTATGTTAAGGACGAGGAACAGTGTCTTCTGGAAGGAATGGGAAACGCACGACAACGCTCCCCTCTTTGATCATGCCCGTGAGCGACTCTACTTTCGTCTCCTCCGCATTAGCCGCATGCAGTGCGTCATTGTATGCTCTGCAACAGTGAGGATAGGCAGAGATAGGCATCACCAAACATACTGCTCGACCCCGCGCACATACTCTCGATGTTTCGCGCTCTTCCCTAGCATCGCCGCAACGAGTCGGCCCGGACCCGGCTCCTTCGCGTCCATGTACCGCATCTTCCTTATGGGCAACTCACTCTTCAGGTGGTTCCGCTTCGCTTGCGACTGCTTCAGCTCCCGCTTCCACCCGTCCACCAACCGGTTCTGCTCCGCCAACGCGTCCGGCACGCCCTCCAGCTCCGCGAGGGAGGCTAAGAGCCGTTCATAGTATGCGGTCTGCTGGACGACTGCGTCGCTCAACGAGAACCGCAGGGTACTAGGGGTCAGAAACGACATGAGGGGTAGGGGGTGTGCGCCAAGGGACGGTGAATGCTAGCGATATATGTATCACTGGCCATCGCGTCGCGTTGATCAAGTGCCATACGATCGCTGATAGTGGCCTGCACAGCCCGGGAGAATGAACCCATGAGGCCCTGGATGAAACGCTGGACAGCCTCGATCAGCGAGACTGTGGTCTGGGGCTGACAGGCTGGCAGACTCGACTTGAGATTCCGGTATTGGAAGCAGAGGGTGCGTGATTGTTTGATACAAAGCTGTGAAGCGGATAAGGATGAAGCTGTTCCCATCAAGCTGGGCTCAGCTGGCCAGCTACACAAGTCCAGATAACATACATTCGTGTCCGGCCAAGTAAAATACGACTACAAAATCTATCCCTTTCGCGCCGGGCCTGTCTCTGCATCGAATATCGGCCCGGCAGCGAGAGCAGCTGCATAGGGATTGCCTAATGCCAAGATCCAGGTTATTACAGACAGAGGGATGAAACATAGACCGCTTACGGCTTTGTAACAGTCCAGATACCGGGGAAACGCTTTCAACTGGAACGTGAATCAGGATCTCAGAAAAAGCATAGATGACCGCTACGATGGCAGCGCCATCTCAATCGAACACACCATATTGGGGTGGCGGTGGCCCTAAGGGAGGCGCATATGCACCCTGAAAGCCAGAAACAACGTGGGAAGGAGGAGGATCTGCCGGGGAGTTGATTGTGTGAGTGGCAGAAGTGGTTGGAGGCAGCCAGTTGCATTCGGCACACCTTGCGGCCCACGAGGCATCTCGACCCTGGAACTGGGATAGTCATTCTGTGGTATAGAATCTACGCCAGCGTGATCGAATATGCTGCGCCGATAGTCGTCCAAAGCCTTCCGAGCGGCGGTGAGGGCGTCTGCCTCTACACTAAGCTCTCGGGTGATGTCTGCTATTCGTTGGGCTGATGCTAGGAGCTCTTTTTGTAGCTTTCAAGGACGTGAGAAAAGTGCTCCAAACGCGACACCTGAAGACATACATTGGACTGTACTGCTTCTACATTTTGTTTGGACTCCTTGATCTTGCCTGCAAGGGATGTATTAGACCGCGTATGATGGAGAAGGGACCCATTGTACCGTGAAAAGCCATGTCGGAAAAGATGTTATCAAAGATGACATCCGACAAGATAGAACTGGAATTGCATGAGAAAACAGAGGGGATGCTAAGTAGCAGAACACACCCGTGGGCGATGGAAATCTGTCCAATGGGTCCGACTATCCGCGATGCCATCTGGGCTTGCTGCACAAACATCTCTGCGCGCATCGAACTTTGCTGGGCCGAGCTGAGAGCATCACGCTCCATCATGTCGCTCATCGTGCCACCTCCCCACATATCTATGAACCCATATCAGCGCTCGCAGAGAACAGATGCAACAGCGATAAAAGGCGCACCCCAAGTCGAGTAACCCAGTGCACTTTCGATAAAGGCCAAACATTGGTCCAGCGATTTGTCGGCGTTCAGCAAGAAGCGCGCGGCTTGCGATTCGGTATTCAAGCGGCCCTGGATCTCGTTGTAGCGATCTTGGGTGCTTTTGACCACATATTCCAAACGATCGTCCTCTGGGTACGCTTGTGTGGGCCCATCAAAGATCTTGCTGTACAGCGCATTCAAATCTTGCTGCGCGCGCTGATGTTGCTGCAGTTTTTGCTGCAGATCTTCGCGCTGGAATGCGCTTTAGCAGAAAACCAGATCATCTGCAGTCAGAGCGTACCACGACATGAGCCTCCGCGAGTAGCGTCTCCACGGTCTCTTGTATCTTCTTCTCCCTCATCTCGTTCTCGAGCGCCTCGACATATTCCCTGTACACCCATGATCAACCATCACCCTGGATGATACACACAAAGCCGCATACCTCTCCTCCTTACTCGCTTTAGCCTCGAACTTGTCCTTTCTTCCCGTCATCCGTGCAGCAAACCTCCGCGTCGTCGAGTCTCTCAACGATTCATGCTCCTTGCGCTCCTTCTTCGTCACCATCTCGAGCCTCGTGACCCTGAACTTCGTGTCTCGCAGCTTCTGCTCGAGTCCATCGATATGCCGGTTCTGCTCCGCGAGGGCGGGTGTGACATAGTCCAGACTAGCGATGGTACTGAGGAGTTGGGCATGCAAGGCTGCGTGCTGCAGGACTGATTCAGGCGCTGATACCATTAGTCGATAACTCTCAAGACGAAATCTGAGTCAAGGAGAAGGGTGGGTAGGGCTGATAGCGCAGAGTCTGGCGCAACTAGATACTTTGATATTGTGAACAAAACACACAGCCTTGAGGCAGTTCGGCGCGTTAAAGGGGAGAATGATGGAAGGCGAACAGTTGGTGAGATGTAGAGATTGTTTGAAGGGCTCTTATATATTGCTACAGAACACCACAAGATGGAATCAATCGCCACAGACATGATCACGGAGGATGTTGCAGACAAAGGCTGAGGCTGAGCAACAACCGACAACAACTGAGATCAGATGAGGACCGCGGGGGTCGAGACGTCCACTGCATCGGTGATAAACAGACATGGGATTGAATCTACTAATAAGTGTACCAAATTACTATCCGCCCTGTAAGGTAATACACACAAAAGAGTCCACTGAAGCTCACGGAGCTAGCCGTTCACTGGTGCTATTCGATCTCAGCATCGGACTCGCCAATCCCCGCTCGATGCGACTCTCGTCAAGCGACTGCGTGTGCAGTGGACGTGGGGTCCGCTGTTCCAAAGGCACGCCAAGCTCGACTTCCTGCCCGTCCTCATCGTCCAATCCCTCGTCGTCACTGGCCGTCGGCGAGTCCACCAGTCCCGCACTGGCCGTTCCAGATGTCGAGCGTCTAGCACGCCGAGCATGGAATGTGCGGCTCGCGGTGGCATTCGAAAACAACGGAAGAAGATACCGCTCGTCCAAAGCCTGGAACCATTTTCCGTCCTCTCCCATGGACGGCGTCCGAGGTGTATTGTCAGGCGCTGCGGAAGCCGTCGCAAGCGGCAGAACTTCTCCTCCATCCGAATCGTATTCCGACGACGCCGACGAAAATATAGGCGGCGCAGACTGCACCTGATGGTTGTAGGGCGATCCAATGGTCCGCGGTCCAGCCAAGGCACTAGACTCGTCCTCGCCGAAACGAGCCCAGCGTCGTGGGCGCCCGAAGAACCTCGGTGTTTCTTCCTCATCACTGCTGCTCGCCGCTTCATCATCGACGCCGGTCCGGATTCCAAGTACCTCCAACATGCGTGCAGTCGTGCCACCGAAGATGAGCACCGTCAAGACAACCACCACAAGGACCGTGGTCCGCAACGTCTGCGCGTTGTCACCGGTGAATCCCGCAGCAAGGGCAACGCCAACGGCACCCCGTAAACCGGCCCAGAACAGCATCATTTGGTACGAGTGCGGCAGCTCCTCCGCCCGCTGCCCACGGACATGTCGGTGGAAGAGGTTGATGGCTTCCGACAAAGGGAACACAGCGGCATAGCGAGTGAAGACGACCGCAACCGTGGTGATAGTGATGAAGAAGGGCTTCACGTAGCTGGTGACACGCTGGGATGCGGGGGCAGATGTGAACAACGAGAGCCCGAGATAGATAAAGATGAAGTTCTCCGACAGTTGAGCAAGCGTGGAGAATATCGACTTGGTCGTCCGCTGAGTCCGTCGGGACATCGTGTGATACGCGTAGTGCTTGAGCGTGATACCACAGAACAAGAGTGAAACGATACCCGACATCGAGAGCCCATTCGAGAAGAAGTAACACGTGTAGGCGCACAGCGCAACCAGACACGACTCGATTTGGGGGTAGAGATTGAGCGAGGAATGCTTCAGCAGAAGTGACATCGCGAGTCCGAAGGCGACACCCAGGGCCATGGAAACGCTGAACGAAAGCAAGAAGATCCCCGTCCCCTTGAAGAAGGAGCTGATGAAGATCTCGTCCGCGCTTCCACTGTTGCGAAACTGGGTCAACGTCCTAGCATCGCCAATAAGCCATCATGTCCCGCGAACAACAAGATAGGTCTACGCACTCGTACATGACGATACTGACAGCATCATTCAGGAGACTCTCGCCAAAGATCACCGTGTACAGCTTTGGATCCACCTTGTACTGATTGAATATCGCGAGGATGGTGACGGGATCCGTGGCAGACAGTGTCGAGCCAAACTGGAGGCACTCGACCAGTCCGAGATCAAGCGACTCGAGTCCGAGGAACGAATACACGTAGACGAGAATTCTGTCTGCAGGTGTTGAGCGCGCGTCCGTCGACGAGGACGGGTACGTACCCAACCCCAACAGCGGAGATGAACGTTCCCAGGAACGCGAACGTCAGGATGGAGCCGAAATTGCGGAAGAAGTTTTCCTGTCGCGCGGGTCTCGGTACGCAAGTCGCCACTGCAAAAGCAAAAAGGCGCACCTGCTTGAGCTCGTAGCCCGAGTTGAGGATGATTGGCGGTAGCAGAAGATTGAAGAAAAGGGTGTGCTTGAATGTCTGCGGGAGTAGTTCGTGAGCGGTCCATCGATGATACAGCGCGTCGCGGCGCCCCGCCAGCAGTGGGCGCGCTCACCAGCATGTCCCTGATCATAGTCCCCGGGGCGAGGCTGACAACGAGCCCCACGAACATGCCAGCCAGGATCGACACGCCCGTCTCATGCACAGATCGTATGCGTTTGATTTGCAGGTAGTAGCTCGTCCATAGCGAGAGGATGAGAAGCAGACAAACGAGAAAGAGAGACCACGAGGAGTAGTACTCTTCCTCCTCGGGAACGGGCAGCGGGAGGCTCGATGGTGTGGGCGGCGCCATGGACGGCGAATAATGCTGTGACGTGTCACGCCTTCGACGTATCCGATTTGTTATATAAATCTTGGTCTTTTTTGTTCTACAAAGAATATTCGAGCGTCCCTGCCGTACAAAGAGAGTTGTGAACATACCACTTATTTACGGAATGGATACTAATTTTGAATGAACGGGCCCGGCTTGTCAACCGCCGCCTCGGCTTGCCAGCTTAAGTCTCTAAGGATGATGTCTTGTACTTGGTCATACTATACTAGTGATACAGCAACAAACACACGAGGATAGATCTTGCGAACGTTCACCGGTGTCCGATAACTGATCTCTGGTACCTATAAGGAGCATTTCTACAAGCTAGTATCTCAAATTCCTCTTGCCGCTCCACGTTCTGCTTTTCTGCAATTTCCAGATCCAGACGGGAAGGGAGCTAATAAGGGCGCAGACTGTCCCAATAGTTCGACCCCCCTTGGGATGACGAGGCCAAGTGACCCGATGGCCTTTGAGCATCTGCACAATGGTAGGCGAAAGCCGAAGCAGCGTAACGGCTCTGCACGATTGGTGGGAAACGCACAGAGAGGTGTGTCCGTAAGATCTTCAAGGAAATGATGAAGAAAATCCCAATCCCAATAACAATGGCACTCTGCTCAGATACGTACCCGGGGGGATTCGGACAGTGTCCAGTCCAGTTCTGGTGAGCATTCCTCACATCTCACCCATCCCAAGTATCTGATGTGTAACGCTGTCGGGCAAAGCGCCTGGACCGTCCGGTTGATCCTTTCTCCCCCGGCAGCACTTGATCTCAGTTCAAAACACAACTACTTTCGTGTTCACTAACCGTGAGAGTACTTGCTAGCCGACGCTGTCCCGTTCTTGTGTCTCGAACATGTCCTCGGTTTCGCTGGTTGGACGAACAAGTGGTTCGTCGTCCTCTTCGGCTCCCTACAGCACGTTCACACCGCGAAACAGCTGTAAAAGTCGCTGGAGAAGCGGTCCGCGTGGATTTTCTTGCGCCGCTTGACACTGTGAGATCCATTATCGACTTTTGGGTCGTCGATTTTGTGAATACGGTTCGCGCTGCTGTTTCCCATCCTATGTCTGCGTTTACAGCGAGCTTAAAATCATTCTATGCGCTTGCCAGAGATGGGTCAGGGCCCGGCAAGGGCCGGTTCACAAATTCAATCGCTGGCATGCTTCGTGCATCAGTATCCGATCTTCCGCCCTGGTGGAATACGCAATCTTCTGTGCCTGTCTTGGATACGCTGTTGCAATGAGTGGAAAGTCGGATAACCCTCTGTCTCACTTTCGTCATCATATATTTATCGTGATTCTGTCCTCAACCAAGATCTCTGTCACGCTCAACTATCTGCAGCTAACTATGATCAGCTGTATTGGACCAAGGCGTAGGTGCACGACCCGTCTTGTTTCTTGAAGCCGGAGAACATTTCGTTTCGATAAATGCTCGTAGATCGACGGTCTGTTGGTTTGATTTCATTGCGGGTCTCTCTATCTACACTTAATCTTGCTTTGACAGTTCGTGATCTGCTTCAGCATTCTTTTCATCTTGCCCACGGTGTAGCCAGTGGGATCCATTGCTATGAACGATGCTATCGTTTCAGGTGGTGGCTAGCTGCTTCTCATCGCTGCTTGAGAATATTCTCCAATCAATTCAAGTCCTCTGGCTTTGCATCCCTCTAGGAGCAGATGGCGGGTTAAACCGAAGCCGAGAAGGCAACGGAATCGCTTTCCCCACTTTGAAATGTTCGCCGAAGTGGCTCTTTCGGAATCAATCTTGCGGCCTCGGAGTCATTTAGCATGGACAGCTTTCAGTGTCCTCTTCGATGGTTCGGGACCAGCTCGGGTTGTTGTGCAACAAATATCTCAGGTCAAATAGAACTTGTCCCCCTCCGAAGGAGCCTAACCAGATCGCGTGATTTACCTCCTGATCAGAGCACCTGACAATCAATCGTTCAACAGAGCATTGTCGTTGTTTCCTCCGACGTGCAACTCATCAAGTTCATTCACGAGTCCCAAATGTCACCGCATGGGTGCAAGTCCGAATTTAACTCTGGAACAACTCGGTCGGATAAATCCCCATAGGTAAGCAGCGAGCTCTATCGTACGGGGGGAACCAAGCCCTACCAAATATCTCGCCCACATGCGTCTTGCAGCCCAAAAATACCGCGCTGGGCCGCGAGGGGCGACCGAGAATCTGCCTGCGGCTCCCGCTGCAGTCCTCATATATCTTGAGGGGCATTCGTTTCCCTATACCGCTCGCCACCATGTACGCCCGGACGCCAGTTTCTTTCCCATCGCTCCTCGCATTCGCTGCGCTCGTCTTCTCAACCCTATTCGTTGCCGCGTCCCCAACCCTCCAGAAGCGTGCGTCGCGCACGAGTCCCCCGTCGGGCGCCCTGGTCGTGAACCCGGCTGGCGGCAGCGGTGTGTACACGACGGTCTCGGCGGCCGTGGCGGCGCTGCCCAACGATAGCTCTGCGCGCAGCATCTTCGTCTACGCCGGCACCTACAATGAGCAGGTGTACATCACCCGTGCTGGGATGACCACCGTGTGTATTACTTGATTTCCGTGGCGTATCGTAGCTGAATGAGGGTCCCAGATCTACGGATACACGACGAACACCGCCGACTACAAGTCGAACGTGGTCAACATCCAACACTCGCTCTCCGCAGGAACAGCTGGCAGCGACGATCTCAGCGGCACGCTCCGTGTCCACAAAGACAACTTCGCGCTGTACAACATCAACGTCAAGAACACCTTCGGACAGGGCTCGCAGGCGCTCGCCCTCAGTGCCTACGGCAGCAATCAGGGTTACTACGGCTGTGGTTTCTATGGATATCAGGACACGCTCCTCGCTGAGAGCGGCACGCAATATTACGGACACAGCTTCATCCAGGGTGCAGCCGATTTTATTTTCGGGCAGCACGCGTTTGCGTTCTTCCAGACCTGCACCATCGCCTCGACTGCGGCAGGCACCATCACCGCGCACGGACCAGCCAGCTCCACCGATGGGATCTGTGCGTGTTCTTCTCATTGTTTGATAAGGAGTTGAGCTCATGGACAATGTATGCCCAGACGTGATCAACCAGGCAACTCTCCAGACTGCGTCGGGTGCGGGCTCGTTGACTGGCCAAGTTTATCTCGGCCGTCCATGGTCTCAGTATGCTCGGTGCGTGGCTGTATTGCTACTCTTCCGAAGACTATTGGCCTGCTAACCGTCTCCTAGCGTTGTATTCACCAACACAAACATGGGCGCCCACATTAATGGTGCCGGGTGGTCGCAGTGGAGTTCGACCATGCCCAACACCGCCCACGTTCTCTTCGCAGAGTACAACAGTGTCGGCGCCGGAGCTTCTGGGACCCGCGCTTCGTTCTCCAAGAAGCTTTCGTCCACTGCAGGATACACGATCCAGGATGTTCTGGGCAGCCACGCGTGGGTTGACACAGCCTACCTGTGATCTGAAAATAGTTATCCAAATCCAACTGCTGTCATAAACCATTCCATATATCGCGCATGATGGTTCTGTCGCTTCTGCTTTATCATCGTCGACTTGACTCTGAAATCTTATGTCGCCGACGACTTACCAAGTGGGCTACAGTCCCTGGTGGCGAGCTCATTCCGTTGAACCAGGCCTTTGCGCCTCGATCTGAGCGCATCAAACCCTTGATCGACTGACAAGGGACTGTAAGTCGCGATTGGCCTGGAGCAGGAGAGGCAAGGGCGGTCATCACAACACTAGAACCAACAGCCCACGTGCTCTGCGACATTTCATACAAGCAACAGGGAATGAGGAATATCATGGCATGCTCTACAGACCCCTTAAACGTCCACTAGAGCCAGCTGCTCCTGTATCGCAGCTCAAAGGCCGCGGGTCGGCATCGAGCAACGATACACAAGCAATTAAATCACCGTCTCACAACGGACGAGAAATTGTTGTTATTATGACATGTATTTAAATCACAGGTAGGCCGTGTCGACCCACGCGTGGCTGCCCAAGGTATCCTGGATCGTGTATCCGGTGGGGGACGACAGCTTCTTGGAGAACGACGCGCGGGTACCAGACGCGCCGGCCCCAGAGCTCTGGTACTCTGCGAAGAGAACGTCGGCGGTGTTGGGCGTGGACGCACTCCACTCCGACCAGCCCGCGCCGTTGATGTGCGCACCCATAGTCGTGTACGTGTAGACCACGCTGAGCAGCGGTCAGCGTGAGAAACGAGAGAGGGATACAGCCACGCACCGAGCGTACTGCGACCACGGACGGCCGAGATAGACTTGGCCAGTCAACGAGCCCGCACCCGACGCGGTCGTGAGAGTTGCCTGGTTGATGACGTCTGGAAAAGCCGTCAGTAAACCCGACACCTTGACAAAGACTGGGTATCAGATACGTACAGATGCCATCGGTGGAGCTGGCGGGTCCGTGCGCGGTGATGCTGCCGGCACCGCTCGAGGCGATCGTGCAGCTCTGGAAGTACGCAAACGCGTGCTGGCCGAAGATAAAGTCCACGGCGCCCTGGATGTAAGAGTGGCCGTAGAACTGCGTGCCGCTCTCAGCGAGGAGCGTGTCCTGGTATCCATACAGTCCGCAGCCGTAGTAGCCCTGGTTGCTGCCATACGCGCTGACGGCGATCGCCTGCGCGCCCTGACCGAAGGTGTTCTTGACGTTCACGTTGTAGAGCGCAAAGTTGTCCTTGTGCACCCGGAGGGTGCCGCTCTGGTCGTCACCGCCGGCCGCCGCCGCGGAGAGGGAGTGCTGGATGTTGACAACGTTCGAGGTGTAATCGGCGGTGTTCGTTGTGTATCCGTAGATCTGGGACCCGCATTCAGCCACATTGTGTACCAAACCGACATCGAGCGATACGCACGGTGGTCATCCCGGCGCGGGTGATGTACACCTGCTCGTTGTACGTGCCGGCATAGACGAAGATCGTGCGCGCAGAGCTGTCGTTGGGCAGCGCCGCGACGGCCGCGGACACCGTCGTGTACACACCGCTGCCGCCAGCCGGGTTCACGACCAGGGCACCCGACGGGGGGCTCGTGCGCGACGCGCGCTTTTGAAGAGTCGGCGACGCGGCAGCGAAGAGGGTCGAGAAGACGAGCGCAGCGAGCGCGAGGAGGGAGGGGAAGGAGAGTGGTGTCCGTGCGTACATGGTGAAGTGTGGGACTGGAAACCAGCACCATCTTCTCTCCCCAAATTTATGGGATCCACTGCGGAAGCTCAAGGCAGATTATCGGTCCTGTCCAGGCCCGGCGGATATTTTTGGGTTGCTAGATGCTGGTGGGCGAGATATCCGACGGGCATTGCGCCGCGCCAGCGATATGTTGCCGTCAACTGCATTGCCGCATGACGCGTCGTCTGTCGAGTTCTGACGCGCCGCTTGCCAAGCTACCCCCCACGCTCGAATGAACTGGAAGATTTGCACGTCGGAGGGAGCCAACGACTGTGGTGTGTTGAACGATCGCCCCTGTCAGGTGTTGTGGTCACTGGTCAAGCGATAAGTCACGCGAGATGGGTGGACTGCTGCGGGCGGCGCGGTGAGGATGATGTAATGCTGTAATTAGATTAAAAAGGTTCTGTACATACAACAACAGTGGGCGCTGCTTCCGAACCTCCTACATGAGGGGACCCCGGGAGCAGTACATCTCAATTGACTCCGAGGCCGCAAGTTTGCGTCGGAGAAGGAGCTTCTTCAGAAGACATAATGAAGGAAGTTCCCTGCTATCATCTGGGGTAGTTTCCGCCAAGCCCACTCAAAAAAGTACTCGGAGCCGACTGCGGATTTGCGAGGATGTTCAAGTGCTTTCATGTGATTCCTTTTCCTTCTCGGCCTCCGGGTCGCCAACAACGCATAATCCGATGCATATTATTGGAAGTTTCCCCAGAAATTATCAACCAATGGGTGTGCCACATCGAACCACCAACTGCGACAACAGATGCTGAGGTGTGTGACCGGTTGCACCGTGAAAAAAAAATGAACAGGTTGCAGACAGGGACTGTGAGCTACCATCGCAAAATCATTCGCAGATAGCGAAACCGAGACCGCAGACGACAGATGACACGTCCCATGAAAACCTGCAGATTGACGATCCCCGAGTACTTTCCGAGGCGACACGGCCGCCGGACGTGCATTCTGTCTGATTATCTGGTCGAGTAAAGAAAAGACCAGCCGCTGTGGTGATAATGGGCCACAGATGCCCACCGTGGCAGAGATCGCAGGCCGAAATGAGGATCGCCGTTGGATGAATGTTCGACCGTCGAATTTGCGCGGACCCTAGCGGATTTGCTTCTCTGTCCGACTTGTAATCTATGTCACCGCCGGACCAGCTATGGCCGATCAGCATCCTTCAATCCAGGGCACAAGCCCATAATCCGTCCTGTTCTTCACTTAGAAAGACGATAGATAGACTGCCTCGTCTGTACACCTGACTCTCAAACGGGTGTTGGTGCTCTTTGACCGCTTATCCCCAAAAGGCGTGCCAACCAATATACATAGACTCATCGTCTCCACACCCACAATTTCTTTGACTCTTCTCAATTTTTTGGGGGGAGACCGGTGTAATGTGCATGAATTCGCAGCGGTGACTGCGCTTATGGAAAGCGCACACGCTCGTTACATTCGCTTGTCGGAGATGGAACCGCGCCCAGTGCAGTAAGGGCTGATCCATGAAGCTCCATATGTTGCTTTCTGTCTTGGCGGGATGCTCGATGTCCTGGGCTTACATTGAACCCGCTATCGTCGCAAGTCCCAGTCTGTCACCCGCCAACTGCTGCCAACGATGAAAGTTCCACCACGGGGGTAATAAGATCGCAATCGGGTCCATCAATGATGGGGCTCCCTCGTCTAGCCCGTTATTGCTGCATGCACCTCTCACAGCACTTGCGCGTAACACTGTGCACTGTTCGCGCCATCGTTTTCAGCCTCTCAGCACAGTTGACTTGAGGGTGCATGGTTGAGTTGGATGGTGTGCCCTGCCGTAAGAAGTCCCTGAAAGGTAATCTACCTCTTCTGGGAACGCATGTGAGCCGTGATGCCCTGGCGATAGAGTTTCGATGGACAATGTGACGTCATGCTCGCGTGGCATCACTAGGACACCCGATTCAGATCTTGTTGCCCTCGTGACAAGAACTGTGTCCGGTGAACACTCAACATTACCGTGGCGTGCCGTAGTCTGCCGGAGTAGGAGTGTGACACGCGTGACGAAAGTAAGGATTGTCCAGCATGACTTGGTCAACAGTTCCAACTTGAGCATGTTTTTTCTCGCTACGCGAGTTGTGGAAGCCTCCGCATGTGTCTACGATGAACACTGTCACAAGGAGGACGTGATCGTCTCCCGGGCTGTATCATCATTCCCGCTTTTCGTCCAAGGGAAGCTGACTCTGGCTGACTCTAGCTGACCTTGTCCGCCCATATCGCGTGATTTACCTCCTGATCACAGCATCTGACACTCATTCGTCAACCCCACCATGGTCGGCGCCCTATCGACGTGCAATACATCACGCTCATTCACGGGTCCGAGGTGCTGTCGCATGGGAGAAACTCTGGATATAGCCCTGGGCAACCGGGACGGATAATCCCCATCGACAAATTGCAGCGAGCTTCTTCATCCTCGGCCCAAGAGCGACTTGCATCCATCACATTGGGGGCCCAATGCCCGTCGGGTATCTCGCCCACGTGCAGCCTGCCACCCAATAATATCGCGCCGGGCCTCGAGCGCGTCCGAAAATCTGCCTTCAGCACCCGTACGAGACATCATATAATCGGAGGAAGCAGGGAATTGGTTTCTCTGTACCGCTCGCTATCATGTACGCCCGGACGCCACTTTCGTTCCCATCGCTCCTCGCGCTCGCCGCGCTCGTCTTTTCGACCCTCTTCTCTGCGGCGTCGCCGACGCTCGAGAAGCGCGCGTCGCGCACGAGCCCCCCGTCGGGCGCCCTGGTCGTGAATCCGGCTGGCGGCAGCGGAGTGTACAAGACGGTCTCGGCGGCGGTTGCGGCGCTGCCGAACGACAGCTCTGCGCGCACGATCTTTATCTACGCTGGCACCTACAACGAGCAGGTGCTCATCACCCGCGCTGGGATGACCACTGTGCGTGTGATTTGATATCGCCGTACTATCGTCACTGAATGCGGGGACCCAGATCTACGGATACACCACAAACACTGCTGACTACAACTCGAACGTGGTCAACATTCAAAATTCCCTCTCCGCGGGCACGGCCGGCAGCGACGATCTCAGCGCCACGCTGCGGGTGCACAAGGACAACTTCGCGCTCTACAACGTGAACGTCAAGAACACTTTCGGCAAGGGCTCGCAGGCGCTCGCCATCAGCGCGATGGGCAGCAACAACGGGTACTACGCTGTCGGTTTCTACGGGTACCAGGACACCATCCGGGCAGAGAGCGGCACGCAGTACTACGGACACAGCTTCATCCAGGGTGCCGTCGACTTTATCTTCGGACAGCACGCGTTTGCGTTCTTCCAGAGCTGCACCATCGCCTCGAACGGCGCCGGCCATATCACCGCACACGGACCGTCGAGCTCCACCGACGGCATTTGTACGTGTCTGGTACCTAGTCTTTCTTTGTCCGGTTCGCTGACTGTTCTTCCAGACGTGATCAACCAGGCTACTCTGACGACCGCGTCGGGTGCCGGCTCGCTGACTGGCCAGGTCTATCTCGGCCGTCCGTGGTCGCAGTACGCTCGGTGTGTAGCTTTCTCCCCGCTGTGTTTTCACCCTGACCCCCGCGCAGCGTTGTCTTCACCAACACGAACATGGGCGCGCACATCAATGGCGCGGGTTGGTCGGAGTGGAGTGCGGCGACGCCCAACACCGCCCACGTCCTCTTCGCAGAGTACAAGAGCTCTGGGTCCGGAGCCTCTGGAACCCGGGCATCGTTCTCGAAGAAGCTGTCGTCCCCCACCGGATACACGATCCAGGATACCTTGGGCAGCCACGCGTGGGTCGACACGGCCTACCTGTGATTTCGATATATGTTGCCATAGCGAAAATACATCTGCTGTGGAACGTTGCATTGGCCGCGGGCGTAGGGTGGTTCAATCGCCTCTGCTTTATTGGTCTCTCGCTTTTCTATACTCAACCGCCGCCTGCAAGGCCGCAATATACGAAACGCCCTTTTGCACACGCGTACATCGTCAATGATTCTGCTTACGGCCTACATGTATGCAGCCTATGAAGCTCCCCATGCTTGGACGAGACTCGGCTAAAAGGACTGAAGTGGGTGGAAGCGAGTCTTATGCAGATGAGTTCACTGTCCGCACTCAACTAGCGAGCGCCCTATATGCTGCTAAATTGTGTGACGCAAAGCACATCCAGGAGCTTATTGGTTGGTGCAGTCACTCGCCTGTGCAACATTCTTCACTCCGCGAGGTGTCAGTGAGTCATTAGTCAGGATTCGAGCCCAAGAAAGTGATCACCGTTTGGTTCAGGCTAGCAGAAACAGCGAAGAGCTGCCAGCGGATCGTATCCGGCCGATTCGCAGGGAGTTACTAGTCTACGAGAGACCGCACTACAGCACTTTTGCCGCGATGGCTCGACTCACGGATCAATAAGCACCGCACCCGCCAAGCTGACCACTGTGGTCACACTCCAGCCTGTCGACGCTCAAGGAAATGTTTGTTCAGAGACGGGGTGGCCCTTTTTAAATTACCAGAGCATCGATATTAGGGTAAAACAAGTTGTCTATGTGCTCTTTCTTTTTGCTTTCCTGGCCTTGGCGCGAGGAGTCGGTGCCGGAGCGACGGGCGTCTCGAAGAGACTAGACGCCGGCTGCGACGAAGAAGCCCTCGGGATGGGTGTGGGGGTCATCGGCCGGGGCGGGGGCATGTAAGCCTTGGGGGCTACCGCAGGCGCAGTCGCAGCCCCGTCGGATCCGGACACGAACTTGGCTGTCTCAAGCAGCGTGGGCAGCTTTCCGACACCACCGACAGGGGGACACCATGGGGGTAGTCCCAGCAGTTTCCGGAACGGATCCACCCGCAGAAGTCTGTTCTGCAGCATGATCGAGCATGAGGTCACGAGCATGCTCAAGAGCAGTCCCTGGAGGAGGATGAGCAGTCGTTGCTTGGGAACTGTGAGAAACCGACCGAGGGGAGATTCAAAAACCAGACGAGAGAGACCATGGATAGCAGTCGCAATCCGTTCATGATATGTCCCATCCTCGGGTTCGCAACCATATCTATGTCGCGGGCGGACATCTACCGGGCGGTGAGTGTATTACGAAAATACAGGTCTGGCACATACCATGATCATGATGTTCCCAGCCCCGACCACTGCAATTGGAAGGATGTGCGTCGGATCCGCCGTGGTCAGGTCGGTCAGGAATGGCATTCCGCTGTCCGTCAGTTGGGGCACCGGCAGCTCGCACATCCTCTTGAAACCAAAGAACATGCCAATCGAGACCGGCAGTTGGAAGAGACCAGCCGACAGCCCGAACAGGCTGGCGCCCACACTCGCTCGCAGCTTCGCTCCCGCCTGCGACGCTTTCTGCATCGCGAGCGTGTCGCCGGTCGCGCGTGCCTCAGTCACCTTCGCCATGATCACGTCCAGCTGCGGCTGGATCGTGCGCATCCGGGACGAGTGTTTCTGGCTGATGGCGATGAGCGGAAAGATGACCAGCCGCCAGAAGACGGTCGTGGCGACTATGGTCCAGAACCAGTTGAACCCCGTCGCGAGATGCATCAGTTCGGTCGAGTACTGAACCAGGCCGGGGGGCGTCCAGTGGCAGAGGCCGAGCGCAGCAAAGTCGCCGTGCTGTAGTGGTGGCACCGCTGCGACGACGTCCGCTAGCTCGGGAGTCAGTTGGTCGATTGGAATGAGCCCGGGTGAGGGAGTGCTGGCAGCGGCTTCAGAAGCAACGCTCGAGTTCCATCGCGTCGACTGCCGTCGGAAGGGAGGTTGTAGCTTTGGATGAAATGAGCGCACTGCTCTCGCGGTCGGTATCGACTCACAGAACGCCTGGAAAGTATGCTCGTGGAGAGAGAACGAAAGAGCGGATTGAAGGGGACACTGGAAGGCGCATGAGTTTGGAATGACGAGAACGCCGACCAAATGTGCGAACCATGGGGCAGGACCACTACGAAGCGCGCGGGAGACGGGCAACACCGAGCTGCAATGGAATGGGCACCAAAGTATCGACAAGAAAAGGAGGCACACACGGTCTCAATGAAGCTGCCCGCATCGTCTGCCCCAGAAACAGCCCGACGGACGCAGCCAGCATCGTGTCAAAACAGGATACTCAAACCACAGACAAAGTCGTGAGGCCTGGACAATCCTTCAGGCTTCCTTAGCTTGCAAGGGCCCACGTGTCGTCGCGTTGACTGGCAATGGCAAGGAGCCTGCGCAGCCAGAAAACCTGCTGAGGGATTTGGCGAAGAGCGGGAGGGAAAGTTGTTGCCGTGTCCCAAAAAGGAAACCTCCGCTGATCGTGCCCGGGCACTTCTCCTCACTCTATGACCGCCTGCGCGCGTCCTGCGGCGGTTACTTTCACGAGAACACTACTTCAACGAGGATTCCACATTTGAGAAATCCTGCTCAAGTCACTTATCATGAGCCACCCGCAACATCTGTATCGGTCGGTCTGGTTCCATACGCCATCCACAACTATAACTGACCACCAAATCAGAGGCCACCGCCAAGCCTCCTTCGAAGTCGCCGACCTCACCGAGCTCGTGGAGCTCAGAGCCCGTCAACGCACCTTCCATGGAGCCTACGGACGCACGGCCCTCAGCAATCTCGGATACTCATTGACGATCCTGCGCCTCTTCGACTCGCGCTTCCACCGCAGTAAGCCCTCGCGTGCTTTCTCGTACCCCCATGTCACCCACACGCGATCCATTACATAGTAGGACTCTTATTCGCGATCCTCGGCGCCTCGCTGTATGTGCTGGCGTTCCTGCGGGCGCGCCACTCGCGGCACGACTTTGCCGACACCGATAAGCCCGAGCACTCGGATTCGACCCGGCGCTATCCCAAGGCGCTTGTGACCAAGGGCCAGGACAGCTCGCGGGTGTTTGGACGACCGTTCGTCACGGCGGGGTGGATCGTTCTGGCTGTCGCGACGGTAGTCGCGGGTGTGGAGATCGGACTGCTGGTTCTGATTCTGAAGATATAAGGAATTCGCGAATAAACTTTTTGTGTGGATCCTACGCTGTACGCTGTTCGCGTAATCAAGCGAATTGTGCTTGTAACTCCCACAATAAATATTGACTAAACGTTCCGAGAAACACTTGAGCATGCACCATCCAGCTCCACCTGCGATAACGCCTTGCAAGTTGCCATTCAACTCGACGGGCGCGGCAGGTACATAATCGGCCCGAATGCATCGTGTGGCAGTGACTCGGCTGCGCAGGATTCATCCCTGTGTAAGTTCCCATCTGACCCCACGACTTGTCGGGATGGACAGAGCGTGAGCATGGTTGATGTCTGCCGCCACGCGACGAAGTCTGTCCAAGTCGCTCACTCATTCAATCTCGAGACTCACACGCTATTCATCCTGTCACATTCGGCGAACGTGTCGCTGGGCATCATGGAAATGCATTAGTGGAGTATCAAAGACTGGCCTGAAACCCGCCGGGGACACCGTCCTCGTCGATAATCCGGACGTTGCTCCAGGTCCAGCCCCGTGGCCTGTGGGATCGCACTCAGCACGTCAAGCAGCGGCGAGTTCCTGGCGGCGACTAGCAGGCCGAGAGTCGGATGATGCGTTGCACGTCCGGTCTATATTTCCTGCGAGCTAATCAGAGCGGGAATAGCGGCGGAGAGAGCACTTGTATGGCCGACAACAGAATGGGGCTAGAGGCCGGTCACTGACCAACAAAATTCTGTCTAAGAATACCAGTATTAAAGTCGTCGCACGAATGCCAGGATCTGACGACCGATGTCTTGGCTCCCGTCCCTCCTCCTCCTCTGCGTTCCGATCGCTCGCGTCTACGCAGTCATCGTCGACGATGCGAGTGCACTGCTCAGTTCTGGGCTCCACTTCGATTTTGTGGTCGTCGGGGGTCCGCAATCATCTCCCGGTCGATCTAACATGTTGCTGAGATGTTTTCACTGCAGGTGGCACAGCGGGCAACGTTGTCGCCAACCGCTTGAGCGAGAACCCGAAGTGGTCGGTGCTCGTCTTGGAGGCGGGAGGATCGTGCGTGCTCGTCACTCTTGGGGGATCCACAATGACCTGATTTGGTGCCTAGAAATGCGGATGTGCTTGACATCATCGTTCCATTCTACTGCACTCGCGCCACTCCAGACACTCCACAAGACTGGAACTACACCACAACGGCTCAGAGTGGGCTTGGTGGGCGGGCGATTGCCTATCCTCGAGGCCATGTCCTCGGTGGCTCGAGCTCAGTCAGCAAGTCGCTTCTATTTCATAGCGATTCTAGCGAAACTGATGTGATCCGTTTACAGATTACATGGTGTACACCCGTGGATCTGCAGAGGATTTTGATCGATTTGCAACCGTCACTGGGGACCAAGGCTGGTCTTGGGATAAACTCGTTCCGTACATGCGAAAGGTTAGCCCGGCTTCACCCACCATTTTCATGGACTTGAAGCGCGCACAGAACGAAAATTTCACCACTCCAACGAACCGCAGCGACCGCGGACACTACGACCCCTCGGTCCATGGTTACCAGGGCATCAACACTGTGTCTCTTTCCGGCTTTCCGACTCCGATTGACGATCGCATCATCCAGACCACAGCTCAGTTGTCCGGAGAGTTTCCGTTCAACCGCGACATGAACTCTGGGTCTCCTCTTGGGATCGGTGTGTGCTTGATCTCTGGAGAATTGTTCTACACAAACTCATTTGTGACCAGGATGGACACAGGCTACCATCAAGAATGGATCGAGGAGCAGCTCTGCAACCTCATATCTCGGGCCACAATTCGTATCTCGTCCAAATCTACACGTGATTTTGAATGCTCAGGTGCTCTCAATTCTTTCGACGGGGCCGAACGAATTCAAGGCTGCTAGTTTCGTGCAGAAGGGTGTGTATTCTCTTGTCGCGCGACGACCTTTGAGAAGCACACTTTGGCTTATGCACGATGCAGGGAAAATAATGACCGTGACTGCGCGCAAGGAGCTCATCCTGTCTGCCGGAAGCATCGGCACTCCTAATATCCTGCTGCATTCCGGCATCGGGAACAGTTCAACTTTGCGCACGTTGGGAATCAAACCACTGCACAACCTCCCCTCTGTTGGGCAGAACCTCAGCGATCACGCGCTGCTGCCCTTCGGGTTCTCAGTCAACTCGAGTAATACTTGGGAGGCTGCCGGGCGCAACTCGACGCTTGCTGCACAGCAGCTCGCGCAGTGGACTTCATCCCGCACGGGGCCATTGGTAGACACCGTGACAAGTCACATTGGGTGGCTCCGAGTGCCCGACGCTCTCTTGCAGGGCTTCCCCGACGCCTCCGCGGGCCCCAACACGCCGCACTACGAGTTCATCATATCCAACGGATTCCTGGCCCCACAGCCGGAGAATCTCAACGGCATGAGCATCACCACCGCACTCGTGTCCCCGCTGTCGCGCGGCTCGGTCACACTGAACAGCACCAACCCCCTCGCGGCACCCGTCATCAATCCGAATCTGCTCGGCGAGCAGGTCGACCGGATCGTCATGCGGGAGGCCATCCGCGCGGCGCTGCGGTTCGCGGCTGCGCCCGCATGGAAGGGGTACATCATTTCCCCGCTGGGTGTCAATGCGTCCAGTACTGACGCGGAGATCGACGCGTTTGTGCAGAGTTCGGCGGGGACGGTGTATCATCCGGCCGGATCGGCGAGCATGTCGCCCGTCGGTGCAGACTGGGGTGTCGTGGATCCGGATCTGAAAGTGAAGGGACTGAGGGGCCTGCGGGTCATTGATTTGTCTGTCACGGTGGGTCTTGCTCTGAGCTCGCCAACATGATTAGTCGTTGACACGAAACTCCGTAGCCGTATATTCCGGCCGCTCATACTCAGGCCGCTGCGTACTTGATTGGAGAAAGGGGTGCGGATCTGATCAAGGGTTCCTGGCAGTAGTAGTAGTAGTATATGTAACATCTGATATCAACTCAGTGACCTTATATTACTCACGTGATCGCGTTCAAGTATGTCCCCTTGAACGTAGAAATCATTCTTGAGAACTGGCAGGGAATTTCCGACTGTTGAAAGAATAAGAATAGAGTGTGTATCACGATCAACCTAATAAATTAATCCAAGTTCTACGCCGACTAAGTAATTAGGTTTGCCACAACGTGGACCATGTAAGAGCTCGATCACTTAAGAGGCGTACGTCCGCATCAGAATACTAGTTGGAACGCATGGATCGCTAAAATGGACTGCCACAGCATGGTAGTCGATATGTGAGGCTGCCTAAAGCAACAACGCTCGAAGGGGTCAGGGCTGTCACACTCTGTTGCCGAACATCACAAGCTTATGAGGGATGAAATCGTTATAGAATCGGGCTCAAGAGACATGCTATATTCTATTCTCTCACCCACCCCTGGAATAAATACCAATGTTGTGATTGCTTCGGTTGGCTGTCATCATCTGGACCTCCTGGACCGTTTGGTGCATCAAACCGCTGTCTGTTTGGAAGTAGGTTCATATTCCAATAGAACTATGTCCTGGCCCAGGTCGCAGTCCCCAGTCTTCCTCATGCGCTCAAAAATCTAATCCAGCAGCGGTGGGCGACAGTTGATGGCGACACTGCCACCGTCGGGTCCGCTCGGTTGCGACCGGGTTGGGCGGTCCAAGCGGTCGGTAGTACGTCATCGTCCTCAAAATGAGAAAGTCTCCCCTCTTTTTCTCGAGGCGAAAGATCGAAATGAGGGGGGGGGATGTCGGGACACCAGCCAGGCGGGGCTCGTGAAAGTTTTGATTTGCATCGCCATGATTGCAGACGGTGGATCCAGCCTATAGCCCGGGCTACACCTGATGGGAGTGCCTACGGGCCTATTTCCTCCGTGTCCCTGTCACGAGAGCGACGATTTGGAAACGAGCACGGCGACGAAGCACGTTGTGCATGTGCACCAGGTCCAGCGGGCAGGCTCAGGATCATGAGGCCGATCTACGTAGACATCACAAAGCACAGTGACAAGACGGAGACGGGGCATCATGACACGAGTGGGTGACCGGAAAATCGCAGTTAACAGCGAAGTCTCAATTGTGGAGCGCCCCCTTGGCAACGGCCTAAGGCCCATTACCTGAAGGCGTCGGGAGGAACCCGGAGGGTGTCCGTGGCCAATGGACGCGCTCAGCAGGTCAAGGGTTGGCGAGCTGCGTAATAAGCAGGAGAAGCCGATGTCCGGACGAGGTGAGGCGCGCTGTGGCGGTCGCACCGCGCTGTCGGGGTCCGGGTCCTTCCCGGGTGGGTCCCGTCGACACTGCTGGACACTGCATAATCCTAGTGACATCATTGGAGCGAGACTAGAGGCAGGATAACACCGATCCCACCCACCGACCAGTAGAGCAGCGATGATAGTAACTCGCTTGGACATATTGCTTTAAGATGCCTGCTTCCAAAAATACCGCTCGAGTGCGAGTATTTAAACGCCCAAACGGGTTGCAGGTTTTCAACTTCAACGATGTTTCCGCTCCAGTCCCTCGTCCTCTTCACTCTTCTCGCTCGCGTCCACGCCGCCATGGTCGGCGACGCGACTGCGCTGCTCAGCTCAGGCGTGCACTTCGACTTTGTTGTCGTTGGCGGTGCGCATTTTTTTTGTTCTTGGGCGCTGTACTGAAACGTTGTTTATTCCCGCAGGTGGAACGGCAGGCAACGTCGTTGCGAACCGCCTGAGCGAGAACCCCAAGTGGTCTGTGCTCCTCCTCGAAGCAGGGGGATCGTGCGTTCCCTTCACTCCCAGCAGAATCCACAGCGGCCTGATTTGATGCATAGGAATGCGGATGTGCTTGAGATCACGGTTCCATTCTACTGCACCCGAGCGAGTGCACTAGACACCCCACAGGTCTGGAACTACACAACCACAGCCCAGAGTGGACTCGGCGGTCGTGCGATTGCCTATCCTCGCGGGCATGGCCTCGGTGGCTCGAGTGCAGTCAGCAAGTCGCTTCTACTCCCGAGCGGAACGACTGATAATCACATGATGCGATAACAGATTACATGGCCTACACCCGTGGATCCCGGGAAGACTTTGATCGCTTCGCGGCTGTCACCGGAGACAAGGGCTGGTCCTGGGACAGGCTCGTTCCATACATGCGGAAGGTCAGCTGAGTTGCGAGTTGCCCGACGGTTTCCATCCGACGAGTTGCTACAGAACGAGGATTTCACGCGCCCGACGAATCAGAGCAGCAGTGGGCACTATGATCCCTCGGTGCACGGTTACAAGGGCATCAACTCCGTGTCCCTCGCTGGTTATCCGTCTCCAATTGACACCCGAGTCATCCAGACCACGGCTCAACTGTCAGAAGAATTTCCGTTCAACCGCGACATGAACTCCGGCTCCCCTCTTGGCATGGGTGGGTGTTTTATCACTGTGGGATCAGTCTGCAGAGACTGATTCTGCAAAACAGGATGGACACAGGCTACGATCAACAATGGATCGAGGAGCAGCTCGGCAACCTCGTATCTGGCGACTGAATTCATGTCTCGACCGAATCTACATGTGGTTATCGGTGCCCAGGTGCTCTCCATCAACTCGACCCGAGCAAACGAATTCAAGTCTGCCCAGTTCGTGCAGAATGGTGTGTGCTCTTTGCTCACGTGATCCTGGTTGGAAACGGGGTTGTCACTCATTGAATTCTCGATGCAGGAAAAATAATGTCGGTGACCGCACGAAAGGAGCTCATTCTGTCCGCCGGAAGCATTGGAACCCCGCACATCCTGCTGCACTCGGGCATCGGGAACAGTTCCGCCTTGAAAAGCTTGGGCATCACGCCATTGCATCATCTGCCATCAGTCGGGCAGAATATGACCGACCACGTGGCTCTGTCGCTCGAGTTTGTCGTGAACTCGACGGCTACACGGGATACGGCGCAGCGAAACGCGACGCTTGCCGCACAGCAACTCGCTGAATGGAATGCATCCCATACGGGACCGCTGGTGGACACCGTGATGAGTCAAATCGGCTGGTTCCGGGTCCCCAATGCCTCGTTGGCGGGATTCCCCGACGCGTCCGCGGGCCCCAATACGCCGCACTACGAGTTCCTCATCTCGAACGGATACATGGCGCCGCGCGCGGATAACACGAACGGAATGAGCATCGCGATGGCGGTCGTGTCCCCGCACTCGCGGGGTTCCGTCACGCTGAACAGCAGCGACCCGCTCGCGTCGCCGCTCATCAACCCGAATCTGCTCGGCGAGCAGGTCGACCGCATTGTCGCCCGGGAGGCGGTCCGCGCCGCGCTGCGGTTCGTCGCTGCGCCCGCGTGGAAGGGGTACATCATCACTCCGCTGGGCGTCAACGCGTCGAGCACGGATGCGGAGATCGATACGTACGCGCGCAACGGTGCGGCCACGGTGTACCATCCGTCTGGCACGGCGAGCATGTCGCCCGTCGGCGCGGACTGGGGCGTCGTGGATCCGGATCTGAAGGTCAAGGGCCTCAAGGGACTGCGCGTCATTGATCTGTCTGTCACAGTGAGTCGTTATATGACGCCGATGCGGCTCAGCATTGACACGAAACATTGTAGCCGTACATCCCGGCCGCCCATACTCAGGCAGCTGCGTACTTCATCGGGGAGCGGGGCGCAGATCTGATCAAGGGTTCGTGGTAGAGAGTAGACCCTCTAAATTAAATAATGCCTAACTTAGACGTGTACTACACCCACGTGACTGTGTTTATGCCGCCCATCAATCTAATGCGGTTAATCGGTGCTTCGTATCCGACCGTACCGTTCATCCGTGAGCATTCCGGAGCGCTCGAGTATAAAGAGCACTGCGGAAACTACACTGGTCGTCTCACACCCTCTCCCGCAACATGACAAGCCCAGACCAGACACGCGTGAAGACCGTCCTCATCACTGGGTAAGGTCCCCTCCTGCACGCACCTTGCGATGGTCCAATGACAAGCAGTCAAGATGCACGCCAGGTGGAATAGGATTCGAGATGGCGAAGGAGTACCTTGCGAAAGGTGCGCACATCTGCGCGCGCTCTGTCCCTCCCTGTCGACGCTCATGCCCACCAGGCTTGCGGGTCTTCGCGACCGCGCGCCGCGCAGAGGTGCTCGCGCAAATCGCAGCTGCTGCTCCGGGGCTAGAGACCGTCAGACTCGAGGTGACGGATGCGGAGTCTATTCGGAAGTGCAGGGAGCACGTTGCGTCGGCTACTGGAGGGGTGCTGGACATACTGGTCAACAACGCGTCAGTCCTTGCCCCCTGCGCCGTACCAGAGCGCTGACCCATTCCCAGCGGCCTGAGCGAGTCCCATCTCTCTCCCTGAAGTCCTCATCGCATGCTCATCCGGGGCCCCAGGCTGCTCCGTCCCAGCAACAGACCTTGAGATCGACCAAGTCAAGTCCGTCTTCGAGGTCAACTTGTTCGGTGTCATCCGCATGGTCAACGAGTTTCTGCCTCTACTCATGGCCAGTGGGGACGGCCGGATAGTCAACATCGGCAGCATTGCGGGCGTCATGCCGTATCCGTTCGGCAGCGCCTACAACGCGTCCAAAGCCGCGCTCCATGCGTACGGGAACACACTGAGGATCGAGCTGGCTCCATTCAAGTGCGTCGTCGCTCGTTTGTCGCTCCTCCCGCCTGTGCATACTTACCCAGGGTGTCAAGTGTGCAGGTCTCCACGGTCTGCATCGTCGTCTAGAACACACTCCTACCCGATCCTGACTATTCCAGATCGTGACTGGCGGTGTGCAGAGCCACATCTCAGACAAACCGCCTCCGACGAAACCGACGTCGCTCTACGCACCCATCGCGGAACACCTGCTCAGGTTCCGCGCTGGGCGGTCCCAGAGTGCGTCCATCACTCGTCAGCTAGAAATCTCCCTGGCTCACCCTCGATCCTGCAGAGGGAGCTATGCCTGCGGACGTCTATGCTCGATCGATCGTCTCGCAGACTCTGCGCTCACACCTCAAAGCGTGGATCTGGAAAGGCAGCTTCACGGGTCTCTGCTGGTTCATCGATACGTTCCTGTGGCGGACGGCGTTTGTGCGTGTCGTCCATCTGACTTGGAATGCCGCAGATTTTGACTGCTCACTCCACCAGGATGTCCCGTTCTCGAGAGAATTTGGGTTGGTCAAGCTCGGTAAGATATTTAGGAGTGGGGTAGGGAAGAAACAGTCGTAGATAGTTCACATCCCCTTTTCTTTTGCACGGATATATGTCTCCACGGATAACTTGTAAGTAGTCTGCATACTACAAAACTGTCGCATGTTTTTGCATCGCGATCATGTGATCGGGAGTCAGCTCTCCGAGTACCGGGCTTTACGTGTCCAGCAGGGGCAACTCAATTCTTAGTCTAGGTCGTTCATCCGCTCATCCGTTCACATCGTTCATCAGCTTTACGAGTGACGATCAAGAGGCCAGTGAATGCTTAATATTTGGAACAGACTGAACCCCCAGTGATTATGAACTGAGTGAGCGCACATTGCAGAATCAAGCCAGCAGTCACCATAAAACCTGCTGTTCACAGAGTGCCACACTTCCCCAGATGCTCTTGACCGCCAAACCTTGAGCTTGAAAGCTGCGAAGGAAGAAATCAATGTCCATCAGATATTTATAAGCTGATGACTACGGTAGTCGTTACCCGCCATGATGATTTTCGCACAAAAGATTGATCACTGATCACCTGCCTGCGTCACTATTCCTGACGCTTTGTGACTGGACCAGAAAACACTATTGACCCTATACCGTCGCGCAACACGTGATGATGACACATCCCTGATGGGCGGCTTTCCCGCGCGATTTGTACCCTATACAGTGTCATCGTCGCGAGGACTTGTGCGTTTTGAGCACAACAGAGTGTGGATAAGAAATAGATAAGATCAATTACAAGATAAATAATTGTTACGATCAAGATTGACTGGCGCCCATGGTATTATTGCTGTAGCGCCTTTCGGCTGCATTCCCATTGATCCCCCAGACCGACCGCTTCACACGTCCAGTCTCGTTTGAGTGCCGGAAGTCAGTAACAAATTTACCTACGTCATTCCCGATCTTCCACCTTTTAAGACTGCGCAGAAGGATCTGGGAGCCCTCGACATTACCAAGTTGACCTTCAACTATGTCTGCGGCTCGACGCATGTCTTCAACGAATTTCCGGCCATGTTCCTCCAATGCATCAAGCTATTTTGGTAGATATCAACAAAGACAGATCACGTGGGGATTACCAATCATTATCTTTTCTTATGTCCAGTCTAGATACCTAATCTACACTCTGTTGCGCTCAAAACGAGTCATATGCCCATCACTGGAAAGACCACTGGCGGCCACCGTTGGCCACCGATGGTTACTGGTGGCCATCGGATTGCGACGCAATCCAATACCCGGTGATGGCCGCCAGTGATGACCTGTCAATTACCACCGGTTCCCGCTGGCTTGACTCTCCTTCCGCCCACTACGAGCCACCGTCAACCACTGGTTGCTACTGGCTTTCGCCGCAATGCATCGGACCTCTATTTAATTCCAATCTCCTCATCTCCACGGACTATCTGCCAATCACCACTGGCGGCCAGCGTCGTGCGCTGCCTGGCACAGCCAACAAGGGCCACTGGGAATGACCGGTCAGCGCTGGCACTGGCTGTGGTTCGCCGCGCCCAGCTCTTATCTGCACGTGCTACGCTATCGCGACTTTATCCACCAATCACCGTCGGGTACCAACGGTCAGCGCTGTTTTTGGCACGCCACAGCTAGGATTTTGGGCAACAGGGGATGGATAGATAGGGGGATAATAGGAGTAGAACAAGGTGAGTTATCATATAAACCTCACCCTCTTATTCTGATTCTCTTGTGACCATGGAGCCCGCTCTGGCACCCTGCGGCAACACTCATCTCCCTCTCTCACTCACCGACCTCACATGGCCCAACAAGCTTGTGGCCGAGCTTCGTCACATCGCCAATGTGATGGAGATTCCTTCGAATGTCAAACGCAAGCAGGATCTCCGGAACGCCATCCACAAGACCCTTCCCCGCTTCGCTGATGATGCTTGCTTCGAGAGCCTTCTTGCGTACCGCATTAACCCCGTCCCAGAGAAGACGAGTGCGGACAAGGAAGATGAAGTTCTCGCAGAGGAGCAGGGACCCGTGGTGCCAGAAAAGGGGTGCGTTGTTGTGTTTCGGGCGAGCGAGTATCCTACCTTCCTTTCAGCGCTCACAAGAAGTTGCTCGACGCCAGTACAACAGTTGATCCCCCTCCACGGAGTCTTCGTCTTCATCCAGCTCGTCTCATTGCTCACGACAAGAAGATGGTCAGCAAGAAGCAGGATGCTGACGAGCGTACGTGTTCTGTTGCTCGTGCTGGGCAATGTCTGACCGCTTCCTACAGAAAACGAGGGTGAAGAAACTGAATCCGAATCCTTGGCCCCTACGCCTGCACCAAGCGTGACTGAATCGGATACAGAGGGCTTTGAGCGCAGAAACGAGAACATCATGGAACAGGTCCCCGGTGCGTCTACTCATCTTTTTGCTTAGAATCTCTTCTGACTTATTTTCAGTTCTTGTTCGAGTTAATCTGTTTGACTCCCTCAAGCAGCCCATCGACCAAGTGTATGTGGACCAGCATAAGGTGTCCGTGACCCGCTGCAGCACGGGGACCGCTCATATTGCCAACCTCACAAGTCTGCTTCCCGAGGCTCTCAAGAACGATTCTCCTCTCAAAGGTATGTGGTGATATCGATTGCTTTTGCTCAACTGTAGATTCTCACAAGCTATAGCTCGTGGGGGGCGCTTCTTTCGGCCGGCTCCGGACCACGGACCCCTGCCCATCCATCTTGGTTCTGTAGACGCCATCTCGCACGGTGCGGCACCAGGAATCAAAGTTCAGATTGTCGATCAGTACCAGCTGAGACAAGAGGGGGATCTGTTCAATTGCGACATCTTTTGGAGCCCTGCGGTGTGTTTTTTGTTTGTTTCATGCACGGTCTATGTACTGACACAAGTGCGGATTTCAGTCCGGAGAACCTTTGCTCGCTGCAGCGTCACGTGTTGTAGATGCAGAGACGGATCATATGGGTGGCAATGGTGACCCTGGCTGCCCGCCTGCTCTGCTGAACATCCCAGCAGGCGATCTGCCTCCCAATGCGGTACATCTGCATGCCTGATGCATTACATTCATATACTGATGTGCTGGCGTTAGCCTGTGTTTACAGGGACTCTTTCCGACGGTCCCAAGCACATTGCGGATACCCACACATCTGTGGATCCGTTTGTGGCAAATGCTGACCCTCGTCTGCGCCCCGAGTTTGAGGCTTGGCTCTACGCACTGGTCAAGTTGACCGTCCCCGATATTCCCGATCGCGGAGATGAGTGGAAGAAGTGCAAGACTGCTGCGGATCTTCTCGAGCGTTACAAAGTCCAGAGCGCTATCTTCGCAGCCCTCAGTGGGATGCAAGCGGGAACCACAGCCTACCGGGTGCCCATCAGTGCGTTCCTGAATTGTATGCTTATGGATACTGATGCACCAGCAGAGTCTGCCCTCTGGCCCGGTGTCCGTTTCAAGAAATCCTTTGCCTTGCTGGTTTTTGGGTTAAAGACCTCAAATACTGATGACATTGCACGCTACTTTAATCCGGATGTTACCTGTTCCGATGCGGAGATTGAAGAGTGGGTTGTGAGCGATGGCAAGGAGAATGAGCACATCGGACGGCTCAAGACTAAGATGTTCAAGGATCGTCTTGCACCTGCGCTCAAGAGCACAAGGACTGCACGTGAGATCTCTCTGTCTCCCAGCCGCAGCCACACCCGTTCTCCCAGTCCGGCTCGCAAGCACACTCGGAAACGCACGCGCCGTTAGATATTCATAGTTTCTTACATCGTCTCCTGTAATGTTACCATGCGTGCCAAGCTTTTGCAAAGAATTGAGATAACGAACAAATCCCTATCCATCTTTGGCCTTTTATAAGGGTCGTTGCGTGAAATCGAGCAACACTCATTATGGCACCCACTGTCCGAGACCTAATCTTCATCCTACAGGTCTTCCTGCCTGCAGACCTCTTACTTGACAAAGCTTTCTCAACTCTCGTTCTGCTGATCTCTGTTTACCCCTTGCTGAGGCTTCACTTAAATCAACAAAGACAGCCTCGCCAACCTAATCGCACCGCTTGGATTAAAAGCATTCAATCGATCTTTCGTGGGGCTCTCAAACCCGCCGATGATGACATAGCATCTCTGGTCCCTGAACTCGATCGCAGTGCCCGTTATTCCGCGCAACTCACCAGTGATCTGACCGGGATTCTGGGCATGCTCGGATTTTATCCAGCTGACTTCTCAGAAGGCATGCAAGATCCGCGATCGTTGTTTCCTGCTCTTCCTGTCATATTGGTCACCAAGCATCTCTTTTGCGTCTTCTGTCCCGTAGGGGACCTCAACTTGGCACCAACTCTTCGCCGCCGGGAGAAACCGCATACTATCTGGCTTTTAACTTCACAGCTTGCATGGGTCCAGGCTGACGTGTTCGTGGCCCATTGCGCATCATGTCGAGCCGATTATCACCCAGACTGTGTCACATTTTGTGTGACTCCCGAGAACCGATCTCGGCGTCTCCAGAAGTTGGATTTCGATGCGGATTATATCCGTGTCTCCAAGCACGGTGTATGGGTATCGCGACGCGTTGCAGAAATGCAAGAGAGTGCTTTGAAACGATTTCATGGAGGATGGTCAAACTTTGCCAACTGGATAAACGATGTCACTCAATCAGAGCGGACCTTCACCTATCGCCAAGCTCAACGCTTGTTCATTGAGCATTCGGCTCGAAGATTGCTAGTTTTTCATGATCTTGGATGGGACTTCACTTGCCGCCCACATTCGAGTGCTTCGAGCCTGTCAAAGGCTGTGCGAGAAGCTGTTGGTGAAAATGGTGGCAGCAGCAAACGAGCGATGATGCATAGTTGCACCGAATGCACCCATCTTAAACGGTATCGCTCGGATCTTGTCAAAGAGGGTGTGATCTTAGAAGATGCAAGCGCGCAAGCTTCACGGGGAGTCGCTGGTCTTGAGGATGAGGAAGAGGAGGTGTGTATTATATTCATATTGCTGCGGCATTGTGCTTACTATCAATTTGTCTACAGCTCGCATTGGGATTGGATGGTGTTCAATCCTCAGACGATCCAGCCCTAGATCAACTGGCCAGTCCTATCCAACAGGGCTCTCCACCTGAGGGTTCGCCGCGAGGCTATGTCCGCCTCGCTGTCATGGATGGCAAGACAATTACACATCGAGTGCGTCAATATCTTGTCAGATTTCTTTTCTTGAAATCTCCGAATTCTAATATACGTCCCCCAGAAATGTGCCTTGGCTGACTGTGAATCGCCCTTGGTTAATTACAAGAGCGGGCGGTTCTGTTCCGAACACTTGCATCTTCGCGATGTCTGTGGAATTGTAACGTGTGGGCGAAACGTTCGATCTCCGGGTGCAGTAACCTGTGATCTGCCTGCGCATATCGAATGGCACAAGCGGTACGAGAATCGGTTTTTGCGGATGTCCTTTCCTGGTGTTCAACGTGTCATGCGCCGGAGAAACAACGCTGAGAATGCAGACTCAGAAACTGGCACTTCGGACCCTTCCTCTTTGGCTGCAAGGGACCGCCGCGTCGAATTGGCCTCTCTCGGAAACTTGGAGGGCAACAAGGTTGTCCATACATTCCGCGCAAAGCAGACTTATTGTCTTGAGACGGTTCAATGGTCCTGTGGATATCCTATTGGATGGGGAAAATGTTTTCGGGGCAAAGGTTCTTCACAAGTCTTGGCCATCATCGAACGGATTTGGTGTGATTATCCCGATGCCAAACCCTCATTCATCGCATATGATGACGCCTGCTCTTTATTGCGCCACATAGTGACGCAGGATTCTCGTTCCCATTGGCTTGCCTCGACAAAGTTCATCGTTGATGCTTGGCATTATATTGGACACCGCGCAACTGATGTTCTCTGCCGTGTTTGGTGCAGCCCTGCCCCTACGAACGGATCTCAACCGGATCTCATACGTGTTGAGGTGGATTCAGCCGGACGGAAACATCAAACACGGGCATTCAATACGGAGACAGCTGAGCAGCTGAATTCTTGGCTCTCCGGATTTGAATCACAACTGCGACAGATGACGGATTTCAACTATGACTTTTTTGTTCATGTTTTATTCATGATTTATTCAGAGCGGGTGGAGAGCCAGGTTAGGGATAAGGAGCAGAATCTGGACGACGATTTCTGGGAGGCAGCGCTGGGTACTAACAACTGATCATTACTTCTACTTCTTGACAAAGATGATTCTAGCGGCCGCATTTGAGATATGAACCATTGTGTGCCACTAGATTCCATTGGTTACCGCTGGATTTGAAACCAACAGAAATCGATGATTAACAGTGAGCGCGGCTGGTTTTCAATGGTTCAAGGGGCTGTAGTACCACCCAAAGCCATTGGGAGGCATTGAGTTCTACTGGGATCCGTTGGGTCGTCACTTGGATCCCACTGGCAGTCAATGTGGCTTGGCATCAACCAGTGCCGACCAGTGCCGAGAAGCCGGCTTCCAGGCCCGCGCATATTACTGCTCAAAACGCACAAGTCCTCGCGACGATGACACTGTATAGGGTACAAATCGCGCGGGAAAGCCGCCCATCAGGGATGTGCCATCATCACGTGTTGCGCGACGGTATAGGGTCAATAGTGTTTTCTGGTCCAGTCACAAAGCGTCAGGAATAGTGACGCAGGCAGGTGATCAGTGATCAATCTTTTGTGCGAAAATCATCATGGCGGGTAACGACTACCGTAGATGACCGGTTGCACGGAATCCGGATGAGCGGATGAACGACTTGAGAATTGAGCAGCCCTCTATAAAGCAGTCTCCCAGCGGCATCTCGTCTCAACACTGCAGTCTTTCCAACAAAAGAGATGGCATTGGAAAACCCGCGCACTAAAGCCGTCCTCATTACCGGGTGAGCTTATATAAGCCGTCAACGCCCTCGCACTCAACTTGGCACACCACCGCCCATCCAGTTGTACACCAGGAGGGATAGGCTTTGAGTTGGCAAAGGAGTACCATGCGAAAGGTGCATCCAGGGTCTGTCTCCGTCGAACGCAGGGCTCATTGCGCGTGTGCTGCCTGCAGGCTTGAAAGTCTACGCTACCGCGCGACGGGCAGCAGTCTTGACCGAAGTCGCGGCGCTCGTTCCGGGGCTCGAGATCCTGGACCTCGACGTGACCGATGCCGAATCCGTACGAAAGTGCAGGGACTACATCGCGGAGGCGAACGGGGGCGTACTGGACATCCTGGTCAACAACGCCGGCCGAGGTGCGCCCGCTGCCTCCCAGCTCACACCTGCGGTCGCGTCTGACGCCCGTGACCCCCGCGCGCAGGGTGCTCGATCCCGGCGACCGACCTGGACATCGATCTCGTCAAGTCCGTCTTCGACGTGAACCTGTTCTCCGTCATGCGCATGGTCATCGAGTTCACGCCGCTGCTCATCGCCAGCGGAGACGGCCGCATCGTGAACATCGGGAGCGTCGCCGGCGTGATGCCGTATGCGTTCGGGAGCGCGTACAATGCGTCGAAAGCCGCCCTGCATGCGTATGGGAACACGCTGCGCATTGAGCTGGCGCCGTTCAAGTGAGTCGCGGACGAAGCGTCTGACTGCGAGCCTGAAACCACCATGATCCCAGTGTGCAGGTCATGACGGTCAGAGATTTCCCGCATGACGACAGCTGCCGACGACTCATCCTTACAAGATCACCACGGGCGGCGTGAAGAGCCATATCGCGGACAACAGCGCACCGCCGATCAAACCGACCTCGCTGTATGCGCCGATCGCGGATCTCTTTCGTGAGGTACGCTCCCGGAGATCTCAAGGTACTTTCGACTTTGCGTCTACTTTTCCCCTTTTCACTGACCGTTCGACCTCAGCGGGAGCCATGGCCACGGACAAATACGCGCAATCTGTGGTCGCGCAGACGCTCAAACGACGCGTCAAAGCCTGGTTCTGGCAGGGTAGTTTCTCGTGGATCTGCTGGTTCGCGGATACCTTTCTCTGGCGTACGGTCTTCGTGCGTGTATAACATCTGCATTTGGCTGATACAGGGCTGATTTCGCATGGGCAGGACCGACCGATGTCCAATCAGTTTGGGCTTACGACGCTGGCGAAGATCGTACGAAACGATAGGGCAAAGAGACGGGATTGAGATCAGTTGGGTACTGGAGATGCTCTGTGTGCGAATGACAAGGAAACGCCCATGGACCCCACCAACGCTGTCTGCATCACGACCGTACCACCGAGCCCTTGAAATAGTCCATACGTGAGCTTGTGCATCCTCCGTCTGAACGCGTGAACGTCCCCGGAGAACGCCCTATTCCCCGCTCCATCCGAGTCCAAGTCTGAATCGTCTTCGTCCGACGAGGATGCCAGCTCCGAATCCGAGTCCGAATCGGGCTCCCGGTGGAGCAGGAGACAGACTCGCTCCCAGCCTTCGCCCGCCTTATACTCGACCATGAGCGTCCGGGCCTGGGCCTGGTCGAAGTCGAACCGCTTCTGGGCGAGCTCGGTGCTCGGGAAGTCGCCGAAGAAAGTCATCCAGACTACCTTGAAGAACGGGCGAAGTCGATCGAGGAAGCGCGGGTCGAGGCATGAGGATATCACAAAGGGTTTGTTCCGCCCGAGTTTGGTTATAAGCGTGGGACGCTTCGCGTTCGAGAGTTTGCTTGGCGTCGGGGGCGGGCTCGCAGCAGTCTGCGCGAGCTCTTGCGAGAGCATCTGCCCGCGGGACATCGCGATCTGCGCAACAGCAATCAGTTCGTAGGTGTGACCAGGGTAATCGGCCCTCAGGCCTCAGGGCACACACCTCGTACGATCCCAGCAGAGCATGCCAATCGTCTGCCTCCATCTTTATGCCGTTGGCAAAGAAACGGGAATTGAGAGCGGCTGTCCAGATTTCCACGTCGAGCGAGTGGCTGAGGTTATGTTCGCTTCTCAATTCTGCATCAAGGCTGTCCGAGTCCGCTCAAAAAGGGCCCACTCACTCGACGGAAGCAACGCGCCCGAGAGACAGTACCTTCATTTGCTTTTGCTCTATGGCGGTAGATCCCTGTGTGTCCAGCCAGCTCGAGGCATCTGTTTGAACCCACAGCGACATCCTGGCAATGTGCTGTGGGAGGTGTCGCGTAGGTATCGCAGGAGGAGGAGGGGGAAGTGGGGGGTGGATTTCGTGGCGCATTGAGAAGCAGGGGCTATAAGAGGGTTCTGAGGGTAAGATTCGACAGGCAGGCAAGTAAGAAGCTCGGGTGTGCCTTACGTCGAGATATACTTGGACTACGACACCCGTGCAGTTAGGAAATCGGACCCTCGCAAAAAGCACACGGCCCGATACTGCTACAGTCTTGAATGAGCCCCTGTTCCCGATGGGCACAACCACGTGCCACTGGAGGTGAGTGACGTCACAAGCCCAATCACGCTGGGTGAGTGCTTGAATGCTCTTCCCACCATCAGGGATCTCGCAAGATCCTCCCCTCGACTATTCCCCGGACCAGTAACGAAAAATGATGGGATCTTCTCCAAGCTCCAGTGCCCGCATCGATCCCCGGCGCGGCAGCAACACCATAGGTGGCACCAAGTCGGATCGTAGTGGTGGTGGCACCGAATCTCTTCGAGAGGAAACGGAGACACAGACCTCTGCGAGTACAAGTGCTCAGTCTCGCAGCCACGGATCTTCCTCCACCTCTCGACCGCGGGCCTCCCCTGCCGAACTATTGCGCAGCCACTTGACGCGGCGGGTGCCCCCGATGTCGACGTGGTCCTCGGCGCCTGTGGAGAACAGCTCGTGGGCATCGAACAACTTCCTTTTGGGCGCGGGGATGGTGGTGCTGCAGCCGTCGACGATGAAAGTCGCGATTGTGTACGACTCGGGAAGGAAGACCTGGTTTCTGCCTCGTGGCCGGTGAGTAAGCATCCCCAAGGAAATTATTTCATCGAACAAGGCCGACAGGAAGGATATTGGAGAATCCTTGGAGGCGACTGCTCTACGTGAGGCTTACGAAGAGGTTCGTGAATTCTGTGGCGTAGCTTTATTGCAAGCAATGACGCGCCTGCCTTGTAGTCTGGATATCAAGTCGAGCCTCTTCCTTTATTCACGTTTTCACGCCAGCCAGCGCCTCCGGGTAAACCAGATGCTGGAGACATTCCGAACTGCGAGCCGATCTACGTGTTGACGTCGTATTTCCGCGAGCGCAGGCATCGGGGCGGATATGTCTCGCCTGCAGGGGAGTATCTGACATTCTGGTGTGTATAACAGTCTGCGAAGAGATCAAAGCTGATAGGACACTCTCAGGTATGCGGGTCAGATTGGACCGGATGCGGTTTGTCGCCGGCACGTCTCTGCGAACCCATGGACTCACCCTTTTTCAGGTTCATCATGAAAACACGGGCATGCCAGATGAGGCAAATTTCCAAACGTTCTTGGTGGATCAGAATGAGGCGCGCGTCAGATTGGTCTCGAGCGAAAGCAAGATTGTGGAATACGCTTTTGCGCTGTATAAAGTCGTAAGTCAGATCCCAGTGACTGTGTTTTCGCATCCAAAACCTGTTCGTAGACGACAGAAGAATTGCAAAGACAGATGGAAACAGAGATGGAGAAACCCGAAGACTCAAAGCTTGAGTTTTAGTTGTGGCCATCTTTGATAAATAGTCGCTCTGTTTCCGTGCTTTCTAATTGCCGTGTCAATCAAGTCATAAATCGAGTTCTAAATCCAACAATGCTCCGACACTTGAGATTGTTGCATCAGTCTACGACTTCACATGGATTGACACGTGACTCTGCCAAGCTTAACCCGGTACCATCCCGGGGCCCGGCACCAGATTTAGTCAAAACTGCTCCGGGCGTTCTCGAACGCTAGATTGACATTCGAATGACAGGAGCATTGGGTGCTCTTCCTTCTGACCACCACAAGGTCCCCTCCGTATCTCATCTCCGGCCTTCGTTCCTTCCTCTGGCAACCATGGTCCGCTTCCCCGTCGCTTTCACGATCCTCTCGTCTGTTCTCGCTCTGCTAGCTAGCGCCACACCTCTCGTGGTGCCGATCGCCCCTCTGGACGTCCTGCCTGCCATCCGGGACTCGGTCGCTCTGTCCCAGCGCCAGAATGTCGCTGGGGATCCGCAGTTCCCAGCTTCCCCGTCCTCCTGCGGTGTGTGCGCGCCCGTACGTCGTTCCAACTTGCGCCAAAACAAGTCCCCTGTCTGAATACTCTGTAGAAATACGACCAGATGAGAGTATGCATCAATCTGGCCCCCGTGCTGTCGAATTTCTCGACGATCATCTCGAGCCCCGGGAAGTTTGTGGAGGTGTTGACATGCGCGTGTGCGGATCCGTTCGTAGAAACTTTTCGTGCGCCCTTTTTCTTGCTCCTAGTTTATTTGGATGTGTACTGACGTTATTCAGCCGATTGCGTGGATTGGTATGTTCGCCTTGGCTTCCTGCCCGAGGCGGCAATTTGCTGAAACTGTTCAGCCTCAAACAGACGGGACAGCTCTCTGCGCTCAACATGTCAGATCCCGATGGCGTCGTCGTCGGGCTCGAGAAAGCGTGTCAGTTCGAAGCAGCTCTGGGGATCAACTCGACAAAATCGAGCGCCGTCTCGACGGTGTCGGCCGTAGTCGGCAGCACCGCTCGAATCTCTTTGGGCACTGCGGTGGCTGTTGGTCTTCTTTTACTTGGGTTCTTCTGAAAATGTGCCGCTGTCTCTATTATCGGGCGAAAAGGATACCCTCGACTTTGATGATCTTTATTCACGAGCTTTCATGTGATATCTCTGACGACATATTGACGAAACATAATGTGTGTGCGCGCCTCGGCATGGATGTGCGGTCTGAGCTCGACAGCTACTCTAGCCGAAGTTCTGTGACCCAACTTTTGGCTCTCGATTTGGTCAGGAACTCCCCCGTACACCAGAATATTTGTGGACGCGCATGAATTACAGTCGTGTGCACTGCTCAGCTGATCAATCAGGGGTGTCATACGGATCCCAAGTGGCATCACTTCGTTCAAATGATCAACTGCAACTATTTGAAGGGCCTACCATGCAGTTAACAATGGCACCCTCGGTCTTCAGACTCAATTGAATCCACAGGGTGGTCGGAATAATGAGGTTCTTCGTCAGACAATTCCAGAAGCCGAGCACAGCGGTGCAGCTAGATGGCCGCTTAGAACTAAGAACACGTACGGACCAGAAAACTTGTGATACAATTTACAGGGTGGTCATGGCGAGATACCCTCATAGCGCGAACATACAAATCAGGGAAAGTAAGAGCTATTCTCACGTTGACTAGCAGCCCGCACGCCGTGCTGATCCGGTTCGGGACGTGGCGAAGCAGAACCACCTGACAGGCTCCGCATGCAACGACAAGCCTCAGGGTTACTAGAGGGTATTCAGGGACTGACATCTTGAAAGTTCGAGAGTTGGAAACATGTCTCCCATAGACAGGTTTCCTCGGGTTTGAGAGATGGCAGATACAAGTTCTGAACATCACGGATCCTATAAGTACAGTGTGTTGGTATCTCCATCCAAACTCGCTGGGAAAACCGATTCCAGTAATCCCACTTGCATGGATGAGGGACAGAGACATGGTAAATTCAGTATATTCTCGCGAAGATGATGCATCACGAAGAAGCAGGATGTTTGTCGGCGAGAAGTCTTGCGATCAACGGAAGGCCTATAATGAAGGATGATATCATTAAACGAAAAAATCCACGGCCGAGTTACGCCCCGATAGGATGGTTTGGGGAATGCTAACATAGAACTATGAGTGACAGCTCACCTTGACATGAGCTCAGAATCAGCCCATGATATACAACAAAATCTAGGTGCTATCACGACTCTAGAGAAATAACAATCGGAGGAAGGAAGCGCGGGGAGTGTCGACAGTGTGAAAACTCTGCAGGGTTGACATCACGTGCAAATTTCTCACGGTTTGATGCGGCCAGAAGTTGGGGAAGTCCGGACAGGAACCGAGTACATGATGGTGAGAATCGCTTGACTACATGCGCTCGATGCCTTCCCTCAATAAAAATGCGCAAATTAGACATCAACGCCTGGGCTGCGGAGCTTCCTGGCAAGTGATCACTCTTCCTCGTACAGCAGGCGCTCAATTCTCCGAGGCTCGCCGCCCGGACATACTTCCCCAAGGCGATATTGTCGAAGATCACTGCGAGGTTTGCAATTCGAAATTCGAAATTTGAAACGGAGTCAGGTGAGTTGAGCGTTACAGCGTTCCATCGTTAGGCATTTGTTAGCCCCATGCGCCGCAGGAAAAGACCAATCCCACCATGATTCCAACTGATCCATTGTGCTTTTACTCTACATTTCCAGATCTCTGTAGCCTACAGCTCTATCCCATGATCCCGGACTTCGATTGTGGTATCTCGTACTTACTTATGTCTGCCCTAGCCCCTGGCAGCAGCTATCCTCCCCGCCGCGTTACATAGCGGACACAAACTAATGAATATTTCAGCCATGGGCCAAGTAATCGACGACTTTCAATATAATCAGCACGAGGTCCTCGAACAACAACGCGGGACTCACAATTCCAAGCCGCCGAATCTCCATCAAAACAGCAACAGCCGACGCATGTCCGCGATGTGCATACACCAAACAGTCGTAGATCTGCGGCTCAACAGGGATGCGCTCGAAATCAGCAGCTGGATCCGCCTGATCGAGCTCCGGGATATTCTTCCCCGCGGCCTGCGCGTCCAGCTGTATTCTGCACTCGCTCATTTTCTTCACAGTTTCCTCGTGCGACAGCTTGAAAACCGTGTCGCGCGGCGCGAGGAGCAGATTGAGCTTGTCCGACCCCGAGCAAATGCGGTGGCACGTCGCCCAGCTGCGGATGCGCGGCGAAAGACGATCGACGGTGCCCTTGGCGAGGCAGTTCGCGAGCGTCGCGTAGGCTTCGGGGCTGAAACACGCTGTCTCCTTCAGCTCAGGCATGAGTTTTGCGACGAATCGCAGCAGCGCCACCTCGAATGCGTCCCTGAGAGGCATTTCGGTGTATTTGATGGTCGCCAGGCGACGCGTGATGGCTCCGGGAAGTGGCGCGAAGGAAGGATGCGCCCACGGACGGATGTAGGGACTGCGCACTGGATCAGGGAAAGAATGCGCGATGAAGGGCTGCTGCTGGTGGGGATAGGCCGTGTGTGACACTGGGGCTGGCAACAGCGCCAAAGGTGGCCCTTCGGTATATGGTTGTCTAGTCAACAGAATTAACAGCACGAAACGCCCCACATCAAATCACGACTCGAACCTGAGAGGCTCACGAAAAACAAATGATGTAGGTTGCGAGTCAGAGCTGGGCCCGGAGATGTTCGAGAACATGAACGAAGCGTGTTGCCCTTGCGTGTTGTACGGCAGTCGCGAGGACGATGCTTGGAACTGGGGCTGATCGGAGGAGGACAAGGCTCGTGTGCGCTTCTTCGGCGTGTATCGACAATCACTGATGTCATTCTCGCGGCAATATTGACAAACAGGCGCCGCGCGATCACACTCGAAAGAAAGAAATGAAGGAACCGAGATGCTGAGATGGCATACAGAAGCACAAGGAGAATTAGACAGACCTTGAGATTCGATTCGCGACATCTGTGTGCGCCGTTAGAAACCGGCTTCTTTTTTTCTCATGGGAAACGAAATCACTGACCGATCGCAACGCGGGACGCCTCGATGCGCTGCGCCTAGCCGATAAGTGAGAAGAACGTCATTCGCTGTAACACAACGCACCGGGGGTCGGCAACGGCGTGTACGTGCACTCCGTGACAGGTGTCCACCTGCATTGATTGCACGTGGGCAGTATCCGATCGCACTGAAATCACAGCGTCAGAAAAAAAACAGAAAAACAAAAAGTTGCGACCCCGCTGCGAGGGTGCCACGCACCTTGAGATTTCGCAAGCGGCACGAATCGCAGCGCGCCTTGCCTCTGCGCGACGTCCACGCCGAGTCCGCATGGGCCGACGCCGATCCTGACGGCGACGCGCCGGGGGGATGCGCGGACCGGCTGCGTCCATCGTCCGATGCGTCCCCCGCCGACGCGGAGTCAGCGGGGGCAGGGGATCCGTGCCCCTCCGACGCGGGCGGCTCCACGTCCATGTCCTCGCGCGACGGGGGCGCGGGATGCGGCGCGGATTGGCTCTGGCTGGGCGGGGACGGACCGGTGTCCGAGTCGGAGTCCACGGCTATGGGATCGGAGTCGCGGTCTCCCATCGGGGGCGGAGGGTGACGATGAGTGGCTGGGTAAAATTGGCGAAAGAGGCTGGGGATGCGCGGCGCGTCAATACAAGCTCGATATCTGGGTGGCAAACGTGCACGCACGTATCTTTTCGCAGAGCGAGCTATCCTGAGGCGTCGAAATCCCAAAGAGGCCTGGCGCGCAAGATGGGGGTCGGCTGGAGAACGTCGCTGCAGGTGCGGAAAGCCGGAGAAGCGAGGCGCGGGCGGCGAGACGCGGGCGGCGCGAGTAAAGATCCAGGCGGTCTCCGGCAGGCACCCACGATGAGCGTCGTGGCCAACTTTGCACACTTGTCACACGCGTGACTCGTTTGACGGCAGGAGTCAAATCACTACCAACACCGATCGGATGGGGAATGTGCACGCCGCGGACACTGTATACGCGCCTACAGACTTAAAAAAGCTACGTCGTTGCTACTCTGTATGCTCCCGAGATGCACGTTGCGCTTGAACCGAGCAAAAGTCGGCTCATGCGGGAGATATCCGCCGCACAGCCGTGCGCGGCAGAGAACCCCGATATGGTAACCCTAGTTCGTGACAGCACCATCCCATCACGGAAGGAAGAACCGAAGGTTGATGGCCCCTCAATGCAGCTCAGGTGGGTGTTGAGCTAGCAACATGCTTTAAGATTGGACACGGGCCTCGACTCCGGATCTGGAATCTGATCTCCCTATGAGATCGATGGGGAGTCTACTCTACTCTGTGATGTCGTCGCTTTCCGCCGCGCTTCGAGCTTGAAGCTTCGAATACGTAAGCTTGACGAGATCACGTGCCGGACGTCGGAACCAAAAGAAAAAGAACGCACAGACAATCATCACCCCGGATTGGAACACAAGATCTCACCTGACCCCAGCACCAGGAAAGATCCATAGCACGAAAGCCTGGTCGGAAAGCCGGCACGTGACCTCGGCTGACATCGGGCCCCAAAAGGCAACGCATGTCAAATCTCCGTAAGCACGCCCAATCGCAGGTGCATAAACCAGCACGCACACGACGATACACATCCCCCTCCCCACCCCCCTCTCCCCACCCACACACCGACCCAGCGACCGCATGGCCCTGGAAACGATCCCCACGGAGGTGCTGGAGCGCATCGCCTTCGCCGCATCGGCGCACCCGCTCCCGGGCCCGCCGACCGCGCTCGCGCGGCTGCAGCGCACGAGCCGCACCCTGCACACGCGGCTGTGCCCCGCACACAATGCGTACCTGCACGCCCGCGTGTTCGCGGCGAAATTCGACCCCCCGCGCGCGCTTCTGCGGGACGACGCGGCGGCGGGGGCGGGCCGCCACGTGGTGCTTGCGCGCGAGCTCGAGCGGCAGTTCGTGCTGCTCGGGCGGCTGCGGCGGTCTGCGGCGGCCCGTGAGCGCAACGACGGAGGAGACGCTGGCGAGGAGGAGGAGAAGGAGGAGGAGGAGGAGGAGAAGGGGTGGGTACGGGAGGCGCTGGTGCAGTGCTACCTGATGATGCTGGAGAACGAGGGGAAGAACGAGGTGCAGCTGGACGGGTACGGCGGGATGGGTGCGTGGGTGCGGCGGTACCTGTTTGACCCCGATCACGGACTTTTCTCTGCGTCGAGTCCGCTCTCGGTCATGGCGACGCAGTGGCCAGTGCAGACGGTGTATACCGCCTGTGCGATGTGGCTATTCTGGTTCCTCCTCAGGCCGGGTGCGTTCCTCCCTTGCCACCTCCCGAGAGTTGAATCTCATGCCGTGCTGCTGCTGCAGACGAGTTACCCGAGGACGACGCGCTGTCGTGGAACATCCTGAACACACTCAAAATCTTCGCTCTCGCCGCGCACAAGGTGACCTCCTCCTCCCCTCTGCATACGTACCGGTGGGACTGACACCCAGCGACCACCACAGTACCCCATCGCCCACGTCTCCTGGGCGCACTTCCACCCCCCGCAGGACGAGCCGCACACAGCCGCCACGGCGACGTACTACTCGGACGTGCACCGTCTGCGCATCCCGCCCGTCGGGGCGCCCACGATCCTGTCCTTCCTCTCGATCGTGAACCTCAAGACCAAGTTCGTCGACTTCTCGGCCCCGCCGTACGCGAGCACCGCGGAGACGGCGGCGGGGCCTGCAGGGCCGCGGTGGGCGTCGGAGCTTGCGCGGTGTCTGAGCATCAGCCGGCCGCAGCTGGACACGCAGCTCCAGGCGGCGTTTCGGCCGGGCAGGTGCGTTGGTGTCCCCCAAACCCCGCATGTCCACCACGCCCGCTGACGATCGACTGCGCAGCATCGACGGGACCTGGGAAGGCATCTTCACCGTGCGTCCCGCGTCGCGGTTGCTGCTTTGTTGGCGTGCCTCACTAACGCGTGCGGCAGTACACGGAATTCGCGACGTACGCCGCGATGCTGCAGGGCGCGCCGCCGCCGCTGCTGCAGAAGTGCGTGATCGTGCGGCACCGGCAGACGTGGATGCTGCGGGAGTACCACTTTGTCGGCAACGAGGGGGACGACAAGTACAGCGACGCGCCGCTGTCCGCGGGCGACCCGCGCTCGGCGTACGTGCCGATCTCGATGCGCATGCAGACGGACGACGGGCTCGAGTTCGTTGAGCGCGCCCGGGAGAAGCCGATCCGGTATCGGAGAGCGAGCAAGGACACGGCTGCGCGTGGGGTGCAGGATATCATCATCGCTGGCGAGGTGCGAGATCGTCCTCCTTGTATACGATTCATCTCACCGATTACCGCGTCTGTATAGGGTCATTCAGCTTGGGGTTCGTTGTCGCTCATTCTATCCTTTCTGAACGCACGAGGCTGACTGGCTGCAGGTCAATTCGGGCTCGTCGGCCGCGGTGGGTCCACTTTTCGTGCCTAAACAAGGACACTCTGACGCCCACACAGTGCGCCCGTGCGACGGCTTCGTCGCGCTGTGCAAGGACTACATGGACCAGGACCGCGGGAAGTGGGTGTACTCGGGGTTCCTCGTGGGCAACGCGATCAGCCACTTTGCGGGCCGGTGGCGGGACACGATCAGCGACCCCGACGAGCCGGGGTACGAGGGCTGTTTCCTGATGGCGCGGCGGCAGTGATGTGCTACTGATTTAGATGATCTATGTACTGATATGCAATGGATGTATACACAATGTGTTACGTTATACAATAGTCACAGTTAGAAGAACCGTCACGCCATCGGTGGCGATGCCTGGGTAGTTAAATATCACAGGTCAAGCGATCGCAGCGCCGACTCACCGTGATTGACTCTGCGCAACGGGGATGAGCACACGGTGAGAGGCAATGCAGAACGGACGACGACATACCCTGTAGACCCCGCCGGCAGCAGCCCGCTGATGTTGCGCGCGACGGTCGAGTAGGTGACGCCGTCGTGGGTGTTCAGCCCGACGGCACTGCTCACCAGCACGTCCCTCCCTGCGCGATCCGTGAGCAGTGCTGACACGCGCATTCGATTGGGCGCCTACCGAGATTGTAGCCGTCTGGGATGATCGTGTGTCCCTCGGTGACGTCCTGGCGATCGAATGATGAGCCTGGAAGCAGCTGCCAGTGGGACTACTCACCTCTTCCTGTGACACGCTGCGATGGATCAGTTGCATAGTCAGCAGCGGCATGGAGAGAGGGACTCACGCGAGGAACAGCGCGCCGCTCGCTGCTGCCGTGCCGTTCTGCCGGAACATTCTGCGGCGATGTTACTCTATGGATCGGGGACGACCCTCTACTCTTGTCGACTGACCTGAAATGGTTCCCTCCCACAAGGCTCTCCAGACACGTCCCGATATCGTCGTTGCCGAAATCGTACCGCAGCTCCATCTGCCGATCCCGTCATCGTGAGGAAGAGGAGGGGGAGCGCAGGCTCACCGTCTGATTGACCCACCCGTTCCCGTCCCCCAGGTTAGCCGACTGCGGTGCGCCTGCAAAGCGTACGGAGATTCAGCATCCACGCTGCGATACGATGGATGCGCGTAGATACCCAGATGGAAGCCCAGACACTCGAACGAGCTGCCAGCCCCGGTCAGCCTGAGCCTGCACCCGGGGGTGCACGAACACGCACAATCCGATGGCCTGCGCATACCGCAGGAAGCCCGCGTCCGTCAGCACCTGCGGCGTGCTCAGCCCCGACACGATGACCTGCAGGGGATCATATGTCAGCTGTTGGTTGGAAGAATCCCTCCGAAGGCGTTGCGATCACATTCAGCGGCTCCCCGCCTCCCGTCCCGGCTGCGAGCGAGAGAGAAGAAATGTCAGAGGGCAATAGGCGTGGATCGGTGGGACGCTCCGACCGTTGTCGAGCATCGAGCCCCCGTTCAGCCCCGGATCGAAGAACGCAACACCCAGTGATTGCGCCGCGGGGTCCGAGGACGAGGTGGCATGCAAGCCGAGCATCGGCAGCAGCGCGTCGAGGAGTGCGTAGTAGTAGTTCAGCTTCATGGAAGTGAGGGGTGGGACTGACACAGACGATCATCGCCCATCGTTACTTATGCGAAGCCATCGCGATGCCACCTGCGAGCTCTCCGAATCTGTCATGTTGCACTTGACCTGACGCTGCGTCACATGATGGGAAGAGAACCATGCAGCCTGTCAGCTGTGCACACCCCAAATGGACTGCTCGGTGGGCGTGTGGAGGCAGCCAGTGTAACCATGGACGAGCAAAAAAAAGAAGCACCGTGCGTCATGCTTGAAGGGGGAATTGAACCCCCGGCGGGTCGAGACTCGAGACGCCTCGGAATGGCAACGACCCAGGTTACCACTACCCCATTCAAGCATGAAGCACACTCGTGTGGGTATCGAACACAGATGACATTACATACAGCTTATACTGATACAGAATCACATGGCAAACATGCATACAAACAGTTCAACTGATCACGCGACTCAAACTGAACGCCGCCTCCCACTCCGCCACGCGACTCTCCTCCGTTACTCCTGCTGCTGCTGCCGCCCCGTCGAACTCGCGGTACCGGCCGGCGAAGTGATCTCCCGACACGACTAAATGGGGACACGCAGAATTCAGCTGGGTCCGAGAAGCAAAGAAAATGACGCAAAAGACGTACGGTATCCCTTGAACAGAGTCGTCCCGTGCCCGTCGAGCTGCAAGCCAGATGACACGCATCAGAAGAGGTGTTCCGGGAGCACGAACTGCGCGACGCACCGACTCGCGCTGGAGCGTGACCAGCCCGTCAGCCAGCCTGATGCGCCCGAGGAACTTGAAGCTGCCCCACGCAGAGGCGTACGGGTCGTCCGTCTAAGCATCGGATGAATGACGTAGGGAAAGAACGCGGCTGGGTGCACTTGCCTGGCCGGTGACGACGACGTCCGTGATGCTGCTGCTGCTGCTGGGCTGCTCCTTCGCGTCGTGGTATGTCTTGTAGAAGAACTGCTTCCCACTCGCATCGGAGGTGACGATTCCATGCTTTTAATGATAACGATGTTAGAGTTAGAGCGGCGCGCAGAAGCTGGGTGGGGGCTGCTGCCTACTTACTTCCGTCTCCTTCCACGAACTGAACAGCCCAGCCGCACCCTCGCCCCGGTCCACCACGGCCGTCGAGAAGTGCTCCCGCAGCGTAACATACAGCGGCACCCGGCTGAACGTCGTCATCGTCCCGGGCGCGTTCTCCCCCGCATCGCTGACCCAGCGCTTGTACTCATCGATGCACGGGATCTGAGGAAAGCAACCGCGCAAAGTTAGCCTTCAACCTCGCACGCGCGGTGTCTCAGGCGCACGCACCAGGGACGAGCCCTGCCATTGGCCCGCGAGCGACCCAACGCGGTAGCCCCGGTCGCCCGGCGCCGGGACGCGCGCACGGGCGTCGCACCGCCGCGCGCGGCACTGGCTGATGAAGTGCTCCGCGTCCGCGCGCCCGGCGGCGTGCGTCGCGGGGGCCGGAGCGGGGGCCAGCTTGCGCAGGTGCGGCGGGAGCGTGGGCGTGAAGAAGTCCAGACGCGCGAAGTAGCACAGGATGGAGTAGATCTGGAGGCCGGGGAACGGCGCCGATTCCGCCGGCGTTGGGATGTCGTCTTCCAGCGGGTACTGTGTCAAAAAAAAAAAAAGAACGAACGTCAGAAGGAGTCACTATCATGAGAGATCGTCCGACGTGCTTTCGAGGCAGCCAGCGCAAAGGGCCGTATTCGGTCCATGATCATCCGGCGCGTGTCTTCTGGTTCGTCGTGCACGCCGGCTAAACTCAATGCAAGGCATCAGATCCAGATATCTCGATCCAACAACAGCGGCAGGGGGACTTGCGTTCAGGGGCCAGAAGCCACAGCAGCGCCACCACGAGCGCGTGCGTCTCGCTCGGCACGGGCCACCCCCGCGCATCGCGCGCCCACCGCTCCTCGAGGAAGCGCACTAGCAGCCGCGGGAGCCCCGCCCACCGCAGCTGCGCCACCGTCCGCGCCCGCGCCCCGGGCGCCTCGTCGTGCAGCATCCCGTGCGCGATGCGCAGCGCGTCCCGCAGCTCGCCGTCGCCGTCGCCGTCGACGCACGCGCGGCGGAACACCTTGAGCGCGCCGAAGCGCCGCCGCAGCTCGCCCTTCGCGTCGCCCGCGAGCGGGTGCGCGGGCCGCAGCCGGTAGAATTTGCGCGCAAAGACGAGCGCGTGGACGGTGGAGTTGTCCAGCTGCCGCTGCAGCGCGGAGCAGCACAGGACGAGGTTGAGCCATTCCTGCGGCGGCCCGAGCTCGTCCACGGCATGCATCGTGATCCGGATCAGAATCTCCGGGGATGAAGAAGCAAGTGGTGACAGCTGCTGCATGATTTTCACAGTTCAGTTTTCGGTGGGTGAGTGGACGGGTTGGAGAACGCAGGGTAGTTGTTATATGAGCTGCTGGAAACAGGGCGCCGTAAACGGGATGACGATGCTGGCGAGGGGGGGCCCAAACGACACAGCTGCTATTACGCTCCATTGACACCTTCCCAATCTAGTTTGCGCCATGTACCCGGACCAGGATTCAGAAACGGCGGGAGCCTCGGATGTTTGTGTGCGGAAGATCCCAGAAATGAGTCGTCCGATACATACACACCGCGGCGATGCTCCAACGAAGGATCAGCGAGTACCAAACAAGCAGGCAGAGGTCAAAGCGAAGCGCAAAAACGACAACAAAAACAAAACAAAGCACAACAAAAATTCGCAACCGCGCCCCCGCGCCACGGGCGACTGATTCTCTCACTGTCAAACAGCCAGAGAATTCACACTGGACATGCAGTCATGCCGGCTGCCAGGGCGACGCCGTGGCGTGTGTGCGCATGTGCGCGTGTGGATGTTCTCCGCACCACACCACAGCACAGACTCTGGCGCGGAAATACGCGCAAAGTTGGTGTACGACAGACACAACAAACACCCGGGCGGAGACACGACGCACGAGCGAGTTTGGCCCTCTCGAGGCGAAGCTTGCTGCTTCGACCTGCCGTCCGCCGATCTTCGTTTCGTTTCGTTTCGTTCTCGCCCCCCAGGGTCAGCGCAGGCGCGCCAGATCGCAGAGATCGCGCGGAGACACCCGCGGGCGAGAGACGGGCGACCACAACACCGCACGCAGATCCCTCCTGCCCCTACTTCCGAGCCGGCCGACTCGGAGAACGCGGGGGCGGACATCAGTGCGAGAATCCCAACCCAAGCCAGCCAACCATCCGATATGGAATGGAATGCACAGCAGCAGCAGCCGGAGGTAGGTAATCAATAAAACTGCGGGGGTCGTGGTGGTGGGTCGAAACAGCAATCGGGAACCGGGCGCGTGGAACAGAACAGATCAGAGCGCGCTCGAGTCATCCGGATATCGTGGGACGAGGGAGCGATCCTGTCGGAACATTGCCACTCGGCGGCGGCGGGGGTTGAATGGCAGAGGGGAAGCACGCGGGCCCCGGGTGGCGGGCTGCTGGGTGTCCTGGAACTTCACCTCAGAGCGAATGTCTGACCGGACTATGTCGAGGAGCGGCGACACCGTCAGAAAGAGATCTCACGAGAGCAGCAGCCATCCATCATGCGGCTGGAAGAAGCGTGCAGGGACTTTTTTGGTCTGCGGCTGGGGTGATTGAGGATGCGGAACTGCTCAAGAAGGTCGGTGCAGGAGGTCGCAGATCAAGATAACGCGAGATAAATTATGTTGGCTGCCAGTTTGTGTTCTGAGACGTAAAGAATCCATCATTTTCTCGGTCAAACTTGCCTTCTGAGTCAGCCACGTCAGAGGATGAGGCACCCCCCTGCGCAGACAGGCCAGGCGCAGAGTACTTGTACGTTGCGGGTACTCCCGACATGGAGCATACCAAGATGGATGATCATCATGACTTGGAATGAACGGCCGACCCTTGCTGCATTGCGCACGTCCAGTGCGCGATTGCGATTAACCTACGTGACGTCAAACAGATCTCGACGTACGACAGCTAATACCAGCGAACCACACGATCCACACTCGCTGGCAGTCAATCTCCGTCCCCACTTTGGATCAGGATCTTGTTCTGGGTGGATCCCTTGGAGTGCCAGGAGCTTCCGCTTTCCGCTCGCGCCCTGATTTCATATGTGTCCACGCCACAAGAGTGCAATGCGCAGCGCGACCGAACGTTAAACTTGGCGCGCGTTATTCTGGTCCATGCGGCCTGCAGTGTAAGAGCGTGAGAAACAAGACACGTGAAAGAGAGCAGGTGCACGTGAAGATGCCACGTGGCCCAGGACCTCGGTCAGCCTCCATTGGGCTCGGGAGAGCGTATCCGCACGGTCCGGCTCAGCGAGATTTCGGCGTGCAAACAGCTGACAACATCAGATAAACTTTTCGTTCTACCACGACAATCGATGGCCAACCTCACCGCGCTCGAAGCTCACCTTGCGACCCGCTCTTACATCGAGGGGTAAGTTCATCTCCGTCGCCTCTCTTTTTGATGACCTTGCTATGGTCCGTGTTTCCAAGAAGCGACTAGACACCGCTGTCCAAGCATGCCGAATTTTCTTTACCTAGCGCTCTGATTCCTTTTCTCGTCGCCTCCCCGCGTCTCGATGGTTCTGATCGCTAATCTGCGCCAGGTACACTCCGTCCCAGGCTGATGTGGTCGTCTTCAAGGCGATCGCCGCGGCCCCGAGGGCGGAGACCAACCCGCACGTCGCGCGGTGGTACACCCACATCCAATCGTACGCCGCCGAACACGCATCGCTCCCTGGCTCCAGCACCGCCGGCGAATCCTTCCTCGGCGAATCGGCCCCCGCTGCTGCTGCTGCCGCCCCGGCTGCCGGAGGCGACGATGACGAGATCGATCTGTTCGGCAGTGATGACGAAGACGACGCTGAGGCTGAGCGGATCAAGGCTGAACGTGTCGCGGCGTACAACGAGAAGAAGGCCAACAAGCCGAAGCCCGTCGCCAAGGTCCTGCTCCGTCCGCTGTTGGCATGTGTATCTGCATCTGATCTGCCGTTACACAGTCCGTTGTCACCCTCGAGGTCAAGCCCTGGGATGATGAGACCGACATGGTTGCCCTCGAGGCTGCTGTTCGCTCCATCGAGAAGGACGGCCTTGTCTGGGGAAGCAGCAAGCTTGTTCCTATCGGCTATGGTACGATACTTTCCCGTTTGACCTGCTCCGAAATCTGACGGCGTGTTTCTTCTCTCCTCTCCTGCACCACAGGTATCCGCAAGCTCCAGGTGGGTGGTGCCTACTCCCATAAGTAGTCCCCGCTGACTGACTGGGTCCCCGCAGGTTACGCTTGTCGTCGAAGACGAGAAGATCTCTTTGGATGAGTTGCAAGAGCAGATCGCCGAGTTTGAAGACTACGTCCAGAGCACGGACGTTGCTGCGATGCAGAGTACGTTATCCTTCCTTGATCGAGCCCGCTTGTACTCATCTCCGTGCCTCATCAGAACTCTGATTGGCGTCGCTCGAGCCGAGCCGAATGTGTAGAAGTTTTTTCGTGTTGTAGATCCGTGTATAACGACTGGGTGCAGATTGACATATCTGACCACGACATTTGATCGAGAGAATAACGCGTCGGCCAAAATCTCTTGGTCGAGGATGATCTCCGCTCCTGGGCCCCCCATTGGCAGGACGTGTCTGTCCGTTTCCCCCAACCAATTCCGTCGAAGCGAACGGAGATAAGTCCTGATGCAGGTCCACTCGGTAGATCGGGACACGGGAACGAGCAGTCTGTCTGGACTTGATGCCAGCGCGCTTGTTTCGTTCCTAAGAATGCGTCGCGGGAGAACATGGTAGCCGGTCCACCGCGAGATGTGTGCTGCACGAGGTCGGCCGGCGGTGCATCCACCGTTCCGTCTGTGGCCCGCCGTGTTGCAGCGTAGCGCGGGCTCGCCTCGCCTCATTGAGTTTGCCGCGGGTCCCAGATATAGTACTGTACGTGGGGAGGCCCATCAACTCCGCTGCTCGTGTGTTGTTGTCGTTTTGGCAGAGACCGTTCCGTTCCTTGCTTCCCGTCAAATCCCAATAAGGTTCACCGACCTGGCTGGTCGAGATCGCATCTGCAACTAACTATCCGGAGTGGCAACTTACGCAACGGACCTCCTTCGGTGACAGGGACAAGCAAGACTTGGGACCTGCGCTCAGGATGGGGGCCCGCAGAGCAGGAGCATTTAAACGGGACGCGCGTGTCAGAGAGACAGTACCTCCTCCTCCCGCCGCGGCCGCCGCCTAGTATGTTGTCCCCGCTCGAGTGCATTCCCCACGACGTCCTGCTGCACATCGCCCTCCTCGCCGCGCTCTCAGGCCCCGGCATCGTCGCGCCCGACCTGCTCTCGCTGCTGCTCACCTCGCGCACACTGCATGCTGCCCTCGCCCGCCAGTCCAGCCCGCATCTGTACGCCGCCGTCTTCAGACGCACGTTCAGCGACGCCGCGGGGCACACCGACGGCGTGCTCGCGGCCGAGCTGGTGCAGCGGTGCCGTGCCATCCGCCGGTGCACCACGCAGGACGTGTCGCCGCGCGGGCTGCGGCAGGATCTGTGGACGCTGCTCTGGACGCTGCTGGGCGACGACGGGTGCCACGCGCTGCTGCCGCTCGGCCGCTTGCCCGAATGCATAGCCAAGCTCGCGCTGCTCCATCTGCGCGAGGACGCGTTGACGTCGGACGAGACCAAGGGATTGATCGCGTGGCTACTGTGTCTCAGCCTAACACGGGGTATGTTGTTCTCCATCTCCCCCGCGCGCGCGTGTGCGTGCTTCCGCTTCCGTTTCCCACACCTGACACGTTCTTGCAGCAAATGTTGCGCGTCACAGTCTCGAGACGCGGAACGCCCTGGTCGGTCTGGCTCGGCCCTTGATCAGCGTTCCTGCCATCACTGGTGCTTCTGCTGCTGCTGCTGCTGGCGAGGAGCCAGTGCTGCACTTCAATCAGCGCTACTTCGGGCTGAGTCCTCCCGCGCCCTCGGACGGTGCGATCATCGTCACCTTCGCGCTCAAGGAGGCCGTAGCGCTCCAGGTGCCGCACCATCTGCCCCCCACACGTGCCATTGCCACAGCCGAGCACCGCACGGGGCCCACGACCGAGGACTACCTCGCGTTCCAGCGCACCGGCACCCGGCTGTTCTCCGATGTCCGGGCGGAGGTTTCTCGGGCGACAACAACAACAGCAACAACAACACCCGCGCCGTCGGCTGCCACTCTAACAAATCGCGTCGTGTCGCCGTCTGATCCGTGGTTTGTCCAGACGTTGTCGACCCCGGATGGACGACCGGCAGCCGTGTCGCAGCCGTATGCATCCGGACTGCTTGTCGGCCTATGGGAAGGGTCGCTAATGGTGTGTGTCTTTTTTGGTTTGTATGTTGGTAGCCCAGAATCTAGCTTATTCTGGGCCAGATTTCATCTTATGACGACGTCGCCGACGCCGACAACGACAAGTCTTCTGGCTTCCCGGACTATCTTTGCCGCACCCCGATGCAATGCTACTTCTCAGAGTACCACTGCTCGGCTCCGCAGTGTCCGCTATCACTCGACTACGACCTGCTGCAGCTCTCACCAGATCCCTACGTCAGTCCCAATCAATATGCCTACTCTTGCTCTGATGAACCGGGTTACATTTTCATCTCATGCTAGTCGCCGGAACTCGCCGCCTACCAAGAAGTGAGCGTTCCGTTGTCGGCCCCAGCGAGTGGCGACGCCGCTATCTTGGATCGCATTATTTTTGGCCAGGTATGAGATCTCTCTCGCAGTCGCTGCTCAATTCAGCCCGAGTTGACCGCCGGGCAGACGCTGGCGGACCACGAGGAAGCCTGGTCGCCCGGCGGGTTTAAATTTGCTGGGCGGGTCGACGATAACGGAGAAATCGCCTTCTCGCGACGCGCGGTGCGTGCTTGTGCGTTTTTTCGACGGAATCACCGCTGACTTGCACGTTACCTCCTCAGAAACACGACACGAATGAGCGATCTGAGACGTGGATATTCCGGGGGCGGGTGCGATACGGGACGGCCTTTGTGGGGACTTTCAGATCATCTGACGAGGCCGCCGGCGTCCGCGGGATATTCAGCCTGCGCAAAAAATACTGATAGAGACTTGCTTATCTAGCGTGAAGCCTAATTTACCCGCCCCAGCAGACGTACTGTAATTCAGAAATATCTATCCCACCCACTGACTGCATCATATCTGATATGCATTAACTGTGTTTCGCCCGCTCGCCCGCCCACGTAATAAACAATCGAAGCGCGCACGCTCGCACCGTCTCGACTTATCTCGCCCCTCCACTGGTCCAAGATGTCTACCACCCATTCCGGGCACACCCTCTTTTTGGGACGGCTCTTTCGTGAGAGTCTGAGCGGGCCTTCGCTGTGAAGAATCTCCGGACGTCAAGATGCCCTCCCACGCGGCTGGGCCTGTCGGCGGAGGACCAGCTTGGCCACATGGCGGCAGGTGCCCAGACCGCGCTCACGGAGATGCACAAGCACAGGCGCATCGACGGATGTGCCTTTTCGCATGAAGTCATCATCAGAGATCTGCGTCGTGTGGGAGTCAATCGGCATGACAGAGACGCGGCAGCGTCCGGATGAGGGCATCGGTAGGGCTTAGTACGGACCCGGGGATTCCACTCGCCCGCCGCCGTCTCTCATGTCCGATCAACTGGACTCCATGCAATTCACTTCCGCTAAAACCTCCGTCGATGTCGATGTAACAGCAGGTCGGCGGCTGGCCGCATGAAACGGCTGCGTAGCGCGTAAGCGTAATGGATGGTGACAGAGGTCGAGATCGAGTCCAGACGGAATTGGCGAAGCCGTTCCGGCGCATCGGTGTGCTGTCCATCCATCTCATCTGCGAGTTTCCGTGCAGGTAAGGCGGGAGCCCCAAAGCGGCAAGTGTTCTTGCCCTGGGGGTGGCTCATGAGAGCATGTGATGTGATGTAGGTGTTTCGTTGGGGACAACCACTCTTCCAACCCTAGTTACAAGGGTTTCTCGTTCTCGTCAACCACAGTGATAGAAGGCGGGATTTGACCGCCGGCTGCCGATGACCTTGCACGAATATGAACTGTGCATGCCATATATGGCAACTGTGCTCCATCAGCCGGGGGTATGCTCTGTGCGCTGCGCTCTGTGCTCTGATGAGATGTTCATGTAGTGTGGGCGCTGTAAAATGAAAAAGGCCACACGCGACGTCCGGAAGTTGGAAAGCGGGAACTGCGCGCGCGCACACACGGAGATGCGATGGTGGCACTCGCCAGTCGCCGGGTTCCGGCTTTCCTCGCTGAGCTGGGGAGAGGCATAATGATGACGCCTACGTCGCATGCCAGTTCATTTCTGATATCAATCCATCACCAGCGGACATCTGCGAGAAGACCGCTGCCCAACTCGGACGGTGCATGGCCCGTTTCAAGGTTGCTGTGATCATCATGGGACCGTGTCAAGCACGGCCCAACCCGAGGGCCACCATCAGCCACGTGACGACAGTTGAACTGGAAGTTGAACGATCAACAAGGTTCCAAGCTATTCAGCTAGGCGAGTATGTATTGTATCGATACTTGTCCGTCACAAACCTTGATATTTGGCCGAGGTCTTCCTCGGAGTGGAGCAGGGAAGCCCATTGGGAATAGACGATCAATCTGCCGATTGAACCTTGACAAGTCCTGACGACGCCCACAAACCGGGTTCACCCCAATTCGAACCTCGATATCGGGCGAGCCGGATTGGCTACAGAGTGCCTCTTTGCCGGCTTCTTCACACGTCTTGGACAAGTCCCCGTTTCGTCCTGTCTGCGCGCCTGGACTTGGAGCGCGAGACTCAATTGTATTGGTCTGAATGCCGTGCGCTCCGTGCGAGTCAGTTGTCTGGATTGCGAACTGCGCCGCCGCCGCCTCTATAGAGGCCGGTAAAACGGAGACCTCTGTCACATGCGTTCTCTGCACCTGGTATGGAAGGTGCTGCTGCTTCCCGCGTTTCGGCAGCGCGGTCTCCACTTCTCTCGGCAGCAGCCCGTATCTTGGCACATAATACATACGTGCATCGTTTGATCACGAATAAAACAGTTCATCCGTCCTGAACGCCTCAGATGAAAGAAAGTGCAGACCCGGAGAGATCCCTCGTTCTTGCTTTTGTGTCCATGGGGAAACACTTGCGCCGTGGCCGTTCCCAGCTGTTTAAAATTATACTGTATCTCCACCTGGCACGTCCGCAAATATCGTGACTCCATGGTTCAATTACTTTCAGGCCACGGAGGCTCTGCGTTTTAAAACTCGCTTCGAAGTCTTGGACGGAGGAGTGTCAATCACTGAGGTTTTACGCCCTCGGTGGGGCCAGCAGACAGATGGAACCTCACACCATAACTCACAGCAGCAGTGTCCAATCCCAGAAAGACGCCGCCTCTAAAGCCCGTGGCTTTAAGAAGAAAAACACAGAATCAGCGTGCTTTCGAGCCAAGCGCTCGGCAGATAAGGGTTGTGCTGTTCTTGGGTCGCTTGACTCAACCGCCTACTTACTCACTCTTGAGTTTCAGCCCGAGCCTTGCCCGAAACCTTAATTCACGCTGGGGAGTACCGTGGGGAGCACGGATCCCCGGCGAGGTCCCGAATTCAATCTATGTTTGTAATCTAATCTGGAGCTGCATCCCAAGATCCTGTAAAAGTTGCACGATCTCTCGAGCTATCGACTGATTCTGAGTAGAAAGGGAAGAGGTTTCGTTTGTTCTTCGACACCAACCCAGGGGGCTCGAATTCTCGGCAAGTGCTGCATGCATTTATCCAGAAATGACAAGGCCCATTTGCACTTTGAAAAAAGCCTGTCGTCAGTTCTACTGAGCTGTCTGGATCTTCATATCCCAGATTTACAGGGTCTCCCAGATATGCCTCGAAGCGATTCAGACTGCAAGTCCTCGGAGGCGAGTAGGGCACAGAATCCCCAGGCGCTGACGTTCAACCGTTCGTGACAACGATCTCTGCCTGTTCAACGTCCGGATTTACATTCATCCTGAATCCCTGTCATGGGCGCCGTTCATCGTTGAGGGTACTAAATTCAGCCTGTGCGCGTAATGGGACTTCGATCACGGTCGTTTTTCCAACGTCCAAGCCAAGATGATTGGAAACTTCCTGATCAAGGGATCGAATGGAGTTACATAATCTCAGAACGAAAAAGAAAGAAAAAACTAGAACCCCCACTGCGACGAAGCGGCAAATGCCGGGAGTGCGTTGACTGGGCGTCCCAGACTTGCCAGTCCTGTATATTCGCAACCCTACTTCTGTTAAGAATAAAATAGCAGACAGACATGGGTATCACAGTGCGTCGATCACATCTATACAAGCAAAGCCGCTACGACGCCGACGGAACCGAGCAGCATTGCGGCTGCGCCAGCCCTGGCCCCACCGACAGCGGCACTGACGCCCGAGGAGCCCTGGCCGAGTCCACCGGCCGCTTGAACGGCGTGCGTCATGAAGTTGGAGCCGCACTTGCTCATGATCGAAGCATACAACGCCGGCTGGCCAGAAATGAACGCACTCTGCCCGAGTCCCGGGGCGTACGCGGTGTCGGACTCGAAGCTGATGAAGCTCGTCAGCACCGCGCGGGTGCATGACGTGCACAGCTGCGCCACAGACAGCGACGGGCTGAGTGCCAGGAACAGCAGGTTGCCGCTGTCGATCGTCGCAGCATTCGGAGTGGGCGCGCTCGAGGACGACGACGACGCGAGCAGACCAGCGGGGGAGGCCGATGTGGTGCCGTTCTTCGACAGGACGCAGTACGCGCCCGCGTCGTCCTTGGCGCAGACGCTCCCGATGAGCGGCAGCAGGGTGTAGAACGTGTCGTACAGCCCCTTGACTTCCGCGTTGGGTGAGGAACCCGTGAGCTCCGGCCCACAGGCGACGTGGAAGGCCGCGAGCTTGCCTGTCAGGAGGCTCTGGCTGCAGCTGCCCGTCGTCGCAGAGGAGCAGACGGTGCTCAGGGCCGACGACACGGAAGACGAGGACGCGGAGGACGCAGGCGGCGCGAATGAGGCGACGGCGGTGTTGAGTGCGGAGGTACAGACGGAAAGATCCGAGTCGGTGTCAAGGGTCGCGAGGTAGACAGAACACGACGTTGAGATGCCGCTCGTGGGGATGTAGGGGCTCAGCGCAGGAGTGGCTGCAGGCGCTGCGGAGGCTGAGGCGGACGACGAGGCCTGAAAGCGAAAGGATAAGATAAAGCTCTCAGGGAGGCGGGGCTACGCACCGCATGGGCAGCCACGGCCGTAGCAACAAGGACGGTGATGCGCGTGAGCATAGTTGGGGTGGTGGTGCTGATGGTGTGGCTAATGACTGCAGCAGAGAAAGAGTGGACGACAACTTTTGATTGCCAGGGGCGACAAACGGCGGGGTTACGACCGACAAAAACGTTGCGAGCGTACTGCTTGGGTTAGGAGAACAAGGGTAATGATGATCGGGCAAGCATGCACAAGCAAAAGTGTATCGCTTACTAAGGTACTGCGAAAAAAAAATGCTGAATGCTCATGAACTTAGATGTGGTGTAAACTAACATAGATCTACTCCGCCCGAGCCTTCATAACGGCGTCCCTCCTCCCTCTGAGTGCCCACTCATACGCCTTGACAAGATATTTAAGATATCCGATGCCCTTTTTCGCAGCCCCATCCCTGTCCCTACTCAGGTTCAGATTCGCCTCGGCAACCAGTCGATGGTGGAGCAGCTCAATGTCGGAAAATGTAAGTAGGGGAGGAACGGCATCGTCGGGGACGTCCGTCGGCGCCGTCAGCCGAACGATCGGGCGAGGAAAAGAGTTGGGGACGATCGCGGTCCGGGTCGAGCGGGCCGGATGTTTTGTACTTTTCGGCACAAGCAGGTCTGATGGCGGATACCGCGCTGCAAACTGGCGGATGTGCGTCAGCGCACCCAGAGTCTGGCCGTTCCTGCATCCCATCAGTAAGTGGATAATACAACAAAGACGGGTGACGCACAACACGAGAACACGCATATACGCGACCCACGCTCGTTCCACAGTACGCGCAGGCACGTCTTTCAGCGCAGAATACGTCTCCCATAGCTCGCTCGCCCACTCGAGAGCCAGCGCCCGCTCAGGTCCGCGACGGGCATACGCGCATCGCTCCAGCGCTTCCAGGTACGTCCTCGCGTCCGGCTTGACCGTGGTGAACACTTGACCGAACAACCTGCGGGCAGCGGAGAGGGTCGAATGCTGGTAGTGCACGGACAGATAGGAGTTGACCAGACGCGTTGTGAGCGTCACAAGCGGAAGGCTATGATCGAGGACACGCTGCCAGAGGGCCTCGACCTCGGTGATGACCTCGAAGGCCGTCTGCGGTGGAAGACGCGTAAAGCGGGGCGAGGGATCGTTTTCAGGCGGCGGGGATGACAATGTTTCTGTCACGTCAGTTGTATTGCTAGAGGGCACAACACGGGCGAGATGGCGCGTGAACGGGGGGACGTAAGCGGTGTACGTGTGCAGCACATGCATGAAGGCCTCCTCAGCGACCTGTGCGCCCATCTCCGCCAGAATCCACCGCGCACGTGCGAGATCTCCGATACGTTTGGCTCCTTCCAGCAGCGCACACATCGTCTTCTGGTCTGGAACATACGCCGAGACACCCCGCGCATCGCGGTGCGCATCAAACATTTCCCGTGCGAGGCTGAATGCCTCGTCGATCCACATCTTGCGCCCACTGCGCGCACACGCCAGAATAACGGCATTCCACGTGCCGGTCTCCGGTACGAGCCGCTTGTCCACCGTCATCTCCGTCCACAGATCAAATGCGCGCTCAGCCTCAGATCCTCGCCCCGAGACTGGAGATGCGCACGCCCGAATCATCGTCGTATACATGCGCACGTCGGGTTCCGGGTGCGCAGCATAGCGCATGTGGGCAAATAGGTCCCAAGCGTGTGCCTTCCCCACGCTCGTGTTGGTGCTGTACAGCGCAGAGATGACCGATTGGTACGTCTTCTGCGGCGCGGGCAGGGCCTGGGCCTCGTAGCTGTGCAGCACTCCCAGTGCACTCTCCGGCAGCGCTAGATGCTTGGATGCGGCGAGATGCACCCTCACATGGAGATGGCGCTGCTCCTCGTCAGGCGCTTGGGTCAGCAGCGTGGTCAAACACCGCTCGAATCGTGTCACCGAGCGAGCAGCCACATGCTCCGCCAGGATCATCGTCATTGGCGCCTGCAGTGGCTGCAGCCCACTCCTCTGCTCGGGCATTAGTTCCCGCCGATGGATCGTCTACACAAACACACACCTTCATCAACACCAATACACCCTCCGCCCCTTCATAGTCTCTCTCTCGCATACAGCTTCGAACCAGCGCGCCAAATTGCTCCGCTGTGAACAGCGGCACCGCAATGGGATCATGCCCTCCGGCACTCCCCAGTGCCTCGAGTGCATCTAGCCGCGCTGTCGCGAGCTGCATGACGCGCGTCGCCGGGATGGTTGACGTTGCCGGTAATGCTCCAGAAATTGTCGACACTCTCTGCTCTAGGGACGCAACAATCGCCGCATCCTTCTCGCTGTCCCCTAGTGGTGCCTCCACCGCCTGCATCTCGACCTCGTGAGGCTCTGGATGTGCTAGAACATCCTGGTATAATGCCATCAGCTCATCTTCTGTGAAAAATGGGGTCTGAGATTGAGAGGCGGAGACCTGGTTTCCGGTGAGTAAAAATCTGCGCGGGACTGATTGGACACCACCCACCTCGGCGTCAGCAGCCTCCTTCACCAACCGCACTCGCTGCTCGATGTCCGCCAGGACCGGGTGCTGAGAGCCGGAAGGTCGGGACACAGAGGAAATGGGCGGTCGGGGTGTGAGCGACGTGCGTCTAGCGGTTTCTTCAGTTTCACTTCATGTTTGTAGATAGGCTTAAAACACACCGTCGGCGCCCCCGACCCACTGTACCAGCTCCGACCCCAGGTCCGAATTCCCTGCCCGGCTCGTCTCCGCCCGTCCGCGCGTCGACAGCTACTGCTACCGCGGCATGTGCATATCCCCTCGCGAGGGTCGCAGTTGCCATGTTAGACGCGGATGGAGAGTAGGAGGATGACGACGAAGCAGAGGACGAGGTCGAGCCAGAGCCAGACGCCCAAGTGGACATTTCCGGGCCAGAGGTCCTGGTCGTGGGCCCCCAGGCACGGGCCCGCGTCAAGTCGCGCAGACCGGCATGAAAGCGTGGTGTCATTCGGGACATGTTTCAGTGGCGCGCTCGATCGTGTGGTTGTACGTGTCGCGAATTCGAGGAGAATAGCAAGTTAGCTTGAGAAAGTCCGTCGCCTGCGTCTTCCGCCAGTGGCAATCTCTGTACGCTGGGCAATGCAAGCAACCACTTGGGACGAGTCTGTCCTGCTTCCGTCTTCGTGGCTAGTCGCTCAATGAGTTCGTGAGTTGCACACGCGAGCGGAGGTGGAAGAAAAAAGAGATCACTGGATCAAGTGCGAGTGACAGGGAGAGCGATCACGTGTCCGAATGCTCTCGAAAATATCATTCAAATGCGGCATCGATGCCAACCTTGTCCTTCGATTTGGAGGAAAAACCTTTGAAACATATGTCATTTCTCTGGTGAGCTGACAATCTAACTTGGCTCCAGACTCTTGGAAACAAACTGTGTCCTCGCTCTCAACTCAGATGTCGATTGGTTCTCGCATCGCGTACCACTGCTACTCGTAGTTACTTGACTAGCTTTGAGTCGGCCCCAGTAGCATCCTGCTTCAACTTGATTCTCTTGAATCAGAATCCAGCCAACCATTCGACTTTTCTTTTACAGCTCATCTGAAATCTGACGCTGTTTATGGGTCCATTCATTGATCCCTGATTGCTCCTGCACATGTTGTAAAGGGTCAATCTTTTCTGCTTGTGCTGGGCAATTCCTATCGATCCAACTGAGTTGGAGGTCTGAAATGCCAGGTTCAGTCATGGACCGCGGTAAATAATGTCCTTGCGACGAAAAATAATCTGTCATATTGAAGGCTTCGTCCGACCTACCTGGATCGAACAGGTGGCATCAAGATTATATGTTTCCAATTACAGTCTTGCGCTCTTCCAACTGAGCTAAGGTCGGATAGGGTCGGCGTCACAGGTAAGGGTCCCAGCCCGCATGCGGCACTTCCCAATACGCCGACAATCCAGCAGCGATTATTCGAGATCATGTGAAAACCTATTGCATACAATTCTCATTGTCCGGATCGTCTGGGCTGAAAAGAAATTAAAGTCGATGGTATCTCAGAACATCGAGCAGGGCCACGCGCAGATAAGGCGCAGGTTGGCTACGCTCCCATATTATCTTCCATCCGCCCTTCAGACACCGGCGACATCGGGTTTGACGGACGATGTCATTCATCTGTGAATATGTGTATGATATCTCAGCGTGATATATTGGCGATATATTGTTCTATGCGTAGATACAGTTTGTGTTGGTGTTGGAAATGAAATTCGCTTTACACGCTTTGTAGGCCAAGCCGATTTCCAACTTCACCTTGCCTATCATCATTTAGAATCCTTTGGTTGCCTTCGCGCCAGCTTGAATCAGGATGTAGAGGGGCATCGCTGTTAGCCCTCGGTGAGAAAATGCCACACTAAAATCCAAGAAAGACGCACCCAGACACGCAAAGTACACCGTTGATCTATGGACGCAACTCGATCAGCCGTCGCCGCTAGGGAAATGACAGATTTTCGACATACCGAACCCAGGACTGGAACACCGTCCTCTGCGATATGTAGATGTAGTTGTACAAGATGCGGCCCAAGACGCTGTGGATGTCCCAGCATCAGTCATCAACATCAACAGACCCAGATAGGCAACGCACTAATACAGCGACACGGTATTCAATAACGCGTGATCGAGGCCGACCAGGTTGCCGACGATCTGATCCCGCAGAGTCAGAAGCGGCGCCACAGGGTATACGCATTAAGACTCACTACAGCCGCGATCCAAATGGGGAGATTCTCATTCCCGTTCTGCCAGGCAAGGTGAGCCGCACGGACCGAGAAGGCAGGTGGGACCACGGGATCGGAAGACGACGCACGATATGGGCTCCCTCCATGCGCTGGATAAGTGCGATCTGGGCCGGCGAGAGCGACTTGTTGGCAGCGACTTCGCCCATGTTCTTTCTGGGTGCAACACTGGACGACGTGCGCGTTAGTCGGTCCACGCGACATACGACTCTCACAGGATAGCACGCACTTGTTGTAGTCCCCGTGCAGTAGGTAGATGAAAGTCGTCTGTTCCCGCGTGAGCAAACGCGTACCGATGTATGGAACGCTCACGCACCCGAATCAGAACAGGCGCGAACGCTGTGAGCCAGACCGCCGGGATCGAGTAGTACGACAGCGGCGCCGAGGACAGTGTGTTAGAGAGCGGCATGGCGAGCATCGTCGGGCTGGTGAGTGTGGATCTGGAAGTGCACAGAGAGAGAGAGTCTGGGTGTCGTTCGGCTCCCAAGTGATTTCATCCGTCTGCCTTTTATCCGCTTCGGCTCCCTTCGGAAGCAGACACCCACGCGCACACACACTTGGGCGCCGCGTTTCCCCATCAGTAGCGATACGCCGCACGCAATCGAATGCAACCGGGGACCAGCTGAAAGAGCAGGCTTCAGTGGGCACGTGAAGTGAGGAAGCGCATTACAAACCGCACGGGCACGCGTCGCCTGCGCATTGGAGCCTTGCCTTGCGCTTCTCAGAAGAACGGGAGTGTTCCCATTGGACGGAGTTAATTGCGAGCTTGCCCCACGATTGAGCGGCATCGACGGTGAATCATGGATGGCGCTTTGGGCTCAAGTCTAAGTTGAATCTAACTTGTCGATGCGCATCATGAAGGGTGTGGCTGTGCTCGCGAATCAGCTAGCGGGGCGGCGCGAACCACTTCGGGCAGGGCGGGGGAGCATCGCCCTGGGCTTATTTCCGCGCGGGAAGTGGGATGAGCCTCTGGTCAGAAGGAGATTCGGCCTTCTCAGCAGCCGGATAACCAATTCCTCGTGCCGATGACGTTCTTCCGAACCGCGTTTCCTTCTTTCTTTCCAAGGGAGACCCGGGAGGTTACGTAGAAGCCGACGAGAGATTCCCGAAGAACGCTGCTGTATTATCGGATCTTTGTTGAGAACCTCAAGCAAGCTTACAGAAGCGCCCGAGAACAAATAGAATCATATTGCACGCAATTCGGAAAGCTCTACAAAACATTGGAAGGGGTCACGAACATCATGACTGGGGCGGCATCTCGTAATCCATCGGGACATCCTTGCGCTCGAGCCATGAAGCGTCCTCGCTTCCGAGGTCCACACCCTTGCCGCAATCCAAGTGTCGCCGACAGGGAAGCTCCTTCAGCTCGACCGTCCCGTCACTACTGCGAGCCACGACGAAGTGCTCTCCGTTCCAGCCGAGGAAGTCTAGCGCTGGCAAGCCAACCGCGACGCTCCGGGACGCAGCTGCCCACAAGTCTGTCTGCAAACGGAGATCTTTCTCCGATAGTAGGTTAGGCTTGGGCCGGTGCTTTGATGTGTTCTGCAGATGCAGAAAAGCCAGCGACCTGAAGGCTTCGAAGTATCTGGCGTATTCATTCTTTCGGTTCATCAGTGCCACGCCAGATGGAGCTACTTCCCGCGGCTCACCAAAGGCCGATCAGACACCACAGCGGAGAGGTGGAGGGCAACCATCGATAGCGGGATCGCGTTCACCAAGCCGGTGACTGCCGAAGCAGTGAGATTCGCGATACGCACACCCAACACACGTAAAGCTGAGAGCCCGGGCAGCAGATTCAAGGCCATGTCCCATGGACAGCTTCCCAAGTCCAGCCGGCGCAGCCGCGTTCGCCGTCGCAGAAACTGGGCCACGGCGCGGTACAGGGTGACCTGGTCGTCATGACCGACGACGACGAAACGGAAGGCCTCCAGATGCGGCAGAAACGTGTGCTGGCCGTCGATGATGTGATCGCTTCCGAAGACGACGGCCGCCGCTGCCGGATCCTCGAACGTCCCGTGCAGTGTAAGACTCTGCAGCCCGTGGGCGTGAGCGATGCGAGACAGCACGAAGTGCGAAATCCGCGTGTCGACAAGATCGAGCTGTGTCAGGTTCTTGATCGTCACGCTCTCAAATGCACTGTCCCAGGAGTGGTCGCGCGCAAGATATGCTCCTAGCACCAGATGCTGCAGAGTATCCGCATTTTGATCGAGCACAATTCGCACTTCACCCATGTCGGCGAATCCATCGTCGTCTTCAGCGCGGAGAGTGAATTTGCGCAAGTTCCTGAACGCGGAAACACCGACTGCGTCAAAATGCCACCCGCTGCCAGTTGATGAGCGCTTTGTGAGAGAGAATGGGCATGATAGGGCTCACATCAGACCCAGTCTGTAGATAGAAGAGTGGGTAGAGAGTACAGTCTGGACCATTTCTGCCCGCATTTCCGGATAGCCAATCCACTCAAGCTCCTGAAGCGCTTTGAACTCAGGGAGCGTGGAACGAAAGATGCCTGGTAAGAAACATCCATTCAGTACTTGGACACTTGAGCAGATTTACATACGAGTCATGAGATCAAGCATGTCCCCCTCCTCATGCGCCCAGTGCAGCCTTAGAGTTTTGATGCGCAGCGCAAAGACCGGATCCGCCTTCACCCGGTCGAAAACATCCAGACCACGATTCAGTGCCTCTTGATCGTCGCCGAAATACAGATCGAGGGTGTGGAAGATCAGTCCCACTGCGATGTCTCTGAAGAAGGAGGAAATGAAGAGCCAGGTGCGCAGGTGATAGCGCGGGATAAACGATGCGATGCGGTCCCATATTTCGACCGGAACGCGCTGGAAAGCAGGATCCCGCGCAAAACGTATATTCTGGAGACAGACCGCTTGAGAAGGAGGCGAAAAAGCGTGAGCCGAGGCGTACCACACGGCCTCTTTGCGAATGTTGCTGTATCTCCCGATTTGCAGGGTCCAGCTGGAGGACGGCACGGAAGTCTGGAGACGGGTTCAAAGACGACCAGTTTTCCGGGGTGAGGAACGCACCTTGTTCCGCCTTCTCGACAAGTTCCTCCCCTGCCGCCTTCCGAGCTTTCCCTCTGGCTAACAACGCCTTCACCACGTCGGTCCGTGGTAAGTCTGGAGTCTTGAGGTAAACCTCGAGGTAGTTTTCGACTTCTACACCATATCTTTGACGGTCCAGGTAAGATGAATCCATGATAGCCTGGTGACTCACTGTCCCGAGTGAATCAGAGTAAGAGCGGTATCCAACAACAAATTGGCTTTGCGCTTGTTCGAGAGAGAGTGAATGGCCCCAAAGACCGTCGCGGTCAGTTCATCGGCTCCAACAGTCGAGGTCATGGATAATTGGATGTTAGTGCGGATGCTCAGAGAAGAACATCGGCCCAAATCAAGTCCGGCCTGGGTGGCAGCGAAAGAGGAGTGTGGGGTGTTGCCGATCACAAATCATGATCTGTCATTGACCCCAGACCTCTCTCCTAGCACCTCCATGGCCAGCCCAGTGGACACCAGTCCTGGCCCTCCCGTCGTGGTAAAACATGATCCCGAAGAGCTCGGGATGTACATTATCGTCAGTGATATCGCAGCCGGGACGTTCGGGACAGTCAAAAGTGCGTGTCAATCTTGAATCCGCTCCCCCCGCCTCACGCCGCTTCTCCGCAGAGGCCATCCACAAGGTCACTGGGCATCGGGTCGCTCTGAAGTTTCTTTCAAAAGCTGCTGTTGCCAATAACGGGATGAAAACACGCGTGCGGCGTGAATTCGAATACACCCGGATGCTGCGGCATCCCCATATCATCAAGCTGTAGGCCGCCCCGCTCGTCTGCTGTCGCCGCACTAACTGGCTCACAAAAGCTATGAAATCATTACTACGCCCGAGGAGATCGTGTTCGTGCTCGAATACGCGGAGGGCGAGCTCTTCGTGTACATCCGCGATCACGGACCGCTCGACGAAAATCTTGCGCGACGATTCTTCCAGCAGATTATCGCGGGAGTAGAGTACACGCATCGACAGAAGATCATACATCGAGACCTCAAGCCCGAGAACATCCTCCTCGACGAATACTCCAATGTCAAAATCGGCGACTTTGGTCTGTCTAAGGAGGCCAAAGACGGGGAGTTCCTGACGACGAGCTGCGGCAGTCCCAACTATGCGGCGCCCGAAGTTATCAGAGGGGACCGGTACTCAGGTCCTGACGCTGATGTGTGGAGCTCAGGCGTGATCCTCTACGTTCTGCTCTGCAACCAGCTTCCTTTCGAGGACGAGAACATCACCGAGTTGTTCGAGAAGATCAAAAGTTTGTCTGGCTGTTCTTGCTCTCGTGCTTGGTCGCTGACATGGTTTAAGCGCTGAAGTACGATCTGCCGACCCACCTGAACCCACTCGCGCAGAACCTGATCAGATCCATGCTCGTGCTGGATCCGTTCCAGCGTATAACGATCCCGGAAATCATGAAACATCCTTGGTTCACAGTCGACTTGCCGAGGTATCTGACGCCCCTGCCGCCCATACCGGGTGCCGTGGTCGGGACTCTGAGCTCTCTGGTCGCTCCACCGGTTGTACCCCTGGACAGGGACCTTGAGTACGTGGAAGGACTGGGCCGGATTGATGACGAGGTAGTCGACGAGTTGGTTGAGCTCCTGGAAGGAGTCGACAAGGAAGAAGTCTTGCACAGTTTGCGTCGGGACGACGGGTCTCGTGGGAATCAAGTCAAGGTCGCCTACATGCTGCTGCAGGACAAGCGGAGAGTGGGCAAAGACCGTGCGGTGTTTTGCTTTGCTGATCCGGATGTGTCTCATGTTCTGCAGTTGCGATCGTTTCTGAGCTGGAGCGAGAAGCGGAGCTGGCGAGCATGGACGTGAGTGCGCGCTCCATGCCTCAACTCGTGTCTGACAGACTGTGCAGCCCAGAAATGCCATCTCCCCTAATGCGGTTTCTCCCAACGGCGGCGATGTTGATGAAAATCCGTTTGAGGCTGAGTTTGAGGAGGACATCGACGACGTCGATGACGAGCTTATCGAGCTTGCGGAAGACGAGGTAGACGTGCCGTCGAGATTCTCCATCCTCGGAAGCTCCCTGCCAGCGCCTGACTTGATGAACTCCGGTCGGCGACGGCACAAGAAACGCTCCAAATGGCAATTCGGGATCCGCAGTTCGAGTCCGCCTCTGAAAGTGTTGAAGGAGATCTACGCGCAGCTCAAGGCGATGGACATGGAGTGGAAGTACAGGCACGATCTCAGTGACATCTTTTGTATCGAGGCGAGGGCGCGAGTGAGAGATTTCGTGGTGCGTGTCATCGCTGCACGAATTGCCCTGTGTTGGATGTCGGCTGAATTCGTTGTCAGATTCTTATGAACATCAATCTGTACGACACGAAGCAGCATTTGGGGCTTGAGTACTACCGACTCGACTTCGTACACAAGAAGTCGTATCGCGCGTCGACGCTCCCTGGTGCCGGCAAATATGATGCGGCGCCCCGTGAGGGATCCGAGTCCGAGTCCATCACCCGATCGTACGCTCGGTCGGTGTTCACGGACGGACTGAATGACAAGAAAACAATTTTGTCTCCCTTTATCTTCATGGAACTGGCCGCTGAACTGATCCTCAACCTTGCTGCCAGTAATGCTAATGACTGACGAGTATCTTCCTGCTGTGTGTACAAGGTCATATACGTAACATGTACTTGTAAATGTAGATCATGTACTGTAATTGTAACAGTTTGAGTTTCATGCAAGTCGTATCGACTCTCTAGCTTCTACTTGTATCTCGACAGACTTGTGGCTTCACTCAACATTTAATTCGACTAGATACATTGACATGTCAGTATTTTCAGGCGTCGACACTGTCCTGTTCCAGAGTTTCGGCCTGACTGCCGTGCATGATCAGTACCCTGATCATACAACCTCGACGAGTTTCCAGCTCTGTGTGTTTGATACTACTTACCAGCTTGCTTCGTTCTCCGAATTCACGAATCGGACGTGACGATTCCGAAGCAAGGTGCCATTGACACGTGATGAAACTGATGTTAATAAAAGTTGAGTTATAAGCGGAAGCCATACACGGACCCCTAGTGAATGAACTCTTTGCTTCAGAATGCTCTCAAGAAGTCTATGACTCCAGCGTCATAGCGTTTTCCCAGTTTACTGAGGATTGATCCCACAGCCGGATCGCAGTCTCAAGGAACGACGAACCTTTCGCTATTATATACGCGATCTCACCACGCGGAGTCCCAGGGCACAGGTGTGCGTGTTGAGACGAACGCCAAGACAGCGAGCGATACAGCTGCGCTCGAAACTCACGTCGGTGTCGTATGTGTTCTTAAAACGTCCTTTTCTTCACAGCCCGGGATGCGGCTAGGTTGCTTGCTTGTATGAATGTGCTCTTCGCTGGGCTAGGCTGTCATTTCACCCGTCAGAGATGTTCCCAGCAGGCATCGTACGACTTGCGCAGTCACGGATGCAGTTATCTATGACACCATCCTTTTGCACACGACCCGGGATCGAGGCGATGTTGATCGTAGCCTAGTATTCCACCGCTGTGGGTGCCTCCGCAGAATCGACCAAGAGTCCCTTTTTCACGACATGCAGTATATCAGCATAGGCGGCTTGTTGCGACGATGAAAAGACCAGACTTGCATCATCAGTACCAATTGCAATCTCGACGCTGGGAATGATAATCATACTTGGGTGATACGCGAGTCCTGGTCTCAAGCCCTCAGCACTGCTTTAGCTCGCTCGCTCGCACGCACTGCCCAGAAGTGGCTCTCTGCGCCCGGCGCCATCCGGCCTTCGACGCGGATGTGAGAACTGCGACGAGGGTATGCGTCAAGTAGGCGATGCGATGCGATGCGTGTGGGTAAAGAACTGGAGAAGATCTTCACTGTGCAAGTCTGGGCTTCGTTCGGTGTCTACGTCCCTGAAAGCTCTATGCCTCGGAGTTGTTGTTTAGCGTGTCCGTTGGTTAGCCTTGGTGGCGCGTAGATTTTTGGTCGCGGCATCCTAGGCCCAAGGGCTCGCAGGTCTAGTATTGCATGGAATTCTTGGGGCCAGATGTTTGCGCTCAGGGCCAGAAGCGACTGCGCAACGTCAAGCTGGGAAGGCGAGAGTTGTCGACACCGTGTATAGCCCGCCACCACATCAGTTAGTTGTGCGGAGTCCAGTGCTTGGGCGATTCCCACGATCTGAGTGGCTACAACCCAATCATGCCAAAGCTCGATGTTGTTGACTCTTGTCTTATTCCATCCATGTACTCGGAACCTACCCGGTTTCCGTTCACACAACATTCCAAGCGGCCAGGTGCGGCCATGCGTGGCTGCCTCATGCGACATACATAGATCGACGGCTTTTTTCTGCTCTCGCTGAAACCCGTTGAGGCTCTCGAGCCAAATCCCTGAGTTCATTGATTCAGTTCGAACTCCTAGGACTGCACACTACGGTCTCGACTTTACTGTGGAGTCCCAGAGTGGTCATGATGACGATACGGCGGAGATGCTCAGACTTAATGCAGGGTCCGGGTCAATGAAGCCGGTGCATGGCCGGGCTCGGGGCTGCTTGGAGACTTCACACGGAGGCTCGGTTATACCGGCGAACAAGCTCCCCGCCTCAGACGCCGACTCGAGACCCCCGATGCGGGGCCAAGAGAAGTGTGTGGCACGCCTGATAACCACTGGCCATCCTCTCACGTTTCCCCAGACGCTTCCCTTCCCGCCACTTGCGCCAGCAGCTTGTGTCTAGACTGTGGCCCTAGACTCGGCTCATAAACTACAAGCGCGAAAACTGAATCAGACGTACGGACGAGCCATTGCATCTGTCCCGGCCATACAATTCAATGCTGCCAATGTGCGTACTCGGCTTGGCTTGATGCGCGCGCGACCAGCAGCTGAAGTGCCTCAGACGATCATCGCCAGCCCGCGCTTCTGTGCTTGCGCTGTTGCTTCATGCTGCGTGCGTATGGGGCGACAGCCAGGTCAACGTCACCATCGACGACACCGACGCCGCGATCGTCTATTCGCCCGCGACGTCGTGGAACTCGAGTGCCGTGACATGCGATGGGTGTAACGATCCATCACCCGTCCTGGCTGTTGGGCGGACATTCCACAAGGGGGCAAATATCGCCGTTGGATCGCTCTCGGCCCCTGCGGCCAGCCCCCCGACGACCTCCGCTGCCCCCGCCTCTGCCTCTCCCCCCGCTCCCGCCCCCGCCCCTGCGACTGGGACGAACTCGACCGTGGCTCCTCCGCAAGACACGGACGTGCCGGGCGGCACGGATAACGATGGGGACTACGGCGGCAGCGGCAGCGGCCACGGGAAAGGCCCCCGCCGGCGAGCGACACCCGCCCCCGTGTCCCTGCGGTTTCCGTTTACCGGTAAGCGACGCACCGGCTTCCCCGCAGATGTGTGTGACTTATGTGAGTAGGAGTCGCTGTGTACGCCTATGCGATCGAGCCCTCTAGCGCGCCTACGGCTGCGAGCCCGTCCGCGCAGACGAACCTGACTTTCAATCTGGACGATCTCGCCCCGACGACGCTGATCCGAACGAGCGGATCGGGGCCAACGGACTTCCTGTTTAACGCGAGCGTGTTTGCGCAGACGGGGCTCGCTGATGGGGACCATGTCCTGACGATCACCCTCGGCGACGACTCGGTGTTCATCATCGACTACTTTGTCGTCACGCAGTCTGTCGTTGCGCTCGCGGGCAGCCCCTCCGCGGCGAGGTGAGTGTCGGCGTTGAGATCAGACGGACGCGATCTGAGATTCATCAGCAGCAGCTCAATCGGGCCACCCTTAGTCACAGGGGCGGTATCGGATGCTTCTGCGCAAACGTAAGCCCGGGGACAATACCTACCATCCGATTCACGCTCTGAGCACACCCCAACAGCAAAAGCGGCCGCGCATCGTTCGTCGGCGTCGTCGCCGGCGTCGTCGGATCTCTCGCGCTGCTCGCGTCCAGCATCGCCCTCAGCCTCATCATCCGGCGGCGGAACTCCCAGCGCAGGAACAGGCTGCACGGTCCCGCGCCAGCACCAGCCACGGACGACGAAGCGGCTGTGTTCGTCCCGCGGTACTTCCCGGGCGAGGAGCCCCGCCCCGGGCTGTCGCCGGTGCTGCCGCCGTACGAGCCGCGGTCGTATGCGGACGTCCCGCCCCCGCTCGACCAGCTGCCGCCCCTAGCCCCGCCGCCCTCGACGCCTGATGCCGATGCTGGCGACGGCGCCGAGCCGATGATGCGCGAGGTAGCGCCGCATGTGATTGCGCGAGTGGTATCCACGCCGTCCCGTACCCAGTCTGTATAGATTGTTCCCGCATTGAACGCTTCGTCCCGCTGTATGCCTCCGTGCTGACTGAAGACTCCGCCTTCCTTCTTACTTATCGTACGAAACACAAGTGTCCACTGTAAAATCGTGTCCAGCAGCCTCTGTCACTACCCACTAATCCGATCGAATTGAGTCGACTGACACGGTCACATGTCTCACGTGGTCTTAATCGTGGGGCAATGCAGATCAAGAACCTCTTGCTTACTCGCGCAATTGATATCGTCATTGTCCTGTATGATTGAGGGGCTCTCCACAAATAATTTTGCATCGTCTCCCTGCGCGTTTTCACGACTCCAGGGCTTATACATCCACTACATTTTCGGAATCGTGTGGGCGATCATCTTGGATGTTGAAGAGATAGGTTAGGAAGCTAAATTCTCTTGCGCTGAGTTATGGCAGTCAGGAAGCCAGCATAAAAAACAGTTAGCCGAATGATTTCTGCATCCAAGATACAGCGCAAATGCGTCATTTTTTAAAATTACTTCCCATTTAGGACCATCAGAGAATAAACCACTGACCACGCACGCAGGAGAGCAAAACTGACTGCATCATGAAGGGAGTCGGGATCATGGGATATACTCGTAACATCTCAGATCCATTCGATACCTCATTGGTTATTTTTCGTTTATGAATTTTGGCCTGGCTTGACTGTCAATTCAGGAGGCTCCGAGTCCGCGGCTAGATACTGTGTGGCAGTACAATGATCCAATCAGCACATCATTGTTTCTCCCACTCCTTATCCAGACCGGAAGTTCCCGACGCCGTCTTGGACTATGATACATGAAGTCATCGCGTGTCTCCACAATTCGCATGAAAGTATCTGATCTGGCCAGAGAACGACTTGACCACGACCTTTAATCTGCCCTTCACGCGCTTCCTACGTACCTAACCAACTAACCAACTAACTAACCGTTTTCCGCTCATGAACCACCCGCTGCTCTTCCCACTCCTGCTGCTGCTGCTCGAAGCGCGGCGATGCAGCGCGTATTGGCTCATGGCTGCGAGTGCGTGTTGAACTATCCGCCACACCTGTTCTGTTCTGGGCTGGGCCAGCGACTGACACGCGCTGCGCGCACACAGACAACATCCTCACCTCGCAGCGCCTCGACCCCGTCGTGTCCCCCGGGCGCGTCTCGACGCACGTGCACTCCGGTAACACCACACCACATGCGCTGCCGGACATCCTGCGCTGACCACCCCCTTCCTTTCTTCTTTTTCTTTTTTTTTTGGACGCAGTGGTGGGGGGCAGCAACTTCGGGCTGAACACGTCGACGGCGGCGCTGCGCGCGAGCGCGTGCACGTCGGTGCCGATCCCGGAGGACAGGTCGGACTACTGGTTTCCCGTGCGTCTGTGCCGCGTAGCGTATCTGGGCTGAGGCAAGGCTGACGAGGGGGGTGGGTGGGTGGCCGCAGCATATGTACTTCCAGTGCGTGGTCGCAGTGCTGTTCGGACCGGGGGAGTGCGGCTGAGTCGGTGGATGACAGGTGGTCGAATGGGAGCTTCACGAGGTGCGTGTGTGTGTGTGTTGCGTATCGTGCGCTCGGGGGTCTGTGCTGACGGGCGTGCAGTGTAACGGGGAACGTCGTCATGTGCGAATACATCCATCCGCCTTCGCCGCCGCTGCAGTGCTGACTGGGGGTCGATAGCTGTGAGCTGCGCTTGTTTCCGTGAGACCGGAGGCCCTTCAACGAGGCGCACAGACTATCTGTTCAACAACACGCCGGGCGCGACGACGGCCTTCCCCGACGACGTTAAGTCACTTTCCGCATTCCACGCCGTAGCTAACCATAGCTATTCCAGTTCCGGATGCTCTCTGGTGCCTAGCGACTCCTCTCATTCAAGCGCCCCGTGCTGATCACAACACAAAGGCGACCCCACGCTGCGCACGCTGGACCCTTCCTCCTTTGCGCAGCAGGCGGTCACATTCCTCTGCCTCGACTTCAACGGCAAGTCGAGCCGGTACAACGAGCTCCCGCGCGGGATCAGCTGTCCGTCGGGGATCCGCTCGCAAATCGTACGTACGCTGGTCTGTCCTGGATTGGGTGCTGCCTCTCGGCTGATCTTGGCGTGCAGAACTTCCCGAGCTGCTGGAACGGGAATGTGCGTCGTTTTTTGGTGTGCTGCTGGATGAGGTTATGTGTAGCTGTCATTGACATTGCATCTAGGATACAGACTCGCCGGACCACAAATCACATGTCGCCTTTCTAAGTACCGGGCCAGACAACGGGACGTGCAGCGATCCCGGCTTCCCTGTGACGCTCCCGCGCATCTTCATGGAGGTGTGGATCCATTGAATCCTGTGAGAAGAGCGTGTTAGAGAGATGATGCATCGGCAGGTGTACTGGATCTCGCAGGTGTTTGAAGGGCAGCGCAAGCAGGCCATGACGCCGAGTCAGCCATTTGTGTGAGCATAACCCATAATTTGAGTGGACGATAACATGACCCCTGCGCAGATTCGCACACGGAGGTCCGTGTGCTGTATTGAGCTGCCGATCGAATTATGACTGGGGCCTGAGCAGACCCGACGGGCTACGGGTACCACGCCGACTTCTTCAACGGCTGGCAGCCGAATGTGCTGCAGAACGCGCTGGACCGGTGCAACTGCAACCCGTACGGGGACCCGACGTGCTGCGTCTCTGCGGGGATCTTCGGGCTGAAGCAGTCTGCGCAGTGCTACATCACGAACTCGGTGGACGAGCCCAGTGCGTGACCTAGCCGGGCATGTCGTGCTGCGTGTGGAGGCTGATGATGCTAGCTTTGGGAACGCTCGACACGCTGCCCGGGAATAACCCGGTTCAAGGTGTGTCTCCATGCGCCGTACGAGCAGGTCTGATGCTGATTCGATTCCGCAGCCCCGTGTTCGTCCGCCCTGCGATTCCATCCGATTCGATCCCATTTAATCTAATCTACAGGCTACCAAAACTACATCGACCCGACAACGCCCCCGATTCTGTCCCCCGTGTCCGTGTACACGACATCCACGACCCCGGGGATGCCCTCCGGGACGGTGGCCACCGCCGCGCAGACGGCCGACGTGACGCAGACCGCGAACGGGTCGTGCATCCGGCCCGGCGCCGCGCAGCGGTCGGCGCCTCATGCCGCGATCGGGGTGGCGGCAGCGGCGATTGTGACCATGTCCCTGGTGGTGGCGGGCTGTTTCTGAGTTGCGGTTATGCCGAGGACGTGTTCGATTGTACTTTACACACATATCGCATTATAAGTCGTCCAATGGATACCCAGTTTCTGTGCACGACGGGGCGGGCTGCGCGAACGCCAGGGAGGGGTACCCAGAGCCCGAGCCCGAGCCCGACCCCGAGCCGTCCCGGTCAGTGCGCGCCCGTCCGGCCCGCGCGTCGGCGCCGACGTCGGCCTCTGCGGCTTTGCGGAGATGGATGAGCAGGCGGGAAGTCAGGATGCCCACGGCGGCGTGGAACGGGCTGCATCCGTCAGCGTCATCGCCGCGCAGTCCCATGCAGACACGCACCCGTAGCTGAACCACGGGATGTGCGTCACGCTCTGTCACGGACCGTCTCCGTTCAGCATCAAGTCTGTCACAACGCAGGAACGCGACTTACGACGACCATCAGCTGTCCCACGCCATCTGATTAGCGCGTTCGACTGTGAGCGGCCGCTGAGACTCACGTTATTGAAGACCAGGATGCACGTGATCCTGCGGCTGGTGTCAGCATCCGTGCGTCGGTGCGGGGATCGAGGAACGCACACGAAGAAGTAGAGCACGTTGTCGCGGAGCACGACGTCCAGCAGCGAGTGGTACCCCGTCTCGGATCTGGCGCCCGCGGTCTGCACGGACTTGACCAGCGCGTACCCGAACAGAATCCCCTCGTAGATCGTCGCTGCGTCCAACGTCAGCGACAAAGTGAGGCGCCAAGGGAGGCGGAGGCGCACCAGGGACCCACTGCGCCCACTCGATGCCGGAGTGGATCGACGGGCAGCCGGGCAGCGGGAGCCGGATCGCCGCAGCGATCACTGCGCTGCGCCGCGCGTGGTTGTAGACCAGGATCCACACGTACCCCGCGATCGACCCCGCGAAGAGCGTCGCGTTGACTGCTGCGATCTGGTGGTAGATGCATGGATCAGCGGATGAACGGATGAACGACACGCAACGCAGCGCAACGCACGCGTCTGGAGCACTGGTAGATCGCGTACACGCGCTGCTGCATGACGATCTCGACGCTCCACAGCGAGAGCGCGCCGACGACGCGGATCACGGTGTCCATCGCGACGCACACCGCGTCCGAGGTCACGCCCGGCACGGTGAACACGTGGATCTGCACCGCGTCGAAGATCAGCAGGATCAGCCTCCGGGACGCATCAGAACGCGGTAAGCAAGTGGAGGCGTCGCGCGGCTCACGTGTAGTATCTTATCTGCACCGCACCGCGTGGGTCAATCGAGCATGAAGGGAAAAAAAAAAACGATAAACGGCTGACCCAGAGGAACATCGCCTTGCTAAAGTTCATGCGCGCGGACCAGATGTACCGTATTTCGTCCTCCAGCGTCACGACTCCAGCGCCCATCTCAGCACACACACGCTCCCTCATCACAGCACATAAAACGCACAGTAATCGTGGATGACCCATGACAGCCCAACCACTGTGTGGCACGGAATCGAATCAAATCAAATCAGACAACACACACGCGGGTCTGGCAGTCGCGGGACGCACGGCAGACATACAGCGGAATCAGGCTGTGGATGTACAGCGTGATGAACTCGCTGTCCGCTTCGACCATGGTGCGAGAACGAGAAGGGGAAGGGAGGGGAGGGGAGGAGCGCGTAAAGAAAAGCAAATTCCACGGTGGTGCGCGTATTTCCCGAGATACACATCAGTCGCAACATTGATCGATCGGTGGAGAAGATCCCCCGCATGAAATAATTTGGAGCAGCCCCTGTGCACTCGGTGATAAAATTTGGGCGGAGGGTGATCTGGATTCCTGGGGTACTCGCAGATTCGTGAGCAGTCGGTCGATCATAGCGGTTTCGCCTAGTACATCATGAACTCTCGGTGCTCACAAATATCGGATACAGCAATTTAGAGGGGATAAAAGATCACCCAGACCTCCAACAACAAGTGCTTTTTCCAAGGTTTGCGTGCGGATGGGCGGTGGACGCGTCAGTCACGTGACCGTTTATTCTGACCGCTGTTATCAATCGCTTCCGAGTACAGACTGTAGACACAGACTGCGGCGCCATACGTAACACGAGCTACATTCACGCTACGGCCGTCGGCGAGATTGCATAGAAATACATGTGATGTGTGAATTCGGCGAGGAAATCGGGAGGTACATATTGTAGTTTTAATTTACAGATGCTTCGTCCATGCCATTAGAAACTTCTCGGGGAGGAGTTGAGTTGAGTTGACGAGCCGCGCGAAGTTGCGGCCCTGAGTGCACGCACCCACGCGCAGCGACGTTCCGCGACGCGGAGCACTCTCGCCGGCGCCGACCATGCCACCCGAGTCGGCTGCCCGCTAGCCTGACCGGTGCGACGGGCTGCACTCAGCGGTAGAGGAACGGATACTGCTGCGTGCGGCGGCGCCACTCCTGCTGGCGGCAGAGCAGCCCGCGCAGGAGCTTGACGAGCGTCGTGCGCAGATCGGGCAGGGACGCGGCGAGGACCTCGGGCGACGGGTCCTCCGCGAGACACGACTCGAGCGTCGTGCGCAGCTCCGTCGGCACGCAGTGGATGTCGCTGCGAACGCAAACCCCAACCCAAACAAAGCGCGGGTCAGCTCAACTTGGCTCGGCGTGCGGGGCGCACGGGGGCAAGCGCACCTGAGATCGATGCGGTGGTACGCAAAGGCCTGCACGGCGGTGTTGAAGTCCGTCCCGATCTGCACGTACACGTCGCTGACGTCCGTCTCCGACGCGCGCCCCACGGACCACTGCTCCAGCACCGCCTGCAGCTGTTTCGTCGCGAGGAGGAGGTTGTGCACGGATGTCGAGACGTCTCCTGGCATGGCCTGCTGCGCGGGGTGGGACACGGCGACGGATCGCGGTGGGGAAGGAGGAGGAGGAGGAGGGGGTGGGGGTAGCGGTGGTGAGTACGCCGACATAGGTGTAAGAGTCCAACGAGGGGCACGCACGGGGCTAAAGACATGTCCTCCCTGACTACCGTCGCTCGTGTTTGAGCTGGATGTAGAGCGTCGATAAGCTGGGACGCTCGGGTTGCCGTCGTCCTGCATCGTCGCCGGTCGGGGGTGTACCGAGTCGGAGTTCGTAGCTTAGATGGGTGGGGGGAGGGGAGGAGTCAGGGTCAGGATTCGAGAGCGAGGGTCTGCGCAGTTGCTGCGGGCACGGAAGTCGGACCTAGATATGTATTATTCCCAGCCGGAACTTGTCGATCGCCGCTCGATACTGACTCTGAGTATTTAAGCGACCGCAAGGCACGCTGCCGTTCCCAGTCGTGACGGCTGTGGCCGGCTCCCGACAGATCGTCGGGGAAGCGGGGGCTGTGGTGTGCCGCGACAAGGTGTTGCGAAGAGGCGCATTGTTCACCGCGTGCTGTTGTCTGCTGTTGCTGCATCACTGCGTTTCGGATAACCATCCTGAAGTGCCTGCCCTTCACCTCTTTTGGGAGGATCGCCGTCTACCGATCCCCGTGCAAGATTCGTGTCAAGGCCGCCCTGAGCGCTTAGCATCGGGATAGATTTTGTTCCTCGCGACAAACTAGGGTTCACGAGAAAGGACATGGTCTGTTCTAGGCAACGCAGATCGTGATGCAGAGTTGGGGTCTCAGTGCTACACTGTGACGGTGTCATAGTCATGTCATCAGGTGCATAACACGACGTATCCTCACGTGATCCAGTAGTCACACTACGAGCTCGTGCAATCTCCTCCCAGGCATCATAAAGACCTATGATCCAAATACAGGCTTTCAGGACGTCTAAATATTCAATTCCATTGAAATTCGACTAATCCATGTCAAAATATCGGGGATCGACTAGCACAGATAGCGTTGAATGTGCCGGCAGCGGTCTACAGAGGGTGGCTGTGCTTTGAAGTGCCGCAGAGATGCCACATGTGTCACACTGGAGTGCCGCAGACTTGTTTGCAGTGCCGCAAGAGGTCCCGCCTGAGTGCCGCAGTGTGCCGTGGAGTCTGCGGCACACTGTTCTGGAGTGCCGCAGGAATGAGATCTCCATTGCTGCCGCCGACGACAATGGCGTCTGGAATAGTCCCGCTGCCTGCGCGGATCATTCCCAGGTCCATCAACGTCTCAGCCGACGTGTTGATCGTCGTTGATGTCGTCGAGATCAATCATGTGGAGTATTCGGAGTGCCGCAGGGGTACCGTGGCAGTGCTCCTGCAGCACTTTCAATGAGCCCTATCACCTTAGGTTTTAAAAGCCTCTTTGTAGTCTAGGAGCTACATACTGAGTGCGCATTTCAAAAACAAGCCACAAAGGCAGGAGATTTCCTGAAAATGGCGCGAATTGGCAGGCTCGAGCGCGCCGCCATCAACGACGAGCACGCTTATGACGTCGGGAACGGTCATCAGAGGCTTCGAGTAAGCATATTCACGTCCTCGAGTCACGGAGTGCCAGGACCCCAGCACATCCGATCGATCCATCGGTCGAAATAGACCATGTCCTTTGTCGTCGACCGTAGACAAACTCTCCAGAAGACTGCGCGTAAGGAATGACGGAATTATCTATGTATCAGCACGGCGATCTCCGTCCGGATCCTACTTCTGACCGCGCTGGATTATGCCTTCACCATAGTCGATGTCGTGCTTTCTACTTATAACAGTTTGAGCCACTCCGCCGGACTCGTGCCAGTCCGGTATTGTAGCACGCACGTACCCGGTCGCAACAGATGAACATCCATGGCCGATTCGCCCACGCGACTGCTCTCTGGTGACAGACCCGTCACTCGCACTACTACCACGCGACTCGTTTGACCCCCGGTTAGAACAGATAAGAATAATATCGAGGGATTCACAGATGGGTGCTGATTTCAACGCACTTTTGCAACGGATTACATGCTGCACGCTGCAGGCAGATTACACAGATGGATGATGGTGGCATTGGACTACAAAGCTGTAGAACCGGAGGCATCCACCGGCGCGGAGAACCAATTGCGAGAGATATAGGCCAGCGTCGATCGCTGGCTTGTCGGTGCCAAACTTAATCTCAGAGAGTGAGCCGCATACGATGATTTCCGGGCTCAACATCAGAGCCTGGTTCCCAGGAATCAGAATCTGTGGACGTATTGACTGCGGGAACAGCCTCAAGTCCATGGACACGAGACACCACATCACAGCGTCGCGAGCTGCTATCATCGATTTCTCTGTCGTTGTCCTCTGCATGGTGAAGATTGTCGCCGGCAGACTGAGATTCGGATTCGTCGGAATCGGAGGCAGAATATAGTCCATGATGGTCATTGGCCCATTGCCTCACTCGCCTCTCGTCACTACAACACTTTTGCCGTCCTCGTCCACGATGGCTGCGTCTAATTGTTCGCAGGCAAATTCGAAAGCTCGTCTACCAGGGAACCACGAGAACTCTCTGAGACGCAGAGCGAGCCAATCGAGGTGAGATCGAACGAATGGAAGGTCGCGATAGAAAGCCGCCGGATCGTCGTGGGCCAGGGAAAAACGGACGGAGTCTGCGATCGCTCGCATGCGTTTAAGATCCTTGACATTGGAGGCTCCGACCTCTTTCTCTAGCAGTGCGGCGGCTGGACCCAAGAAACCCACAGTAATATGTGACTAGCTGCCCAATGCAGCGCGCTGTCGAATGGATGTTCATCGGGTGCCTCTCCACGATAGAATGCGTACAGGGCCAGACAGCTTGCAGGGGGAGTATTCCGCAAGGAGTGAGCTTCTCGAATTGAAGATTCGGGAGAGCAGAGGCTCAATCTCAGCCTCGCTCCTGCCGATTGCGCGTGTATGATCCATCCAGAATTATCCGCATGAATTCGCTATGCTTCGCCAGATATTCCTGTACAGAGAAATGGATGAACTGCACAGTTTTCTCTCGGCCGGTCAGGTGTCGCCGCAAACTGCTGTTCACGATAGCGATGTTCACCAGCGACGAGCATCGTCTCTGAACTGCTCGCTCTGCCTCGGGTCCCGGTGGATGATAACATTAGGCGCCACGAAGATTCCATTCGACTTCCGATTCAGTTCTTCTGTGGCTCTTTCCCGAATAGTGACCGGTCAATGCCAGCAGGTTCATCGAGCTGGGCGGTGATGTAGCGGGAAATGTCGCTCCTACAGCTCAGGGCAACGTCATGCAAGTCCAAGGAGTGTGTGCATAGAGGCCGGAGACAAGTGTCGATGTCTGCCTCTCTGCGACTAGTGATCAGAAGTCTTAGAGCGCCGGGCTCGGATGTCACGAGCTTCTGAAGTAAAGAAAGCAGGTAGTCCACTCTCCCTGGATTCGGATACTCGTCCAGTGCGTCCACGACAAACACAACCCGCCGAGGTGAGGCCCTGAGCATATTCACGAGGCGTGCATAGGGGGTGCCCTGATCAGCAGAGAGCTTCGACAGATGGTTTTCATACGCCGCCGCAAGTTGGTTATGACAGGCCGCAGACATGGTGCCAAGTTGATAGACCAGCGATGAAAGGAACCTGGGAACAGAGTGCGTGTCCGGAACACGGAAATCGAAGAAATAGTACGCGATGTGCTCGTTCTGCGACAGAAGATGTTCGATGGCGGATGATCTGCAGTTCCTGTGAGAAATACAAGACTACGAAGCCAATTCTCTAAACTTACGACAGCACGCTTTCCCCAGCGCCAGCTGCGGTACAATCAGCGCTATGCAAAGAACAGGGATGATCTCTTACGATTGCCATGTACCCAATATACACCATTCTGTGTGTCCAGCCATTGGGCGAGGGTTTCGTCGACGAACCATCCGCACATGCCACTCTCCTTCGATCCAAGTAGATTGTGAGACCGAACACCGACGTCTTATGGGGAGAGCCACGATGTGATTTTCTCAGCGACTGGTGACAGTAAGCACTGAAACTTCGGAGAAACAGGAACTCACAGACCTATCAGTCGTTGCACACTTTGGGAGGCTACATGCGCATTCTCGGCGGCCACCCGAGCCTTCTCAGAGGCTAAATGAGCATCGTTAGCTGCCACCTGCGCTTGCTGGGCAGCCACATCGGCAGTCTCTGATGCCAGCTGCGCGTTCTTGGCGGCTAGGCGGGAATGCTCCGTCACAACCCGCGTCTGTACCAGGGCGGCGAGACCTTCTTGCTTCGCCAGCTCCTCAAGCCGGCCGAGAGCATCCTTCACATCATCCTTCCCGAGCAACAGCCTCCCCCAATCCTCTGCGAGGTTTCGATCAGAACCAAGGACCGAGGCGAAGGAGATGTCGACGCACTCGTTCACACCAAAGCGAGCCAACATCGTCGCCTCTTCTTCTTATGCATGGCGTTGAGGTGCGCGGTCAGATACCCCAATACTTGGATGAGCTGGATGAGGATACGCAGGAAGACCTGTCGCAGAGCGGGACCCAGAGTGAAGCCCGGCTGCAGGTAGGTCTGTAGGCGCAGTAAGCAGTCCTGAAACCGGCTCAAGATCAGTTCCAAGGAGTCGTATTTATCGCTGACGCGCTTCGCAGCCTGCAATACATCTCTTCATGAGAGTTAGATTTCAATCCACAATCGAGCTCACCTGCAGCATCGCCGCAAACACGATGAAGATCGTTTTCCCTCCGGGGAGCTGGCAAAGATTGAGTCTCAATGCCCGGCGTAGAGATAGATGACCCAAAAGAGTGGCGGCGGCATTGCCTGCGGGGTCCAGCACTGATTGCGTGAGAGATGCGATGGGTTTGAGAACGTTCCGGAGTTTTTGCTCTTGAGAACGAAAGTCATCGAAGCAGTCCCGATGCTTGCCAAGCACGTCGATGAAGCCGTCGACCGTGGAGCATGCCTCCAGGTCTGTCGCGTAGGGCAGCTCACTCAACAGCTTGCCGCTGCGGTCCTCGTAACCCTTGATTGCGTCAGCCAAAAGCTGCTTGAACAAGTCCTCTGAGGAGACAGAGGACTGGACGTCGGGCGAGGAGGATGCCATTGAGAGGATGGGAGAGAGCTGTGATCTGGATAGCACGTTCGCTTCATGCGCAACATCGTCTGTTGCGTTCGGCGTGTGGAATGGTAAAAGCTGCGTGGGCTGCCATACAAATCAGAGCCTATGCAGACATGAGGTTGCCGGTTATGCTTCACGGGGACATTCGCAGCGATCTAACAAGCAGAGAATGCAGAAGAAGTGCAACAAGGACTTCATTCCTCGTTTCGTAGCTGTTCATGTATCACTTACGAAGGAGTTTGGCATCACACCATGGCCTAAGCCTTTGTCATTATTTGATTGGAACGTGACTTACACCCGCTTGCGTCACCGCGACGCGTCTTCATCTCCCTTTCGTATTCTGCATCGACCACCATCGAGATTTCGATCGACAATGGCGCCCATATCTGTGAATGTTAAACATGCCAGCAAGAGCTACACGGTCAATCTCGACCCAGATCTGCCGGGAAAGGCTTTCAAAGAGGAGGTGTATCAAGTCACCGGTGTACCGGTGGATCGTATGAAGGTCATGGTCAAAGGCGGGGTATTGAAGGTACGCGTTTCGAATTCGATTCGGGCTTTCCGAGCTCAGGTCGGCCCGGTATCAACGCGCTGCCCCATCCGTGCTGTAGCTGTCGATCGAGCACGGCCCCGCACTATCTCTGCCTGAGGCTACCTCAGCGTCCATCTGACGCATTCCTATCAGGACGACGCCTCGTGGAGCAAGATCAGTCCGAAGGAAGGTCAGACCTTCATGGTCATCGGGGCTGCTGGTGAGCTGCCGAAGCCACCGGCGCAACCTATCGTGTTCCTCGAAGGTAAGTCCGCGCTTGAATCCGTGCACAATGTCTCATGGTCGTGACAGATATGGATGATTCAGAATTGGCCGAAGCAGTAAGTCGTACATTGCTCGACGTAGACAATGGGTGCTTAAACATGCCTAGCTCGAAAAACCCGTTGGTCTGCGCAAGTGAGCTCCATTCGTTCTCCAATGATTTTCCTGCTTATAAGCTACTAGCCTCGGTAACACATGTTACATGAATGCGACTTTGCAAACGCTCCGTGCCATACCAGAACTCAAAACCGCGATAACAACTTCAGGGTGCGTGGAAGGTTGCCGTTCGTGAAACTTGTCTAACGCCTGATAGGCGCGCTGGGACAGGGAATGAAATTGCTGCTGCTCCTCCCACCACACTCGCCACAAATCCTCTGGCTACCTCTCTGGGCTCTCTTTTCACGAGGATGTCACAGACTGCAGATCCTGTAGTCCCTACAGATTTCTTGGGTGTACTCCGACAGGTTGTTCTCTCTACTCCTGGGATCGAATTCCATTGATCGTTGTACCAGGTGAACCCTCAATTCGCTGAACAGGACAGACATGCATCTCGTTCCCATACTTCCATGATGGGTGCTATGTACGCCCAGCAAGGTCCGTTTGCTTGCCTGTAATCAGCTATCTACTGAGCCAATGCTCAGATGCGGATGAGTGTCTGACAACGATTGTGTCGTCGCTGGTCACCGTGCCTGGAGTGCCATCCTCGAACCACAAGAAATTTATTGAGCAGTTCATGACGGGAGAAATGGTTCGAACGTGCGTCATAACACAAATGGCACTCAATGGATGACTGATACGGTCCATTCAGTCTGAAATGTGTAGATCTCGGAGCTGTCGACGAGCCACCTACGCAAAGCTCTGAGAAGGTTCTCAAGATCACATGTAACATCGATGCGACTGTGAACTATATGTCATCGGGAATCCAAAAGGTGGGCCGTTGTTGTAAATGGCGATGTGTAGCTTCTTACTGACTCTTCTTTGCAGTCCCTGTCCCAGACTGTCGTCAAGTTCTCGCCCACTCTTGGCCGTGACGCAGACTACAGCCAGGAGTCCCGGATCAATCGACTTCCCTCCTACCTGTTTGTTCACATGGCTCGATTCGCGTGGAAAGCCGACATCGGGAAAAAAGCCAAGATCATGGTCTGTTCTTTCCTTTGATCCAGTAGTCTCTTTGTATCTCAAGACCTGTTGCAGAGGAAAGTCAAGTTTCCCACGGAATACGATGGATTGGACCTGGCATCCGACGAGCTCAAGGCTAAGCTTCTTCCAGTGAGTCGCAAGCTCAAGGTTTGTCTGCTCTGTTGTCTATTTCCTGGTGTTCACCGGTTGCAGGACATTGAGAAAGAAAGAGCGGAACGCCGCAAAGTCAGAAGGAGAACCAAAGCCGCGAAGGTCTCCGCTCCCGCGCCTTCTGCTTCGGGCGTTGGTGATGTTGAGATGGCCGACGCCGCTCCTGCTTCTGGCTCGTCGACCACAATGGAAGTCGATGCCCCAGCTCCAGTCCAAGGAGGAGACCTAGAGGAAGAAAGCGTGTATCGTGACAAGGAGTTGGCTGAGCTGCAGAGTCTGGTGGACCCCACCATTAAAGCTGACACGGGCGCGAGTGTCAGCGGCCTTTACGATCTTGTTGGTCAGTCCGCTCCTTGTGTGCTAACTTCCCGGGGCGTGGAGCTCACTAACGCGTAGCTATCATCACTCACAAGGGTGCTGCGGCCGATGCTGGGCACTACATTGGCTTTGTCAAGAAAAGCGTGTTCCACCCTCCCAAATTGGGCGAGGAACAAGAGTCGGATGAGGACTGGTATAAGTTCGATGACGACCAGGTCTCGATATTCCCCCAGGAGAAGCTAACATCGCTGGATGGCGGAGGTCAGTGTCCTCACTCTCAAGGATTCTAGACCAGGAACTGAATCGATTGCAGGTCAGGATTCCTCCGCATATCTGCTGTTGTACAAAGAGAAGCCTTTAGCGTAAAAGTCGTCTTTTGTAACTTTTCGGTGGAAGGCATTGGAAAGATCAAGATTGAATTCTGCATTTTAGTTACAAAACGAGCCACTAGCAAGGAACATCCGTGATCTGTGTGACAAACGCTCTACCACGTGTTGGCTCATACTCAGTTATCATGATCGTAGGCGGCCGCAGGCTCTTCTTTCTTGCGTTCTTCGTCCCGAGGAGGAAGCGGAGACCGGACACGATCATCCCTCTCGTCCCGTCGGTCGTCTCGCCGGTCATCGCGTTTGCGCTCCGGCGAGGCACTCCGCCGCCGCTCGGGCGACCGGCTGCGACGGCGTTCAGGCGACCGACTGCGACGACGATCACGGTCGCGGTCTGGCGAACGGCTGCGTCGGCGTCGGTCCCGGTCACGGTCGCGGTCCCTGTCACGGTCGTCCATCCTGTCTCTGTCCCGATCCCGATCCCGGTCACGGTCGCGGTCGCGGTCGTCCATTCGGTCTCTGTCGCGGTCGTCCCGGCGCCGAGGGCTGCGAGAACGGGGACGGTCACGAGAAGAGCGTGGGGGACGGTCATAGCGCCAAACTGAGGAGGGAGGACTTTTGGCCCACTGTAGACGGGAATGCCGGTTAGCATGATAGCATCATAGGCAAATGGCCATCGTGCATTACCTGGATACTCAGACGCGCTCCGTCAAAGATTTTACCGTGCCTGGCATGGATAGTTGGTCAGTACTCCATACAACAAACAAAAGACGTACATCTCATAGTACGCATCCTCGGCATCGCGCGTGCTACGGAACTCCACAAATGCATAACTGGGTTGTTCGGATTCGTTGAGCGATCGTTTTGTGATTGAAATCGAGGGGACGAAGGAGGATTGGGGTTGCTCGTATCGTATCGTATCGATCGTATGCGCAACGGGTACCCGAGACTCGGAGGGCCAACGATCCTCGTTGTTGTTCATTCATCAATTGGTGTTTCTCCACCGACGACTGCGAGGGAACCGCACTCAATGAAAGAGGTGTAATTGACTTACGGGTTTGTCTGAGCATTTGGGTTGCGTGGGGCAGGAACGTCGCAGCGGATGAGTTGACCGTACCTAGAGATACAGCAAGGGTTTGAACGCGCTGAAGACTATCCATTAAACAAAGACCGTACCGTTCGAACTCGTATGCGAGCTCACGAGCACGCGTGGAGGGGTTGAAACCGCTTACAAACTATACATTCAGAAGAGCATTAGTTTCGCACTAGTGTGGGCCCAAGCTACACCTACCAAGATACGGGGCATGAATGGCGGTCGGAAAAAAGGCGAGGCGTTGGCGACACTGTGACAAAACGTAAGCGTAACGCATCACGCCGCGCGCTTTTGACACAATTCCAACGACTGCACTCGGACTCTGAATGAGCTTGGAATCTTCCAAACGACACGCTGGTCAGTCGCGTTGGGCTCGTAGGACTTCCACTGCTTAAATCATCCGCAGAACCTTCAAACTGTTGCTAGATGTGCATATTGTATGTGCAGACCCGCTGTTCGCGTGGCGACGACTTGGAACCAAAAAATCCTCCGCCATGCCTTTTCGTCTTTCCCCTCGGCGCGCCTACCACAGAAAAAAGACAATAAAGTGACCAACTATCTCCATCACCTCCTCGCTGCCAGCAGGGATCCGCTCTGGCGCGTGGTTCTTTCATTGGACAAGCCCCTTCGCGTGTCGCTGTTTGAGGCTTTGGACGACGAGGTTATCAAAATGCAGGACTTTACGCACTGGCGTACGCGCGTCTACTCTTCCGATATTCAGGACGCATTCGAGACTGCACCGGTGGTCTCGCCCTCGAGTTATCCTCCTTGGCTTGCACTCTACCTTGCAGCTTTCAAAGTGCGCAGCTCCCATCACGCGTCTGGTCCCTTGGTGGACCTGAGCTTGAGTCTGCATCCCACCAACATCGCGGAGCGACGGGTCCTGTCTTCTACCGTCCAGGCTTCGATCCTCGTCATCACGATGATGCATCTGTGTCGATTTTCACTCGTGGCGCCAATGCACAACGTTCTCGATGCGTTCTTGCAAGTGCCGCTTGCCCAGGATCAGGACTTTCCGTCCCTTCACTTCAACCACCTACTTCTCGCTATGGCATCTATTCCGCAGCGGTCGCACGACATGGGCGGCAAGACCGTGCAAATCCTGCAGGCCATGGAGGCTAGGCAACTGAAGCTGTGGCCCAAAACCTACAAAGCGCTGTTGGAAGACAGATATGTTGCATTGCGGCTCACAAGCTACCTCCGACGCCAGCAGACACAGCTGGGCATCGTGCCCGATGCAGCACAGCTGGAATCGTATCTGCGCATCTACGCGCAGGACGGTGCGATCCACCATGTTGGGCAATATGCCAAGGCTGTCCGGGGCCACCGCGCCGAGCACGATGCGAACGTCATGGTCGTGCAGAACAAACCCTCCAGTGCCTCGGCGTTCCAGTTTCTGGCGAACCTGGCTCAGAAGCAACTTCCGGACCGTCAATTGCTCACGACCCGCAAGAAAGCAGTCGATGCCGCTGACTTCACCGCGGCCCTTTCCGTCGCTGCTCGGGATCCGAGGATTGACACGCGAAGATTCAAGCGGTTGTTCCAGCAGCGGAGACCAAAAGCTGCGGAATTCCAACCCACGTTAGCCATGCACACTGTGTTTATCCAAGGATTGCTGGACAGACGCGAATGGCGACAAGCTTATATGCACTGGACGAAGGTCACTCGGTCTGGCTTACCTGTGGATGAAGTGGCTCTGGGCGTCGGTTTGCAGGCAGCCACTCTCTCTGGACAACCGGGCGAAGCTTTTGCATTGCTGGAACTTCATGCTGCTCGGGCAGATGCCGCGTTTCCTGCGACACACCAGTCTCGCAAACCAGTTCACGTGTCGATAGGGCTGGTGAACATCTTCATGCGTAGCTTGCATTCCATCTTGCGTCCTGATCTGGTCTTTCGACTTTGGGACTGGATGGACAGCTTGTACTACCTACGACCGTCGCCCGAGACGTTGCGGATCATGCTGGCGGCTGCCGAGCTTCCCTACGTATTGGACGACTCGGTGAAGGGTCAGATTGCCCATCTGGCTCTGCGGAATCCCTTCCGTCACTCTCATACACCGCTCGCCACTCGCCAGCAGCACATCGAGACGCTCATACAGCAGTCATCCGAACCCTATCGATCCGGCATCTGGCGCGATCGACCGGCTGCGCATACCGCCAACCACATGTTCCTGCAAGCTCTTTTCGGGGACGCGAGTCGTCGCCCCGTTGCGAATATGCCCCCGCCTGCTTTCGCCGTCCGACCCCACGCAGAAAGCGACAGCGCAGCATTGAGACTGCGACTGGACATGCCGCCCTCCTCATTTGTATTGCCGATGGACATCTCCACTCCCGAAGGAAAGACTTGGTTCCCGGAGCTCGTTGTCGGCGAGCGCGAGTTTGCCTCGTATATCATGTTCCTTGGGATGAACCGCCGGGCCCCCGAAATCGCGCGTGCCCTCGGTTGGATGCGAGCGCTCGATATCAAGCCGAGCGAACGCACCCTGGGTACGGCGCTGGCGTTTTGGAGCGAAGTCAGTGTCCAGCCGCCGCTCGTTGCTGCCATCGCCGGCAAGAACGCGGACCAGTTTCTGGCACTTATGGGATGGTTGCGAGAATGGTGTGGCGCTGAGCTGGTTCCGGATGAGCAGACCGTGGGATGGTGGAGAGCCAAAATTGACAAGATCAGGGCGCAGAGAAGACAGATGGCGAAAACTGGGCGGTTTGTTGATGAGGAGTCCATCTGGAAAATGTAGCATGTATGTACCAATCTAATATAAACGTAGGCGCTAATAGCAATAGGCCCAATCCTCTGTAGTAATGTCTCTTACTTACAGCCACTGCTTATGTCACTGCGAAGTGGCCCTGACTTGTACAAAAGAGGACCCTTGCATCGGACATTTTATTCCTACTCTGTTACTAGTGGGTCAAGTGAACCGCAACTACAGATCTTCGCGGATATTCCGAGCATACCATAGTCGTGTAAGACTCTCAGTCCTTCTGTTTGTCGAATAAAGCTCTGTCCCGGACCTGCAAAGCGACAGGATCGCTCATGCCCGACGAGACCGTAAGCAGCCAGGCGAGCACGCTGTTTTCCGCAGGGCCTTCCGTTGGATATCGGACGAGGAACGCAGAGACGGATTCGGTGAACCGACGTTGGATTTCGGGGGGAACCGCCACATCTGGCCACGATCTCGACGTGTCAAAGTCGGAATCGAAGCGACTGATGATGCATGTGAGGGTATCGAAGTCGAGCTCAAGCTCCGCTTCATCTGGATTCTTGACACACTGTTCGAGGAAGGTGGTCACAACACCGAGCGCGGCGCAGCAGCGAATGAAGTCGGCAACAGAGTTGGTTTCTTCCCGGGGGACTGCCGTCTCGACCCACTTCGCGTCGTCATCGACGTGGAGCGCGGTTCGGAACCAGTCCTCGTCCTCGAAGATGTCCAACCCTCGAGCTGATTCCCAAATGCTCTCCGGCACACAGCAAACTGCAACAGTCTGAACCAACGCAATTGCATGATGACGGCGAACAGATGCTGCTTGAGCCCCGTAATTCCGGACGGCCCAAAGCGTCAACAAATGGGCATCGAGGTCTTCCGAGGACTCTGCATAGAATTTTTTATCGTTCAGATGGTGATATATCAGCCGGAGGGAGTCGATTGTGGCTTGTGGTTCCCGTCCGTGCTCCGAATTGAGAATCAGACATTCGCACAGGTATCTGATGTACTGTTCCTCCACACGGGGCTCCCAGAGTGAGTCTGGTGTGTAGCGGGCGATGGAAGGATGGTCGACGATGAACGAGGCGAGATTATTCGGAGCGTGGAACTCGATGTCAGTTCTCGATCGAGGCGATGTCACAGCAAGCGCGCAGATCAACTGGCGGACAGCAAAGATGCGATTGCTCGTTGTTCCTTCCGCCTGTGATCCGAGCATCGTTTCGAGGGCCTCGACCATGACGCGGTCGAACTTCCCGGCCAGCAAGGGGACAGCGTTCAAGGTATAAAAGAGCGCATTCGTCCGTTCCCGCTGGAAGCTGTCACGGGTTTCAGAGAGATGGATCAGATACTGCCCGTATGCCCATCGTTTCTCCTCTTCGCAAGTGCTCTGGGTAGTCGCCGAAAAGAACGTGGGCGTGAAAATACGATCCTTCTCCGTGCGGATGGATTTGATGGCCAGGCGACCGAGCGCATTTTCCACCGCTCCACCGGCTGGTTGCGTGGCCCAGAACTCGATGGTGTTCAGACGAGTGAGAGCTGAGACGGCGTGGACCAGCTCTTGTACCGAGGGAATATCATGAAACCTCGAGCCGAGCAGTGCGTATTTCACGTCAAGTACGCCGATCGGATTCTCCATAGGCGACTTGGTGCTGATGCAAAAGGCACAGACAGCCCAAATGGCCTGAAGCACGGAGTGCTGTCGGCGGAGGCAAACCGAGGGCTCCAGAAGATTGCTGTGGGAGCTAGCCATGAAGTCCGCAAGACGCTGACACAGACGGACTTGTGGATCTCGTAAGAGGCGTGTGAAATGCTCCTGATAGGCCCTACGAGGCTCGTTTTTCTCGAAATCCCACAGTGCCGGGGTCAAGCCTTCCACGAATGGCTCGAGCTCGTTATCGTCTGAGAGAGAACGTATCGTCCATGAAAGAGCCCGGGTCTCTGTGTCTACCGTGGACCGTAATGCGGCTGATATCATAGCTTCCACCATGTTTTGAGTCTGCGGAGGAGTATCTGGAGGCCAAGAGAGTTCCGTGGAACATTCGGGGTCCGAAACCACTGGCTTCTGAGCATATGCCCTGAATCTCTTTCTCAAGCTCTGGTACAGCGACCAAAAGATCCGCGACAGCGGAGTCTGGTACGGGCTGTCATGGAAGAACAAAGGAAGCACAGTGAACGTCCCGTACACCCCGACGAAGAGGAGTAGAAGGATTGAGGTCAGGATCGTGACGACGAGATTGATGGGCGCGAGGAATACCACGAGACCGACCAAGAACAGGACCAGGGCTCCGTGCAGAAGAAGCGGTGGAACGCCAACGACCGCATGCATGTTGAAGCGTTGCAGACCGTAATAGAGATACATGTATACGCGGGCCCGGATGAGAGTGGAGGAGAACATGGAAGTACGATGCTCGTACTCCCGTGCCCACTGATCGATCAACGTGGCAACTAGGGCGGAGGACAGGCTCAGCGCGAGGCTGATGAACCAGAGCGCATTGCATATGAGGGATGAGATCGATGGAGAGAATGCAGAGGGCGGCGGAAGTGCATCGATATTCGCCGTGCCGTTTTTCAAGCCCGCAAGCTGCTGTGAGATCTGGTTGAGGATCGCGAGGGTCTGGGTACCCGAGTCGGAGCTTAGCGTCTTGTAGCTCTCGAGGATGAACGACGTCACGACGCCGGAGAAGAGACCGGCCTAAACGAGTCAGGGAAGAGTTGTCATTCAAAAGGCACGGGACGCACGAATATCAGCAGGCCATCCATCTCACTGCGCCAGCCATCGACCAGACCTTGGTCGTAGTTCTGGGCCTCGGAGATGTAAGTGTTCCAGAGCTTGTTGCCGCTAGCCTTCTCGCGCTCCGGAAAGGATTCGTCAGACTTTCCCATTGAGGGTGGTAAGCGTTCGTCGGCCTTGGCCATTGAAGGTTGTAAGGATTTGTCGACCTTTGCCATTGAGGTGGTAGCAAGTGCGTTGCGCTTCGTCAGCAGCCTCGTGTCTGGAAGCCCTCCCAGATACACATAGACACCGAGTCTGATTGGCACAGTGACAGTCGAGAACAAGCGCTCAACCCGCGCATTCGAAGAGAGGTTCCCACACAGTAAAGAAGGAACAAAGATTGGCCGACAAGACGCTGTCGCAGTGCTTCAGGGCACTGCAAGTTTGGACACGGACAAGATGGTGCCAGGTCCGAAAAGTGGAGATGTGCCAATGAGTTCATCGAATATCCGTTGGCAGTTGTGTTGAGTGAGAAGAAGTGCATCGTATGATGTGACGACGAATGCAAACTTTGGGTCTATGTTGAGGTCCAATCTCGCCAGAATGCAATACCAAAAAACAAGAGTCCACATATCAAGGGAGCAGACCTTGACCGCCTTCTTCAGTAAACAGCCGAAGCAAAACACTGACGGATATCGAACTCAAGCGCACATCTTCGTCCGACGCACATTCCATCGAATTCAGTAATAACAAACACGATAAGATAGAGATCGCCTACGCCACAGCCAAAGCCCCATTCATATCGCCCCGTCTGCAGCGTCGAGTTCTGGTGGCCGTGCGTGCAGATCCACATCCCCATCAGCATCGTTCTGGTCCACGTCCATGAGCATCCCCTGCGCCGGCTGGTCGTTGTCAATCGCGTTGTTGTCCTGGCCATGATCCTCGTCCTCGGTGTCAGTGTCATCATCGTCATCATCGCTGCCGACCGGATCCAGGCCCATCGCCTCTTCGACCGTCATTGAGATCTCGGCCGCTTCCTCGCCATCGCCGTCAAGCATCGCGTCGGGCACAGGAGTGGCGACGAGTGAATCCGACGTCTCTGCCATGGAACCAGCAGCAGGCGTAGCAATGGTGGCCGTGGACGATGAAGACGCGGAAGCCTTGTGTTGGCTCCGTTTTTTCTTCTGGTTCTTCTCCTCCATCCGCTTCACGACCTTGACGATGTAGTCTTTCGAGAACTTCTTGATCTTGGCGACTTTCTCGTCAGACAGCGCTTCCAGTTTGTTGTCCTTGTAGCTCGACGATTTTTTCTCCTTTTCCGCGATGATGGTCGTGAGCTCGAGGTTCGTCAGCCACATTTCCACACACATGTACACACGGAAGAGAGACGAACCTCTTTGGCGTGTTTTTTAAACGTCTCGCGCTCCAGTCCACGTCCATACTTGGACATGCACTTGACCACCACCGCACCGATCAACTTTTGCAGCCGTTGGGCCTTATTGGCCTCCCTCTCCTCCGGCGTGCGCTTCTTCTTCTTCTCTTGCGACCGCTGCTTCCGCTTCTCTCGCCGCTCCTTCTTCTCTGCCCGCGCCTGCGCAGCCGCCAGCTCGGACTCCTTGGCCGCCAGCTCTGCCGCCGCTTTCTGCGCAACCGCAGCAGCGATCACTTGTTTCACGTCCTCCTGCGACGCGACCAGTTGCCATTGGTACGACGGCCGCTCGGGCTGCGATCGCCCAGACTGCTCCCTTCGCTTGGTAGACGGATAGAGCGGGCGCTCGTAGCCGTCCAAAGGCCACGAATCATCCCGGCTACGCTTGTACGACCGCCAGTCGTGCTCGCTGACTGGAGACTCCGATCGCTGGCGGAGAGCCGCCTTTTTATACGTTGGAGCCTGATAGAAAAGGTGGGCAGATGTACTGGTCTGAACGTCACTTTCGACCGGGGCACGTCGTGGAATGCGATATGCCATAACCAGGGTGTCCCAGTGGTCGGAAAGCTATACAGACTCAGTATGGCTACTGCCGGAAAGGCACTTGAGCTTACATCTTGCGCCAAAGCTTTCAGCTTCTCGTCCTCTGACTCTTTGATCTTGTCGACAGCGATATTGACTTGCGAATCTTCCACTTTGTTGCGAGCTGCCAACGGCCAAGTGCGCATTGACTCGAGGACCTAGATACGGCATGAGCAAGTCACGAAGAAAAGTGATGAATTGTTTAGCGTACCAGTGTGACAATTTCCGGATCCCCTCCATTATCGTCGAGCACGTTCTTCATCAGACTCAGACAACGCAAGCGGAGCATTTCCCGCATCGTTTCTTCTTCCGTCGTGACTCTGAATCGCGTGAGAAGCTTGATAATCATTGTACGGCTATTTGTTTGTCGCAGCGCTTGGATCAGCTTAGGAATCTCCTTGATCTGTATCGGTCGCAATTGAGGCTGGAAAGCGCGCATCAGCAGTGAAAGGAGAAACAGAACAGCTGGCAATAACCATAAAGTCAGCGTCATCGATCTTCTTCCCCTTCTTCTTCTTGTTGCCCTTGAGCGCCATAACCTCGTCATCGTCGGTAATCCCGAGCGCTGTTTTGCTGACATCAGAACGGGAAGAGAGATACGTTCGTCGCACGCGTACCATCCAAATATAAATCATCCACTGTGACGAGATCTGTCTGCGTCTTTCCTCCAATATAACCTACACAGTTCTCCTCTCCGCAATAGCACTCCTGTGCCTTGTGGCTGTGGCCAGTTCAACGACCAAGCCAGAAGAAGGATAGACACAAATGGCCCACCCGTATCGATCAACATTATAGTTGAAAGTGAGTTCTTCATACTGCTGAATCCTCCGTTTCGCAAATATGCCCATTCGCACGTGATCTCCGACAGTCCATTTAGCGACATAGCAATTTGGGCGGCAGCTGTGATTAGCGAAACGTGCGATTCCGCCGCTTTTCGTGGCATCGATGAACTAGTTGTCCTCAGTCAGAAAGTTCGAACGCTAGAGAGCTGATCAAGCGCACCTCGTCCTTCTGCAGCATCATAAAATAAAAGTGCTGTATCCCCTCCTCCGCATAGTCTCGCATGCGCTTCTTGAACGATGACGGACTAACCACATCGCCAACGTACTCGTAGATAAATGTGTCTCTTGTTGGATGTCAGTGTTCCAGAAGCATGGGGGACCAATGGAGATACACACTTGGGGATGTCCTCCTCGACCCTCAACCCGAAGCCCTTCTTCTCAGTCTGTACAATATCGATAGAAGCGTATTCCTTGTGCTGGAACCTATCAGAGGTCGGCGGGTCATCATTTACATAAGCGAAAACGAGGGGCCCGCGCGCACCGTTGATTCTGACAGTGAGATCCACAACGGCAGTCCCCAGGCAGACATTCAATCTGTGTTAGTCGGTTAATACAGTTGGAGCCGGGACCGCAAGCTATATGGGGCGGATCCACATCTGCGAAAATGCATGGTCAGTGACGATTTTGCACGGCGGCGGCCCTGGCCGCCCTACTGGGCTACTAAGATGGGGTTGCACCTCGACGGAAGAAACACTCGCACGACATCCCCTCCATTTCCTCTCGTGAGCGCCCGAGGTTCTTATTCTGATAATTGTTGGCCTCTATCACAGTAAAGGTGGCCAGGGCCGCATCACGCGCAATCGGGAGGTCTCCGATGAGCTGCACGGGGGCTTCCGGTTTCTTTTTGCGCCCGTTGGCAGCAGTGGCCGCTTTTACGGGTGGTGGGGTAGGTGAGCTAGAAGACGACGCTTTGGATGAGGCCCGGGACGGCGAAGAGCTACAGAGGGCATCTGGCATGGCCTCATCCTCCTCCCTCGCATTCGTCGTGAAATCTTCGGGCACTCGTTCCGCGTCCGAGTTGGAAGGTGCGTCGTCCTTGGTGGCAACAACCGACGGGGCCTGTGGAAGAAGCGGCGCCGTCCCATCCTCAGATTCGGGGTTCATGGGTGGTGATGGAAGAGAGACGCTTTCGGCTGCGATGGAAGTCGACAGCAAAGCCGACTCCTCTCTTGCGGGCCCATCCTCCTTCGTCATGGGCTACCAACGACGGGCCAGATGAAGCGCCCTGTAGGGGCGTATAGCGATCTCCAGAGTGCTCTGGGAATTTATAGCGTCCCACACGGGCAGTAGATTACGCAGTCCAAAGTTTCACCCTATAAAATCGGCATATAGTGAGATTCGTCTTTAGTACAATGGCGGGCTTGAGACCTGAAAGGCTGCCAGAGGATTGAAGGCAAGGCAAAGAACCGGCACAAGACAGGGCGTCCAGTGGGCGATCAAGAGAGAGAACCGATGTACAACTTGAATTTGGATTTGTTCTTGTCCTCGACCTCCATCCTCTCGCTGTCCTACTCCCCCAACCTCATTCGCACCTATGACTTCAACAAGTGCTAACGCTTCGAAAAAGCGCAAACGTGCGACGTCACCGGCAAGAGGGATTGCCTTCAAATTGGCAGAGCACCAATTGGGATCGGATGAAGTTGGGCCTACACTGGGTGCGTCTTGAATGTCCTTTTCTTTTCCAAACCTTGCATTGAGGTTATTTCTTTGCATCTTAGTCTCCTTTCCCTCCCTAGAGGCCCCTCCTTCCACTGCGTTCCAATGCTATCGCAAGAAAACGAAAACCTCCACCGACGCGGCGGAAGATATCATCGTCGCTGGAGAGACCGATTTTGTGGAGTTTGAATCCAACGCGGAGGAAAGCGAACGCGTTTCGCATTCCGGGTGCAAGTACCTGGTTGCCGTGCACAATAAACGGACTGGAGAACTGAGCGTTCTGCCCACCCTCCTTTCTCCTCACGTCCTCACTCAGACCGTGAAAGCTCTCAAGTCCATCGAGCCTGCTCCTGCTCCCACCGCCCTCGAGTATTTCCAGGCCCGAACGGCCCTCGGTGAAACGTTTGGAACCAAGAAGGCCAAAGCCGCCATCAAGGCTCGGGAGCGTAATCGGGTCGATGTGGGCGCAATGGAGGGCGTAATGGATCACGTTATGGCTGGTATCGACAAGGCTGCGGGGGGCTTGATGACGGCAGGCGCGTTCTGTGGAGTCTGTCCGACGTTTTTGGACTGAAGCAATTCACAGAGGAAGCCCAAGATCTTGCAGACACTAATCGCGCGGTGCCGCCCTTCTTCGCCGAAGCGACGGATCCGGCCGACGTCTACCCTCTTCACGGCATCATCACGGAGCCGGAGTGGAAAGCGCTCTCTGTCAACACCTTGCTCCAGGCCGGAACTGCGGCCGACCGTAAAAAGTGTCTCCCTTTTTGGCATTCTGAATGGGTCAACACACGTCTGGAAGCTTCTCTCAAGAGCTCTGAGAAGAAACGTAATCTGTGCGTTTACGGTCGATGATGAAACATGGTGGTGAGAGAGCTAACACGATGCGTAGCAAGATCCTCTTCTACATGTCCGCGATGATGGCGTTCCGTCGAGTAACTGACCGCAAATTCAAGAAAGAGGACATCTCTGCGAAGATTCCTACTGTGCCTTCGGTTGTCATCGACAGCTTGATGGATCGCTTCACTGAATGCGCGAGGGGGAGCATCGAGTGCGGCTGTTTACTTGCTTAAGATACTGCGGACTCATCTTGCTATAGACCGCGGACAACGCCACATCTGCAGCTACTTCTTCTCACACATCTCCTCGCATTGTCTTTGCGGATCGACAACTACGCCGCAGACTTCGGCACTCTCGCTCGTGACCTCAGTATCTCCAACGAAAAAATGGCCACAACCTTCAGGTCTCTCGGTGAGTGTTCATTCTGAACTCGGAGATCCGTGCCCTCATTCTACGCCAGGCTGCAAGATTGTCACTCTTACGGAGAAACAACGGACAAAGCTGGGTCTTCCCGATAGTGTGGCGGATGAGAGACGTGCTGTGTTGGAGGTCCCGCTCAAGTTTCCACAGCCGAGACTCAAGCAAAGGAGTGGAAGGTAGCCGCTGCCATAAAAGTACTATACTATAATTTCTTGTTATTCGGTTGTCAGGCCCAGTATTCAACGCTAGCCCCGGTACCCAGAGCACAAATCTTCGGCCATGGTCTCTCGTTCATGCCTTCTTGCGACGTTAAGTAGTCATTCATCACCAGCGCAGAATGTCACCGTGACAGGGCGACTGATTTCCGCGCATTTCACACTCCACCAACGGCAACCCGACAAGACATGTATGCTCACGCGACAACGGCCAACACCAGAAATGATTTCTGTCCCTCGCTCTGCAAGCGCTGAGTGTGTTGGCACAAGCTCTTGGCCAGCACAGACCACAGCTTTCAAGGACGCCGTTCGCTCTGGGCAGATGTCCAGGCCCACGATTAATCAGAGACTATGCATCGCATTATTGAGATGATTCTGCTGCTGCCGCTGGCGTCGTCAATCTGGCTCTCGGAGACGTGTCGCTCGCGCAAAGTGAACCCGCTCCGACAGCAAAGAGAGGATATCGGACGTCAGTGCTGCTCTTGCGTAGACCCGAAAATTCTTCAGACATCCGCCTTTGACCAGCACGTGGGCCAGACCTCTAGTGCAGCGACAGCGAGAGCGTGATTCTGGTCAGAAAGATGCACGACCCAGTCGACTTCGTACAGTTGACATCTAGGATCTCGTAGGAAACAGGCGAGTCCGTGGGACAAAGCAGTCGCAAGAATGAATTGTATTGCCTGTACAGCGGTCTAAACTCCACGAGCTGCAGGGACAGCGCCTTCCTCGTCCCGCCCTGTGATCACTCCGTCAACCAAACCATATCATGCAGAAGAGACCTCATGAGACGCACCCTGGTAGAACTTTTCCAAAAACGTCTGCTTGGGGCGTGTCTTCGGGAGCAGCATAATCTCGTAGATATGGTCCGGCTGCTTCCACAGGTTCAGCGTCTCCTGCAGGTCCTGCCGGCTCTTCAGCAGCAGCACATCGATGCTGCGCACGTCGGTGACATGCCGGTTCGCCTCGAAGCGCATCCGGATGGCGTGGCGCAGTTCGGTCGTCGAGACCTCGAGCGCGTACTGGTCGACGATTTCCGGGGCCTGCGGGAGATGACGTTGGCGTGCGTGTGCTACATGCGCGGAGCGGGCATGCGTACCGAGCGATACCAGTCTCGGTATAGGATGATGGCCCGCTGGCGCGCGTCCGCGGGGCTGGCGGACACCCGTGTCACTTGCGCGAGCCGGGATGGGATGGTGAAGGACATGATCAAAAGCGGAATGTGTGAACCCTAACCCGACGCCGTCGCGCTCCAGCTCGAGTCACGCGCGCAATCATCGCTTCCGTCCTTTACAGCGACCTCTCCCCCCCGATCTCCCATCTTCTACTTCTGCTCCCAATCCTCACGATGGTCCGTGGATCTGGTCAGAGATATCCCGTTATCTCAAGCCGCGCCGATCTGATTTTTCGCAGGCAAGTTCAAACAGAAACGCGGTGGAGGACGCAGCTTCAGGTATCTTATCTTGCTCGCTCTGCTCGTGATGATCGCCTGAGCTCACCCTGATCTCAGCAAGAACCTCGTTTTGGACGAGAATGGCACGGCTGTTTCAGCCGATAGACGGTATCCAGGCCCCTTTTCACGCCAGAATGGGGATCTGATTGAGCCTCAGACCGCGCGGACAAGGATCGGACGACGATTCGAACGAAGACTCTGATGAAGAGGAGGACGAGGAGTCCGAAGAAGAATCAGAGGAGGCGGAAGCCAAACCCGAGCTATCTCGGGCAGAACGCAAGGCCTTGAAGAAGAAACAGGGCGATGCAAAGCTCGCAGCGGCCGAGGAAGAGGACGAGGACGACGAGCTGATCAACCCCAACCACGTTACGAAGAAGATGAATATCTCGGATCTGGGGGCACCCAGGGAGCTGTCGCGTCGCGAAAGGTCGGCCACAATCTGGTCTTGTGCGAGCACGCTTTCCTGATGTCCCTGACAGAGAGGCCAAGGAGAAACAGGATGCCAAGGATCGCTACTGGAAGGTGCGCCAGCATGTTTCTGTTACCTTGCGCAGACGCACGACTGACATCTCACCAGCTGCACGCCGCCGGAAAGACAGACGAAGCCAAGGCCGATCTCAACAGGCTTGCCAAGATCCGGGCAGAGCGGGAGGCCGCGCTGGCGAAGCGCAAGGCCGAGGCCGAAGGTATTACATTCCCCGCTACAGTCTTCACGTACTCAACGACCGCCCTGCAGAGAAGGAGAAGGAGATCGCAGCGAAGACCGCCGCTCAACGGACCGGAAAGAGGTCATAGGCAACCGAACGACAACCAGTTACCGATGTAGTTGTAACGAATGTAATACGCATCCAGAAGCAATCTCTCAGATCTTTGGCCTGGCCCTCGATATCTTTTTCAAAGAATTTCATTCCGGTAATCATCTGACAGGAAACCTGGCCTCAAAGGCGCATCTCGTCATCAAGCAATGCTGCAAGGCCGCTCCGAGCCTCGATCGCGAATGGAAAATGCTCAGGATGACTAGTTCCAAGCATCCATCAGCGCGTCCGAAGGCCATGCGGAACCGCTCACCAGTCAATCCCATCCGTCATAGCCGTAGAAGGCACGATAACGCGGCCCGCGGCGTCCAGAGCATTCTTGATGTTGCAGGTCGCAAGCAGCGTCGCGGCGGCAATCCAGATACTGTTCGACGCGAGCTCGTTCCCCGTGCACAGCCTGCGATCAAAGCGGCGATGAGCAAATACATAGGTCGAAGAGGAATGTGATGACCCTCACCGGCGTCCGAAACCGAATGCGGAGGCGAACCGGGGCTCCCCTCTCCCTTCGGGTCGCGGAAGAAAGCGCTCTGGCTGGAACGCTTCAGGATCGTGGTAGACGCTTTCATCGCGAGACATAGCCCTGCCCATAGAGACAGATGAGTGATCGTCGAGCACTGCGCTGAGGGTCCGCTGACCTGATATTGGCGTAGACCGTGGTTCCTGCTGGAATCAACATGCCGCGGTACACGTCGTCCTGGATAAGGCGATGCGGAACGCCTTTTGGGCATCGTCAATGGGCAACAGCGGGGCATCAAGCCGGTCTGGCTTACCCAGCGGGACGATTGGATTCCATCTCCATCACACCACCATCTGAGTGGGCACGCCCGGGGGTTGATGGTTGGGAGAGTAGCACACACCTTAGTGTCTCCTGGATAACACATTCAACAAAGGGGAGCTTGGCCCTGTCCTCGTAGGCCGGTATCTGATCCGCTCCCAGAACGTGGAGGATCTCCTCCTGCGCCCGTCTCTGGCTCTCGGGGTACAGGACCATCGCCAGAAGGAACACAGTCAGGATACTGCTGGTCTACCCGCGAAGAAGAACTGAGCACTGGGAGAAACACAGCTGTGAGATCTTTCGACTCGACTGAACGCACCGTGGCCTGCCCCGTCACGAAAATGGTCAACGCGTCGGCCCTGAGCTCGTCGAGATCGAGATCCTCCTCCTCCTCGGAAACACCGCGATTCTGCAACTTCGACAGCAAGAAGGACGGCTGTGCCGTCCCGTTCGCCTGGGGGACCTGCTTTAGCTGGCTTCTCGCAGGCGGCGCGGAGGGATCTCCCTACCTCGGCGCCCTGGACGTATTTCACGGGGTATTCGTAGAGGTCGCGGACTTGGTCCTGCCACTCGCGCGCGACGCGCGCGTAATACGTCCCGGGAATCCAGTCGGGGAAGAAGCGCACTGCACGGACCGAATTCACGGTCAGATGCGCGAGATACCGAGTAGCGGGACTTGCGGAGTGGGAAGAGATCTATCAGCGTCCCACCCGGCGGTCCGGTGACGCAGAAAGACTCGTAGAGCTGTTCGGCCAACCTGACGAAGTAGTCGTCGTCCGAAACGATCTCGTGCCCCGTGAGTATGTCCGTGATGATTGCGGTCGAGAACCTGCGAACGAGCGAGTTCGTTTCCGTCTCCCACACACCACAGCAGAGCTCATTTAAGTACCTGCTGAGCGCAGCATGCTGCTGGTCCCCCGACGTGTGCAGGAGATTCCGCACGAGCTTGCGCGCTTCCCGCGTCTGGACGGGGTAGAAGGCCGGGCAGCTCTTCCGGGCGAGCAGATTGTGGTGCTGCTGGCGGTGGCGCGTGTGCCGTTTGCCGTACGGGAGGAAGCTGAGGATGTCTCCCCAGCCCATTCTGGAGCGGCGGCGGCAGTCAGTCAGTCCATTCAGCGGATCACATTGCAATCAGCGGCCCGCGGAGGCAGAACGGACGACGCACATGTCGTACAGGACGAATCGCGGTCTGTCGCTATAGATAGCGCTCCGCTGGTCCAGGAGCTCTACCGCCGCCTGTTCGCTGCCCAAGATAAGGTACGACTTGCTGAGGGCTTGCAGGTGGATCACATCCCCTGCCAGCCGTTGATCATACATACATACTGTGCGCGCAATCGCGATGGGAGGAGGCACGGACCGTATATCTTTCGCCATTCTGTGTAGACGACTGCCGGCTGCGACTGGGGCAGGTGCCGCAGATGTCCTATGAGCGGGTCGCGCGGCGGGCCGGGTGGAAGCTTTTTCCTGGTGGAGAGAGCCCAGGCAAGGACGTGGTACCCAGTGATCACGATTATGAGGGCCGAGACAAGGGGCGGCCAATACAGCGGGGAGACCAAAGAGATAGTAGCCATGAGCGAAGATGTCTGGGCCGTTTAGGAAGCCGCTTCATATGCACTTGCGTTAGATGCCGTCGGCAGAGCTGCATGGGACCAGCCTGAGAGTCAGATGCCGGTGTTCATTGAATGGCAAGTGACGTTGCGTGGCGGTTTTCGAGTTCATGCCACGGGCAGAAGTCTGATTCAAATTGGCCTAGGCAAAGCAGCAGGCATACGAAGCATGTAGTAGGCGTTGGGCTTCGTCAGAACGAGTGGCCACTGACAGGGGTCTTCATACATAACCTGATCTTACCCGAAAGCAGACAGGGATGTGTCCGCTATACATCACGTGCTAGCGGCGGTTCCTGCCTGATCTAGGGACCAGCGGCTCTCATCGCTCGCATTGCGGGTTAAGCTAATCATCGTCCAGCGTTTCCTTTTGGGCGCTCCGGAACTGATGTATTCTTCGATCTGACGACTCATACTGGGTCCAAGTCAATGTGGTAATGCGCACGACTCGCTCATGTCAGTGGGATGTGTGAGGCATGGACTTCGACTTTGGTTCGGTTCATGTGGAACGAGGTCGGCTTTGGAAGGAATCGGGCTGGATTTCACCCAGAATTCTACGCGTGTGTCATTCAGTGGTGTTTGCTACGTGTTTCTCCTGGGACGAACCGGGCTTGCTAAATATTGCCGGCGGTCTTACAAACGATGGTAATCTATCAAAATTTTCCGCTGGCCATCGGGGCTGGCTTCCACACCGAGGAGTGCTTGGCCCTCAACGGACGAGGCCGTCAAGTCACGTGTAGTCATTACAAAATCATGTGATCGCGTCTCCTTGTTTCGTGCCATGATCATGCGCACACAGACGCTTGCTGATCATGATTTGCAGAGCGCGCGTCTCTCCCCATTGATGTCTTTCACATTTCGTTTGTCTCTGTACCCCTTTGACACTCCAGGCTTGTGAGACCTGCCACGGAAGAGCAAGAAATGGAGGTCAAAGTCTCACCTATCCGCCCACCATAAGTTCCCGCACCTGCTCGTACTTCTCCAACAACTTTCTTGTTCTGCTACCCCCACCTTCCATTGGAATTTTCTTAGCTTTTCACCTGCTTTCACAATGCTTGCCTCCTTCCCCGATATTCAGGTTGGCCAGACTCTCGACGCCGGCCGTCTCGAGCTAGTCAAGTTTCTCGGTGCGGGGTCGCACGGGGTCGTGTATCGCGCGCGCGACACGACGTCTCCGGCGGCCTGTCCCGTTTTCTATGCAGTCAAGTGTCTGGGTGATGCGTCTCCACAGATTGACAACGAGGTCGCGTACCACACCGCGTGCTCGGGCCACCCGTCGGTCGTGACGCTGCATCGCCCGTTTGTCGAGGACGGCATTGCGTTTGCGGTGCTCGACGCGATGGACGGCAATCTGTGGACGCACATTGACCGCGGGGTGTACCGTTTCGGGGAGGCGGCGCTGAAGACGGTGTTCCTGCAGATCCTCGACGGCGTCCAGGCGATCCACGCGCAGGGCATCGCGCACCGGGATCTGAAGCCGGAGAACATCCTGTGCTCGAGCGACGGGCTGGCTGCCAAGATCTGCGACTTTGGACTCGCGGTCGACAACGAGGTCCCGGCGTGGAATGTCGGCGGCACGCAGGCTTACATCCCACCTGGCCAGTCGATCCACTGCAACACTCGCGCACATGCTGATGACAGCGACAGAGGCTCTTTCGCCCGAGTGGACACCGACGACCTTCGATCACACGGCCGGCGATCTGTGGGCGCTCGCCATCGTCCTGCTGAACATGATCGGCGGGTGCTGCCCGTGGGACGAGGCAGCGCCGCACGACCCCGCCTGGGCCTCGTTCTGCGCGGACCCGGCGGTGCTGAAGACGCGCTTCCCGATCTCGGACGCGCTGCACGCCGTGCTGCTGCGCATGCTCCACCCGGACCCCGCCCAGCGTCCGGCCCTTGCGGCGCTGCGCGTGGAAATCGCGGCGATGGACCGCATGATGCGCACCGAGGGGCTGGTCAATACGGCGGCGATCGCTGCGTTCGGGTTCATCGGGTCGCTCGTCAACTGCGCGAAGGGACTCGTCTGGGGCCAGACCGTGGGCGGGTGGGACCCGGCGCCTGCTTATGTCGTCGCCGCTTCCTCTCGTGTCAGCCACGCGTCGTCTGTGTCCTCGACGAAAGCCGAGTGCTGTGCCTCCATGTTCAGATTTGGGCCCTCGGACGAGTCGCTCGGTCACGCTGATTCACTTTTTGATGTCCAGTCTGTCGTCGAATCCGATTCTGCCGCCACCTCTGGGTAAGATCACAAAAAGTTGCACTCCGCTATCCAAGCTCACATTGTTTCTAGCCCCGAGTCCCTCGTCTCCAGTAGCTCGGCCGATTCCGTCCAATCTTGGTTCTCGGCAATGTCGACCCCAGACTCCGAGCAGGATACCGCATTGGCCCGCAAGGAGTTTGACGATGATCACCACCACGACGAAGGCGACGACGACAAGGTCTACGGACACTCAATGCTCGCCTTTTCCGCGCAACGATACGTGATGCGCCCCGATCCATTTGGCAAGATGCTGCTGCTACCCGTGGTGCCCCCGGTTCCCGTCGCGCTGGAAGACTGCTCCGGGCTGCGGCCTCCCCCAGCCCGCGCGTTCCTCCGCCGCCCGAGGCTCGCATCGATGCTCACCAGTGTATCGGAGAAGAACACGCGGTCGATACGGCGGCTGCGTCACTGGCTCCGGCGGACGCAGTCTGCTTGAGGGGGTCGTGTTTTTTTCTTCTTCTTTTCTTTTCTTCTCTCATTCTCTTGTCATTCTTGCTAGTTATCGTGTTGTGCTGCCTGCTTTGTTTGCTAATCGTCTCTTCCACAGCGTGGATCCTACTTTGTTTCGCTGATGGTTTTCTAGCTGTGATTTCGTTGATTCCGCTGACCTTCCCCAGATCGCGTTCCCGTCACTTCCAAAGCCACTTTGACCCTTCCAACACTAACGTGTTCCTCCCTCCCGCGGCCGAATCGACTCGCATAGTAGCAGCAGCTTATCGCATTGAGCATCCCAGGTTACGGACCAGCACAGATGAGTCGATCCTCCTCCTCTCCCTCCCTCCCATCCCGCTGTCGAGTAGTATCAAGGGACTGGCCATCCCAAAGACACCTCGCCGGCGGGCCCCCGGGCTTTCTCCTCAACCCCCGCACGAAATTCTGACCATCTTTCGCGGAGCAGATCCAATATATCGCGCTGCATGCGGTATGCGACGTATCGCGACTCGGAAAAAGATGAGTCGTCCTTTCTCCCTCCGAGTCACCCGATCTCTCGCTGACTGGCACTGTGTTTTTGAGGAGCGGAGAGACTGGCCATCTCGATGCCGCTTCTTGGGACCGGTGCCGGGGGTCGATCATACCGTCCTACCTACCTCTGCTCTCATCCGGACCGTTCTGACCCCCTTGTTGCACAGCGCTTTGAATTACGACGACGCCCGGGACCCGCGCGGATAAAGATGAGTGTTTCTGTCCCTCCCTCCCTCCCTGCCGCTCAGAAAGCTCCGTCGGGATTGGCCATCCCGTCGGAGTTCTCCGATCGGCGGCATAATCGTCTTTGCTTCTGGATCTGCCCGCTCGCTGATTCCTCGTTCTCTTAGTATCCAGTTCGCGGCGCCGGCGGTATTCCTTCACGCCTGAGATTTCGTTTGCGAGGTACGAAATCTGCCTGTGTACTCGGTCACTGCTTGTAGCCTCAATGTCGCACAGATCGCTCTGCAATATGCGATGCGCGTGTGAATGGGTGCAATGGCGCTGTTTCGTCGACGCTGCTGTGGATGTATGTATGTATGTACCGTACCGTGCTTGAAGTGTATCAACGCGAGATGTCGAACTGCCGAGAAGCTTTCACTTGCTGTACAGTACGCACGCATCCGCGAGACGATTCCTCGCACGAGACGAAGCGACGATGTAAGGAACAGCCAGTCCAGGGCAGGGCAGGACAGTGCTCGTGGAGAGCACATTTTATTTCTTTCCTCAGTATGATCGTATGACGCATGTGTGAGCGATCCGAAGGAGGTATGCCAGTGCACAATGACGGGGACGTAGGAGCGCGTCGGTGGCAGCACGGCGATACGTACGGCACATTGCCTTGCCGCAAGCCATGTAGAAATGAAGGACAAGTACAGGCATTTATAAACACGGTTCACTACTACCGCTGCCTAGAAGCAACACAGCTTACCAGTCCTGCAGAAAACGTCAGCACGCGGTTCATCGGTGGCAGGACTACTACAGCGAGACGTGGGGGAGGGATCAGAGATTCGACAATATCAACAGCGCAGCTGCCCGCCTCCTTTTTGTACACGGGAGACTTTGGTGTGAGCAGCCGGTTCGTGTCCGCCCGTCGAATGTTTTCATCAGGGAATGGGATGCGGGGGGGGGGCGGGGGTATGGAAAACGAACGGAGAGAGACGATGGGGAGAGGGTACTGACCATGTGGAAACCGGAACGCGAGCCACGGACGTTGAGAGGAAACCTGAAATACACGCGCGTCAGCTCGAGCTTGCCCAATACGACGACGACGACGACGAGACGGGAAAAAAAGTTCAGACAAGGCTGAAATCGATAAAGTATTCCACAGCATGTTTCGGAATGTGGTAAAGTATGGTATGATTTGGATCATCACTGGAAGAGATGGGGGTTCGGACGCGCAGACACATACCTTGCGTCCGAGGTCAAGATGGTGGTACAGGAAAAAAGAGGTATAAGGTGGCGGTGCATGTCTTTGCCCAATTTGGGCACCCGCGATGACGCACCCAGGCCCCCACGTGCTGAGCCCCTTTCAATCTTGCCTCGACCTGCCACTGAAACCCAGAGCGATATCATATATATGTTCTCCTTGCTCCCGGCTGCCCTGCGCCTATCCGTGGCGTCTCTTCTCTGGAACAACGGGTGGGAGACAGGCACGCCGCACGCCGGCTCCTCGACTCCACCAGCGCCACCCGCGACACGCTTCCAGCTGCGGCACGAGCACGCGATGTTCGGCGCCGGACGCAGCGTCTACTCGAACATCCCGCCCCCTCCTCATTCTTCTCCGTCCTCGCTCGACTCCGGCACGCACAGCGAGGGCTGGGAGTACGCTGTCCCGACGACGGCCATCCGCACGCACCGACCCCGCTCCCCCCGCGCGTTCGCGCACCCGCGCTGGAGTGCCGGGCAGACGCCCGTGTCGACGTGGGACCTCGTGGAGGATCTGCCCGCGCCCGACGTGTCGAAGCGCGCGACGCTCCTCGCGCTCGCGAAGATGACGTCCAATTCGTATTACGGCGATGCGGGGCACAAGCTGTGGTACCCGCTCGAGGGATGGAATACGGTTTGTCCCCTCCTTCTTCCTCTCCCTTGCATTGATGACGGCGTGTTGATTGATTGTTCCCCGTGCTCAGAGCATCCCGTTCGGCTGGGAGCCAGACGCGGACGGGTTCCGGGGCCATATCTTCGTGAGTGACGATAACAGCACGGTCGTCGTCTCCGTCAAAGGGACCTCCGCGCCGTGGATCGCAGGCGGCGAGGGGCCCACGAAGAAGAAGGACAAGCTGAACGACAACCTGCTCTTCTCGTGCTGCTGCGCGCGCGTCGGCCCGACGTGGTACCCGGTCTGCAACTGCTACGCTGGCGGAGACAAGTGCGACGCCGACTGTGTGGAGGAGGCGCTGATCGATGAGAGCTTGTTCTACCATGTTGGGATTGTGGGTGATCTTCTGTTGTGTTGCAGATAAGGAATGGGCTGACATTTGGCCAGAATTTATACAACGATGTTGCTTTTATGTATCCTGAGGCGAACATCTGGCTGACAGGTATGGGTGGATTTCATCCTTCCCAGGATATCTATCTCAAAGCTACAAAAGGGCACAGCCTCGGCGGATCTCTAGCCGCCTTGCTTGGAGCCACATTCGGTGTACCCGTCGTGGCATTCGAGACCCCCGGTGAGAAGATGGCAGCAACGCGCCTCCATTTACCTTCACCTGTAAGTAACCCGCTTGCTTGTTAAACTTCGTTATATGAACGTAACAACTAGCCCTCAACGCACCACATCACGCATGTCTACCACACGGGCGACGTACGTCCAACATTCACCCCTGGATCCAGCGAAGCTCACGAAACACCGCAGCCGATCCCGATGGGAACCTGCACGGGAGTCACGTCCTCTTGCGCCATCGGCGGATACGCTCTCGAGTCCAAGTACGTCTTGTGTGGCCCGATGGTATACCGACGTATGAAACCCCCGTGCCAGATGTCACCAGGGACAGCGCATCCTGTACGACACGGTAACGAAACGCGGCTGGTCCGTCGACTCCCGGCAGCACGGTATCGCCTTCATCGTCGAGAAGCTGCTCAACGAGGACTGGGATGCCGAGGCTGGATTGGAGGTCCCGGAGATCGACGAGCAGACGGACTGTGTAGTGCGTTGTTCAATTCTTTGTGCACGTTTCTCGAGGTGGGCTGATGTCGTGGGGTGTGTGATAGGATTGCTTCAATTGGGACTTTGGGTCGTCCAAGTAGATGTGCCAGAGCGCGCTGGGGAGTTCTCTTTGCGGATCCGAGTGCCTCCTAACTAATGGAAACGATTCTGGCCGCTCAGTGTGCAGCCTCCGCAAGAGACTCAGCTGTGGGCGAAGCGCTCATTAATTAGCGAGCCAAGCTCTGTAAATTATCATGATTTACGTGGTTTCGATGACCGACTACCCTGGTTCCTACTGGGCCAGCGGATCCGATTCGGTACAGCTCAGAATGTTTTTACGTCAAGGTGGTATGGTTTGTCGTCAAATTCATCCCGCTCTTGACCGCCCGAAGCCTCGGTAACCTACTACGTACATTGACGACCAAGACCCGTGGACCGTGTTGCCACTCTTGCTGCCGATGGTCACTGGCAATGGTTATAGTACGAGGCCTCGCTCGATATCTTTTCGGCGACAGCATGTCAGAGTTGCTGCCGGTTGACACTCGCCCTCTCATTTGAGTTGCTTCGGTTGGGGGGGGTCTGCGATCACGTGGCCTTGCGTTGCCGAATGCTTGTTCAAACCTCATGTTCGGATGTTCAAGCTCTGGAATTTTTTTTTTTTTGTGGAACGTTAAAAGCATAGATTATTCAACATAGTCGTATACTCTATGCCCGTTAGATTTGAGGCCAAGGACTTAGAACCTAGCCAGACGGAAGAAGATAACCACGCGAGGAAATGCGCTTAGTAACCGATTGTTACCCGCACGATACATCCGGTTTCCCGTGATGCCTTGTGTGGGGATTCGGTTTTCGGCTCCGATGTCAGTATTGACTGACTCATCCCTGCCACTAACCGATACCCACTAAAACCCCGCCTCCCTTGGTCCAATCGTCTGGGAGGTGTTCTTCGTTCATTAGGGTCTTTGCCCATGTCTTCCTGACCAGGGAAGACTTTATCGACTTTTTCCCGTATTTTCTTGTGTTCGTCATCTTACAATCGATTACAAGCTCTGGAATTGATGGTCTCTGTAAGCCCAATGAATGATCTTCGATGCGTCTAGCTGAGTCCTCATATAAGACTCTACAGAATGACTCTGAAAGAAAACAGATGTGGACCGCTTTTAAGTTTCGTACAGTACAATACAGATAGTTAGAGGTAGACGACAGTCGAAAGTGTCGACTAAGTATCTTACGTTGACCACCAAGATGGTATATTCAACCTGCGCGGCGAAGTGCCGTAAGTGTGTCGAACACCAAAATTGCACCCTTTTTCGCGTATGTATGAAATCTAGCCTGTGGAAACAGCAGATGTTATTAAAGACAGACAGAAGACTGGACTGAAATCACTGCAGACGTTGGAAGCGGGCCGATAGCTACATTTTCGCCACCAAGGGCCACCCGCGCGCAGTTGTGGGGTGCCCAGTGATAACTACAACATCCCATGGATGATTTCGACATGCAGATCTCTGCATTCCGTCCGCCATCGGAACCAGTTCGTGTGCTGAGGTTCTTAATGAGCTAGGAGATTTGAATGAAATATTTCCGACTCGGAGATGGTTCGGCTACCATTTCGGTTTTCGGGTCATTTCAGTTATGTACGCGCTTCTGGTGAAAGACTGTTTCATAAGCTTTGGGGTCGTATGCGAGACATTTCGTGCTTAAAAATCACGACTGATAGCATTCATTTCAGGTGGATTGGGTCATAGCTTTTACTATAATCGAGTAGGCACATAAGAAGATGAAGGAAAGGAAAAATAATGAATCGTTCAATTCAAGGCCGTACTGGTCTTGATCGGTGACATAAGCACCACCAACCGTTGCTGTTGACCACTTTTGACACCGTACTCGAACTCAGCTGACCGCATTCATGCCTACGCACCACGACCCCCAATCTCTGATCTACAGGTCGCTGTGGAAATGCACATGTCTGCACCCAGGGCCCTGCCCAGGGCTCTCGAGTCTAGGCGCAGCTTACGCATAGCTATTCTGTCAACGGGCCGTGCATGGGCCAGCGCAAGCATAACGCGACGGCATAACGGTATAGCCGTAACGCGACACGCTCTTGTCGTCACCTGGTTTGCCGACGCTGTGCCGGATATACCATCGCGCCACTCATCGCCTGGCCCCTCAGTGCCGCTGAAGCTGGGGAGCGTCTCCTGCGCTGAGAAAAAGTCGCTCGCTGGTTTCCATAACGGGATGCACATTCCTAGGATCCCGCTCGTGTATTCGGCGCTTCGATATCCACTTGTTTGACTGCGATATGTCACAGTATAAGAAGTAGATCTGTGGGAGTGGGAGTGCGTCTCGCACTTTCTTACTTCTCTTACCACTTTACCACACTTTCTCTTCGCACTCTCTCATGAGCAACTTGGATGCAACAACCGTTGCGGTCTATGGGCTTGTGGCTGTTCTACCGGTCGCAGGTCTCTGGGCTGTGAAGACTCTCAACCAGAAGGTGTGCCGCCTAGTAATCACGTCGATGATCTTCCGCCGATTTATGTCCTGCAGAACCCCGTGCCCGCAGTCATCGGCTCGGAGGGCTGGATCGCCTCGCTCAAGGCTGCGCGCTACTTCATCGAGGAGCCGATGAAGGTCGTGCAGCAGGGCTACGACGAATACAAGGACGGCGTGTTCCGGATTCCGCGTCGCTGGCGCTGGGACTACATCGTCTCGGGCACGCAGCGTATCAAGGAAGTCGGCTCGGCTCCGTCGGATGTCCTCTCGTTCATCGAGGGCGCTGGGGAGGTCTGTGTGTCTGCAACTTTCTCGGCGGCACGTGCTGATTAGATTTCTGCAGGTCATCCAAGCGAGATACACGATGGGCGCTGAGCTGATGGAGCACCCTTATCATACGATTACAGTTCGCACGAGTCTGACGCGCAATCTGGGACGACTATTCCCCGAGGTCAAAGACGAGATCGAATGTGGCTTCGAGGATGTCCTAGGGCTGCCTGATGACGGTGAATCCAATGCCGTCATGATTCTTCCGCCCCTTCTGATGATCCGGGAGACTGGAAGCTCGTCCCGGTTCTTCCGGCGATCATGAAAGTGGTCGCTCGAACCAGCAATCGTCTCTTTGTGGGGTTGCCATTGTGTAAGAAACTGATCCTACGTGCATTGTCATTGGATCTGACCCGTTCACACAGGCCGAAACGATGCATACCTCAACTTGAACGTGATTAACACCATGGAAATCGTACAACGAGGTCAGCAGCTGGATTCCTGGCCAGATTTCTTGAAACCGTAAGCTCCGGCGAGCCAATTCCCCGCATGCCAAATGACATGTTGTCTCAGACTCGTGGCGCCCTTCATTGTCACCAGACAGAAGCGTTTGCGCGAGATGATGGGCTTTTTGGGTGGCATCATACAAGAGCGCATCGCCAAGGAGGACACTCTCGGTCCCAATTACGAGGGTAGACCTGTGCGTTCTTGAATCTCTTACGACTGTCCATGAGCTAAGTCTGGACAGAATGATCTGATCTCTTGGCTCCTGGAACTTGCCGGACCCGAGGGAAGACACCCTGAACCTATCATTGCTCGCATTATGTCAGTCAACATGGCTGCCATCCACACCTCCTCGATGGTATGCACGATTGTTTCCGCCTGGAAAATATCATGACAGACCTCGCTCTCTAGGCGCTCACCCACGCTATTTTCGATCTCACGACGTACCCGGAATACCTCGAGCCTATGCGTGAAGAAGCGGAGAGTGTCGTCAGGGCGGAAGGCTGGACCAAGTCAGCACTGAGCAGCATGCACAAGATCGACAGCTTCATCAGAGAGACACAACGCATGCGCGGCAACGGACCAGGTACTTGTTGCTCTGCTTCTGGGAAGCGGGAGCTCGCTTGCTGATCGGCTGCAGTGACAATGGCTCGTAAGGTCATACATCCCGATGGTTTCATGTTCTCGGACGGAGTCAAGGTGCCTCGTGGCTCGTTCATCTATGTTTCGGCGAGACCCGTCCACTACGATCCTAGTGGGTGACCCTCCGTCCTTGCTCCATTCTGCCGCTTAACGGACTCGCAGACTTGCACAAGGACCCAGAAGTCTTCAACGGATTCCGCTATTCCCAAATCCGAGAGGAGAAGGTCGACCATCACACCGTCGAGGAAGGCATCTTCAACAGCCATATGGTGACGACTAGCATGGAGCATCTTGTCTTTGGGCACGGAAAACACGCTTGCCCTGGTCGATTCTTCGCGGCCACCGAGCTCAAAGCTATGCTAGCGCACATTCTCATTAACTACGATATCAAAGCCGAGGTGCCTGGTGTCCGTCCTCCCAATCTGGAGCGTGGAATGGTCTCGGCGCCTAACGCGACGGCGGGTATCTTCATCCGCAAACGTCAACTGTGATTCAGAGTTTTTGTACCCATGTATATCAACCAGCAGTGTCATCCATACCCTCCTTTTCGGACTGTTACTTGGACGTTCCGCCTTATCTCACACAAAGAATTTTATCGATCTGATACCATCAATGATAAGCACGGAACAAAGCTACTCTCGACTGCCATGGCCAAGCGAGCGCTTCTCGTCGTCGACATGCAGGAAGACTTTTGTCCACCGGTAAACTCGGGATACCTCTCTAGCGATCATCATTCAGTTTTGTGCAGAGTGGGAGTCTCGCCGTCTCGGGTGGCCGCGATATCGTCCCTGTTATCAACCACTTGCTCTCCTCATCCACGTTCGACATCAAGGTCGCAACGAAAGACTGGCACCCAGCGGATCACATCTCATTCGCGGCGAACCACCCTGCGCCGGACAACAAGCCGTTCGAGTCGCTCGCCACGATCGTGAACCCGCACAACGCAGCGGAGAGATACGCGACACGGCTGTGGCCCGTGCACTGCGTGCAGCACACCCCCGGGGCGGAGCTCGTGCCTGAATTGGACGTGTCGAAGATAGACAGGGTCATTGAGAAGGGGCAGGACGCGCGGGTCGAGATGTACTCCGCGTTTTCGGACCCTTTTGAGAGCCCGTGCGTTGCGCGGAGCGATCTCGGGGCGTATCTGAAGGATTGCGGGGTGGGCGAGGTGTATGTCGTTGGGCTGGCGATGGACTATTGTGTCAAAGCCACCGCGCAGGATGCGGTGAAGGAGGGAATGAGGACCTTTGTTATCACCGATGCCACCAAGGCCGTAGATCCGGAAGAAGGATGGAGGAGCTCGAAAGCAGAGATGGAGAGTAGTGGAATCATCTTTCTCCAGTCCGGAGATATCTAATCCTGCTAGCTGATAAGATTAGAGGACGACCTACCGTATCCAGTTGGATTCTAGGCTGTCAAAACGATCAGCTGCCCGTCGATGACCCTGAACTACCAATGTTCTCGTTACATAATTAGACGTGCAGGTCCTCAAGCAGACGTACAGCAGACAGAGTGGACGTCTGACAACGATCTGAAAGCTTGCAAAGTCTCGACTCGGAGCACATTAGATGCCCGCTGATGCCCATATGAGCGTTCTCAACGCATGCTGAGAGTAAGAATCAGAGCGAATTCCTACGGGCGCTCAGCTCCGACTGACATCTTCCACGCAGCACACGCGCGCTGACCTCGGGGCTATGGCGCGTCCGTTGATGGGGTCAGTTCCGGAACGTGACCGCGGCTGTAACAAAGTTTGTCATGACATTGATGTGCACTGCCGCCGGTCAGCTTTGGCGCACAGCGCTCAGCATAGCTTCCTTCACGCAAGCGTGTCCGCTGCGGACATAGAATATCACGCCCCTACTCATAGCATCTACAACTCCCTCATTCACGTTAGAGACTCGCAACTTGCTCTGCGATGCAGCCTCCACCACCAACCGCATCTGCGGCCGTGTCCCAAGAATCAGCGACTGCCACCGATCTTTCCTTTGCCCAAGCGCTTGAGCAGACTGGCCCCGAGGAGGTCAGTATCGTTCTGCGCCGAATCCTGCAAGACAGTGTCTAATAATATGCCCAGTCCTCGATCTTCCTTGCTGCGCAACGTGGAGATATCGAAACGGTCCGCGAGCTGCTCGTGTCCGGCAAAGCCCAAGCGACGGACCGGGACCCCCAAAACATCACCGCGCTCCACTGGGCCGCTATCAACGCGCAGGTCCCGACATGTCGGCTGCTGCTCGAACACGGGGCAGAGGTCGACGCGCTGGGCGGCGATCTCGTAGCCACCCCGCTGCAATGGGCGGCCCGGAACGGGTATCTCTACGTTATCCAGCTCCTCATCGCGCACGGCGCGGACCCGACCATCACCGACTCGCAGGGGTACAACTCCCTGCACCTCGTCACGCACTCGTCCTCCGTGATGCCGCTGCTCTACCTCCTACATCAGCCGGTCAACGTCGACTCGCGCGACGCGCAGGGCCACACTGCGCTCATGTGGGCGGCGTACCAGGGTGATGCGCTCAGCGTGGACCTGTTGCTGAGGCACGGCGCGTCGCCAACCGTCACGGACGACGCCGGGCTGACTCCGCTCCATTGGGCTGTCGTACGGGGCAACAGGGTCAGCATCAGAAAGCTAATGGAGAAGGGTGCTCAGATTGGAGCCAAGGACAATGAGGGTCGGACACCACGGGATATGGCACAGGAGCTGAAGAGCTTGGGCGCTTGGAAACGCGCGCTGGAGGAAGGTGGATGGGATGACGAGGGCATGAAGAAGACTCGACCCCTCAGCGAACGCAATGCTCGAATTGCTATCTTTTGCTTGCCGACGATTGTTTTCTATGTCGTGTTCAAGACGTTGGCCGTCTTGCCCTGGTATACTGGCATTTTGCTTGCTATGGCCGAGTTCTTTGGAATGCATCATGTCGTCACCCGTGTCTTGCTCAACAAGAACAGCTACACCGATACCGTCAGCCAAACGCCCTACTTCGCCGGAATTATCTCCGCATCGATGATATGGGTCGTTTTCTGCTGGGCCACGCGTTTGATACACCGTGAGTGGCGCAACAGTCTATGAGAATGCTGTCTGACATCTGTCAAGAAACCCATTCGCACGCGTTCTCGCACTTGTGCTTTGCACTCGCCGTAGGCCTCTGCGCTTACAACTTCTTCCGTGCCATCACGCTAGATCCTGGAGTTTGTCCCAAGCCCTCGAGTGATGCTGAATTGAAATCGGTAGGCCTCTCTCATCGAGCAGTTCCTCTTTTTCTCACCATAGCGTCCAGATAATCGAAGATCTAGCTTCCGAAGGCCGATTGAATGGCCAGACTTTCTGTTTGCAGTGCATGGTATGCATTCTGTTACACCGGTCTCTCTTCCAAAGATTAATGGACGAACCAGGCGCGCAAGCCGTTACGGTCCAAGCATTGCCGGGTCTGTGACAAATGTATCGCACGGAGTGACCATCACTGCCCATGGGTTTGGAACTGTGGTATGTCAACATCTTGCGAGGCAAATCATCTCTCATCCTAATCCAGTTGGCTCTAACAACCATCGGCAATTCCTGATATTCGTGACCACCCTGGTCCTTGGAATCACCCTTTTCGATTATCTGGCCTATGCCTGTGAGAGACAATCTCGTGATAGTGTTCATATGATTAACATCAGAGCACCAGACTTCTCTTCTATCACTCTCCCTGCTCTTGACGCTTCAGTTCCACCCTCTACATGCCCACTTCCCCAAAATCTGTGTGAAATCACAGCCACTGATCCTTTCCTTGTTGCGGTTACTTTCTGGGCCACTCTGCAGCTGACTTGGACGTTTGTGTTGCTCGGATCCCAATACTGGCAGGTCGCGCGTCAGATGACCACGTTCGAGGTATCCAACCTGGGCCGATATGGATTCATGGGCGGCCGCGGGGGTGCGAGTCTTCAGGGCCAGATGGGCCACAGACACACTCACTCGCAGGAAGGCGAGGGCCTCAACAGTGCCCCCGCAGCTCACGGCCACAGCCACGGGTCCGGTTTCCTGATGAACCTGCTCGGCTTCGATCGGTTTACCCGAGGCAAAGCTGTCGACGGGCTCACGCGTGCCAGCAAAGCTAGCAATCCATTCGATCTCGGTCTAGTCCGTAATTGCCGTGATTTCTGGACGAACGGCAAGGAGCTCGGCGTCGAGTACGAGAGACTGTACGATGTGCCGCTAGAGGGATTCGAGGAAGCCCGGAAGCGCCGCGAGCGGGAAGAGCAGGAGGACGGGCTTTCAGCCGGTGGGAGGAAGAGCTCTGCGAGAAAAGGACTGTTTATGGGCATGGGTCTGGGCATGGGCCGGGCCGGCAGCAGTCGTGGTGGATATGAGCCCATCAGTCAAGTATGATCAGTATTTTACGAAACTTTGACGAAAACCGGTACTTATTTATGTAACGAGTTGGAATGAACCGTTGTAGATTTTTGAAACCTGGGGTCCTCTGTCCACTCAAGTTCCTGGTCTTCGCTGCAAACGGTGGTACAACCAGAGGGCCTGCACCTAATGAAAATTCTCAAGGTTGTTTAGGCAAGACCTCGATGCGGAGGATATCGTTGAATTGATCACTATGCAGATGGGTATGATTACTTGTTAGATGATATAGCTTTGAAATTAATCATCGGAGGATTTTAAGTATCATGTTATGCAACGTTTGTTCTAGGACACGGTCACATGAGAAGAACCCTTGCTGAAGTAGCCCTCCGTCGCCACAATCTGGTAGTTGAAGTTGCTGCCGAGGTGCATGCCATGCGCGGCCCACGCGTTGAAGTGGTTGGCAGTGGTGACGGTCCCGGACGAGCGGTGGTTGTCGCGGACGGACCAGAACTGGTCGAAGGTCGCGGTGCCTGAGATCGAGGGCGCGTTGACGCGCTTGGTGCGAGAGATCTTGTAGTTCGAGCCGTCCGAGTAGACCGTGCCGACCTGCGCGGTGCCGGTCGAGGGGTTGTATGTTCCTGCGGCCGGCCGGCAGGGTCAGCCAGAGCAGAACAGAAGGGGTGGGCAGAATCGCTGTGGGACAAGTCTCACCGAAATTCTCCGTGATATAGTACTCGACAAGCGGGTTTGTCGTCCATCCGTAGACGGAGAGGTAGCTGTTCCCGTTGGGGTAGTACTGCGCGCTATAAGTGATCGACCTGTACCGTCACTCAGCCGATCTGCACACTGGCTCTACCTGATTGCAGGGTCTACCTGCGGGAGCCCGGGTTCCATCCCTTTCCGCCGACGAAGTTACCGTTCCCGCTCCAGATCACGTCGTAGTGACCTGCAGCACCGTTTGTGTAGTAGACGGTCGCGCCACCGTCCGTCCAGAACGAGTAGAAGAACCCGTTGCTCACTCCCTGGCTGGGCCGCGTGCCGGATCGCGCTTCGATGGCGGTCCCGTTCACTGGGGAGGCGCTGACGGTGATGTTCGCCACCAAGGCGGCGAGGAGCATGGTAAAGAGCGTGGAGAGCATTCTTGCCGATGGAGCGAGAAACAGGGTCGGAATGAGGAGACTACTCTACGGGTACGCATGGACCGAGGCTTATATTGCTGTAAGCAATAAGGGCCGACCGACCGCTCGCTGAATAAATTTGAAAGTCTGGCACCCATAAAGATTCCGGCCCAGGGGTGAGGATGTCATCGCACTCGTGCTTCAGGAGGTTTCTGGGTCCGAAGAGTTTCATTGAAAGTGATCGAGGAGGACGGAGCGGACATTTCGAATTCTTGCCCCAGACTGATGAGTACGACACAATCAGCCAGTACTTTCGTATAACGAAGCCAAACAGCTAACTGCCTGAGAAAGCACATACTGGGTTCCTCCACGGCTGGCTTAACAGTTCAAGAGCACACTACCCTGACGGATTCGCGAGTGTGCTCCGATCTCCGAGTGCCAAGAGCAAGTCAAGCGTGCAAACCCGTTGTGGCTGTATGTCCGGAAGATCCGCACGTGATGAGGATGCTCGCGCGATGCAGCTTGAGTTTGTTGCAACTTCAAGTTAGAGAACAAGTCATCTCCAGATGAAATCCACGAATGCATAGGATCAATTGCGGGTTTGTTTATAAATGAGTGACTAATAAGTACATCCTTCGACGACCGATGTTTACGACACAGTCACAGTCGAGGAGCCCTTGCTGAAGTAACCCTCGGTTGCTACGATCTGGTAGTTGAAGTTGCTGCCGAGGTGCATGCCGTGAGACGCCCATGCGTTGAAGTGATTCGCCGTGGTGACCGTTCCAGCCGAGCGGTGGCTGTCGCGAACGGACCAGAACTGGTCGAAGGTCGCGGTGCCGGAGATGGACGGCGCATTGACGCGCTGGGTCCGGTAGATCTTGTAGCTGGAGCCGTCAGAAGTGACCGTGCCGACCTGGGACAGGCCGGTCGAGGGGTTGTATGTTCCTGGAGCTGGTTAAGTACGAGCAGTACGAGAGTCGGCCGACAAAACGCACCGAAGTTCTCTGTGATGTAGTACTCAATGAGCGGGTTCGTCGTCCATCCGTAGACTGAGAGGTAGCTGTTCCCGTTGGGCTTGTACGTCGCGCTGTACTTGATTGCCCTGTAGATCATATCTCAGCCGAGAGTACTTACCTATGCTTGGAAGCCAGCAGAGGCGTAGAGACCTACCTAGCAGAGCCGGGGTTCCATCCCTTGCCACCGACAAAGTTCCCGTTCCCACTCCAGGTCACGCTGTATTGGCCGGCGGCGCCGTTGGTGTAGGTTACGGCGGCACCTCCGTCGGTCCAGAACGAATAGAAGAACCCGTTGCTCGTGCCCTCGCTGGGTGCCGTGCCGGAACGCGCCTCGACGGTCGTCCCGTTCACAGGGACGGCACTGACGTTCGCCACCAAGGCGGTGAAAAGCAGGGCGAGGAGAGCGGAGAACATTTCAACTAGGGAAGGAGATGAATGAGGAGGGCGGTCGTATGGTTGCGCACCGCCGATCCACCACGACTTTTAAATAGGTCGCTCAGCCCGGCTGCTCGGTGGATAAACTCTGAGGTCACAACGACGGATAAAGCCTCCGGTGTGATCATATGCTGCAGTCTCGAGGTGCATCTATGTAAGTATCCGAGGATTTTCATTGCAACGGCCCGCGGGGAAGAAGTCGTTTGCTATTGACCAATGGTGATGGATGACTGCGGAGGTGCTTTTTTTGAAGAGACACAGCTGAGGGGTTTGCCAGGAGCGACTTTGAGCTCCAGTTCGTCCCCCTTCGGCCCCGAGTTCAGGAACACATGGTTACGGTTGTACTTCGAATTTTGAGCGCGACGAGCGTGTGATCATGATCGTCGGGAATGAAGTAGCGACAGAAACCGTCAGTGTTGTAGATAAGGGTGTTATTAAGGGTGTCTGCTGAAATTAAGGTCTTAGGACAAGGTAAGAGTTATTAAGGGTGCCTATTTTAAGGGTCTTTTATAAGGCTTATTACCTGATTTGTATTCAAGTCCCAAATGAGTTTATTTGCGTCAATACTGGTTCAAAACATTACAAGAAAACTTCTACGGCGCGTATTCATCTCCGGAGCCCTCAAGAGCACCTGCATCCGGTGCTTCATTGTCATGTTTGGCAGCTAACAGCTCCATGTACAGTGCTTCCTCCAACACCACGCGTTCGCAACAGGCCATCACAATGGGGTTTGAGACTTTCCCCCCAAAGAGAGATGAGAGGGTGGTTGGAAGCCACGAGCTGGTACGTGGACGTTGTCTGTTCATGGGAATTGCTGCCAGTGTAGGTAATTCTATATTAAGACTTATTAAGAGCCTTATTATGTTTTACACCAATGTTAAGGGTTCAACTTATCTTAAGTTAAGTACATAATAAGCCTGGTCAAGTTAAGACCTTAACTACTTATCAAAAACACTGGAAACCGTTGCCGGCCGGCACTGATCGGGGGCCGTCAGTTCACGCTCACATTCATTACAGCCGTGCTTACAATTGTCTACAGCAGGGAGCTTCAATCCGGAATACTGATTGGTTTTGTGGGTGCGCAAGTGTGGAAGTGGGTGTTGAAGCAGAAATGGGTATTAGCTTAGAGTGGCTGTGCAACACTGCAGAGGCCGTCAGTGGCGCTTCAGAGACCATGTCAGGATGGGATGCATGTGTTCTCTTGTATGTACATACAACAGAAGAATATTAAGAAGTAAGCTGGTCTGCAAGGTGCTGAAGATCTATGAAATCTGAAACTCTGGGTTCAGGTCTAGCCCATGAGTTCTGCTGTAAGTAGTATCCCCCAGGATTCTTTTGCTTGAGGGCTGTTGTGACAGCATGGATGAGAACCTGCATGGGCCGAGAATGGCTGCTCTGGTGGCCCAGATCCACCAGCAGTGCCTTGGCCTTGACAGTAAAATTGTAATACATTGCCCAGTGCAAGCAGCTGTCAAACACCACAGCCAACTCAGCTGCTGATTGCCCCGTCTCTGCTTCATAATCAATTGCCTCCATGGATCCTACTGAGGTCTCCCCAAGTTTGTCCAGTATTTGCGGTAGCAGTGCATTAGGTGGATCCAAAAGCCGGGATAGCAGAGGCCACATATCCACCTCATGCACTCTATGAGCAGAGAAGTGCCATTGCAATCTGTCCACCCGGTCAACCAGTCCCAGCAAGGCTGCAGTGGTCAATGCCATGAAAAGAGTGGCTTCAGCCTTGTCCGCATCAAAACCATTGAGCCGCTTCACATACTCCTGGGCTGTGAAATGGACAAATCGAACCTCTGAAGCTCCATTGATTTCAAGGAATGATGAGGCACGGCGGCGGATCACATCCCGGGCATCAAATGGATCAGGTGGCTGTGGTGCTCCAGTCCCATTGACCCAGTCCACACCAACCATCACAATAGCTGCTGCAGTTGACTCCTTTAGTGCATATGAAGCCATGGCAATAGCATCAAGCAGATTCTGAGAGCGATGGAAAGACCCATTGGCCCGGAGTCCCTCCATGATCCGATCATATGTTCCTGTGACGTCCCGAGGCAACTCTGCTAACTCTTTTTCAATGTCACTTGTTTCGCACATCAGGAGATGGGACATCTGCAATGAGACCAACAGAAACCTGCCATCATCAGCTGACCTGCCATGCACATTAAAGAAAACACTTACATCCCATTTGCCCTCCCTGTCAATATCTCCTCTACCTTTCTCTGAACAGCAGGTGACCAATCTGGACGATGCTCCTGGATCTGAGCTCTGACAAAGCTTGAGATGTCCTCTTTACGACTGCCTGCCTTCTCTTCTAGGTTCATCCAATGAGTTGCTTCTGTTTGAAGAACATGGTGGATGTCCTGCTCTGGCCGGCTTGCTAACAAGAGGCGTAGGTTGCTGAGGTTGGCACCATGTAGCTTTCGTAAGAAAGGCAAAAGATCTTGAGTGCGGCCAGGGTTTGGATACTCATCCAGGCCATCAATGAGAATGATCACATGCTTTGGTGCACATTTGATCATGTCCAGAAGGCACTGGAACAGTGTAGGTGGTGATGCAGAAAGAGTTGATCCACGCTGGTCATAGGACACCCTGAGTTGGTCATGGAAACACCTTGCCTTGGTTGCAAGCTGGTATACCAATGCAGACAGGACACTTTGTAAGTGCTGGGATTTCTCCTCACGATAAGAGATGAATGCAAATGCAATGAGCTCCTTCTCAGTCTCCAGGTGCTCAACCACTGCAGACCTGCCAAGCCAAATGGTCAAAGGGGAAGACCAAAGATGAACTGTACAACATACATTGATACACTCTTCCCAGCACCAGCTGCTGTGTAGTCAGCACAATGGTACAGTGTAGGACTATGATTGTGCTCACGCTTGCCATGGACCCAATACATTGAGTTTTCCAACCCAATCCACTTCTCAAATCGCTCATCAAAGAACCATTCACATGTTCCATCATGCTTGACTTTAGAAAGATCATCAAAACGCTTGCCCGTGTTGTAGGGATCAAGCCATATTTGGATACGATCCTCAACTAATGAAGAAAAGTGAGCACCAGGCAGCAAATCCAATTTCAAAACACACCAATCAACCTTTGTATTCCCAATGACACCAGGAGGTTCTCCAGTGATGTGGCAAGGCTCTCCTCCTTGGTGAGCTGGTCAAGCTCATTGAGAGCACCTTGCACATCATCAGATCCAAGCATCTGGAGCACCCAATCCTCTATTATGCAAGTCAGCATTGTAAGCATGTTAGTAAAATAGATCTCACTTATGCGCATCTTTGCTGGCTGGAGCCGGAATTTACTGGGCTTGGGCATTTTCTGGATATACAACGTCAAGAGCCCAAATGTCTTGATTATGAGGACCAGAATCTTCAGCAACGTGTTGTGGAGCAGCTGACGGTGAGCCGCAGGGAGCTTGATGAGATAGATGTCTAGGCGAGTTAAACAGGGCTGGAACCGATCGAGGATGAGTTCCAGCGAGTCGTATTTGGTGCTGACTCTGTTGGTAGCCTGTTTGCCACGCACGCTTCGTTACTTTCTGTGCCACAGGAACGTGTTAGACAGCACTCACCTCGAGCAAGGCCGCAAAAGCAACAAAGATCCCTTTCCCTCCCGGAACCTGGAAGTTGAATGAGCTCGATGGCTTGTGACGCGCAGAATCGATACTCGCCACAGCAGACGTCCCTTCAGCCACGGGGTTGATGACGAACTGCAGGACAGCCGTGAGGGGCTTGAGAACGCGTCTGATGCCGTTGTCCTGAGAGCGGAAGTCTCCGAAAGACTGCTTGTGCTGGGCCAGAATAACGCAGAAATCGTCCACCGTGTTGCATCGATTCACGTCTTGAGCAAACGGCAGCTCATCCAGCTTCTTCCTAGTGATCCTCTCGTACTCCTCAACGGCTTCGGCGAGCAACGTCTTCCAAGCATCGCCCGATGGAGGAACAGGAGTTCCGGTCAAGTGTAACGGTGGCTGAGAGTTTGCCATGGGCAAGGAGAGTGAGGGAGTTGTGCGTGTGGGAATGCCGCTACCTATCGTCAGAACCTCGCTGCATGTGCGTTGGCAGCCGGTGCCTACTTCGTACAGTGCATCAGACACAGAAGCTGATACAATCAGAGGTGCAGAGATTACAATTGAGTGAGACCCGCAGGATCGTGGCGCCAATCTTGCACGCCGGTCAAACCAACACTCCGGGAACAGCATCCCGTGCGGCCCGCGCCAACGTCGGAGGTGAAAGAGCCGCCCTGGCGGCTGCCTGAGTGACCCCGCACCGGCCGCTAGCAGATCCCATGCTCTCCTTTGCGAACTTTCAGCAGTCGCATACCGCACACGGGGGGTTTCCTGCGCACTGCGAGAGGGAGAAGTTGCGTATGCGACGTGGCACATTGTGGCATCGATCTGTCACTCGGCGTTGCAGCACCGGGTTCTTTCATCTGAGACTGGTCCGATCAGACATGAGCGCTGTTCCGGAAGGCTAACCGCTCGATCGTGACGAGGTCCTGGCGAGTTGCTCTCCAGGGGAGGGTGTCTTGCGTGCAGTCAGCCCAGATCAAAGACAGACACGAGTCGAGCTCGAAGGCTGGTATACCCAATCGTTGGCAGAGAATTTGCATAACCGCAGGATTGCAGACAGTTTCTCGTGTTGCGATCGGAAAGGCTGTATATGAGCTCAGCGATCATTTTCACAAACGTAAAGGGAGAAAAAACGATCTTCCGGTCATTTGATCCTCCGTCAACACGGGCTGAGTGCAAAATTGAGCGAGGGACCCTGGGACCCTTCACCGGGTGTCGCATCGTGTCTACTAGTCCCGGGGTGAGTCAGGGCGAGGTCCCACTTCTGATAGCACTCGGGATCATAAGATGCGCATTGCAGGACCGTACAGATTGATATGTGTATATCCAATCTGACGAAACATTGAGCTAGAGTCGGGCGCAACCCAGGCAGTGAATATACGCACCACAAATGTCTACGTAACTCGTGCTCTCGTCGCGAAACAACAACTGTCACTGAGATCACGCCTGTACTTGTGCACCATGTCCACCGACGCGAAGGGGCTCGTTCTCCAGACTCGACCAGTAGAGGATGTTCATCGAGATCGCGGCCGTGAAGAATGTAGGTATGGAGACAAATGGTGTTCCTACGCAGCAGTCAATGAAACACATGCAAAGCACGGAATGTACACTCACGCTCGCACTCACCAGCTCTGCTGCTCGCTCTGGTACCGACGCGGTGGCCCGCCGCACAACATCAAAAATGGCCAGACCAGCGAAACAGACACGGCGCACGGTCGCAGCCCACTCTCCATCCGTCATGTGTTAACATCTGAGCGAGTTTGACTTGATCCCCGCGGAAACCCATCGACCTGCCAGAGCCTCCTCTTGTAGACTCCTCCTATGCCAACTGATCGAATCGGTCAACTCTGTCTACGAGCTCGAGATCTCAATCCAGTGGCGCAGCAGTGAAAGAGACCAGAGAGCTCAAAGCCCGGCATGAGCCAAGTCGCCCGGGATAGGAGTGGGGCAACTCGATTGTGAGACGCGTATGTCTCATGATCTCCGGGATGGTTGCTGGAGCAGTCGAAACATGAGGGTGGATTCGATTGGGCTCTCTGAGCGGGTTGAGAGGGGGTGATCGGATCGTGCCTCTGCGCTAAGGCCAATGTCAGTGACCGCGCGAGAGTGCAAGAATATCTGAACACACCGTCAGCCTTCTGAGATGAGCCTCGTCTTGGAGAGAAAACGAGTTGCATAGCAGCGCATTTGAGATTGTACTAGAGGACTGGTCCGTTCTGTGACTTTAGGCGCCACGCCATTGCGGGCCCTACAGCTCGTTGTCCGAAGCCTCCTGTCCATTGCCTCCGCACGAAAAGCAAAGGGGCCGGTTTCGAGAATGCTCGTCGCGGGGGAAGTCGTTGTACTCGAGGTCTAGATGTACGATCATACGTCTCGTAGAAAAATTCACGCCGGCCATGACATGCTGCAAGAATCTTTGCACTAGATCTTCGAGAGAGATGCGTGATCGAGGGCGTGCTCGGGAAGCACACCTGCATATATTCAGGAAGACGATGTCCTCACGTGTGTCGTGGCGATTCTGAAGCATCCGAGTACCCAGTGATTGCGGTGATAGCGGACGGGCAGGCCATCACGCAGACGAGGATATGGTGTCACCGGGATGTAGAATGGAAGAGTTCAAGTTGAACGCGCGTGTTCATGCGGCCATTTGCAGCAGCAGCGTCCGATGGAGACTTCAAGGAGACCCCGGCGCCCGGTGCTAGACTTGAGGTGGTGTTGAGCGGATGCAAAATAGACAGACACGTCAGGCTGTTCCGAATCTCCCAGCGGCGAGATCCCTGAGCGATATGTGCACCTGGACTGATGTCGAACGGACTGGTCATGAGAGCGCTGGAAGACAGGTTAGGGTTGATGACTCAGATTGGTCACGATATCTGTGATTGGCAACACCCGCACACACTCCCGCAGCCATCAAGGCCGGACCTGATTTTGGGTGCTGTTGTTCTCTAAGCATCCCTACTGACAACAGATTGTTCGTTAAATTACACGAAGTGCGAATGATAATAGTCAAGTGGTGTATCCCATTAGTGCAGATGTCAAGTCTATGTATGACATGCAAGGCGTAGATAGGAAATCTCGACCTGTCGGAGGCGGAAAAAGCGAGCGTCATGCGTCCATGAGAGATCCGGCGCAGCAGATAGTTGTCACAGGAAGAACGTTTTGGGTCAGACTAGCGGTGCTGAAGGATCAGATGTGATGATCCAGTAGACACTGCGTCCCCCACCAAAATATCATGCCCGAGTCAAGCGACATCGCACCGGGCAAGACATCTGCGTTCAGTAAACGAGAGGCATGAGTACGGCTCCATTTTACACGCCTATGAAGAGAGTCTCATCGGTGTGGAGTGTAGAAGAGGTGTAGAGACGAGGAATAGACGGGAGGTATCGAAGATGGCAGACGCGCAGACAATCTGCAGATCGTCACACGCAAGCGCGCATTGCTATAAAACCAGTGCTGCAGCAAGAGAGACGGAACATAGTCTCAAAAAAGAAATCCTTAGCATCGACGGTTCTGATGTCTTTGGGCGCCAATACAGCATGCTTAGAAATAGCAAGGTAGCCGGGGCTTTGCAATCAAAGAATTCGTCGTCGAGTGGAGGGCTTTCTCGAGGATGAGATTCCGACCTATGACCGTCCTTGTATGCTTAAAATTCACGCCAGCAATGATCTGCTGGAAGTGGCTTCCCGTGAGATCCTTGTCGAGAAGTGCGCGAGAGAACACATGAATCGCTCACCGTCAGCATATCCGAGCGCGAAGACGACGTGCGCAGGTTCAGTGATGGTTGACAGCCCTGGCGTGCGGGGCGGCAGACACCCGGGGCACCCTAGAGCGTGGTGCGTGAGGATGTCTCGCAACATGCAGTAGTCTTCAAATTCACAACAAACGCGGGTTTTCATCCTACTTCTGGGAGCGTCCCAAAACTGTCGAAGCGACCCAGCGTCATGAGACCCCGTAGAAGGCCTCTCCGAGAAGATGCTCGAGGGTTGTGTCGGGGCGCATGCAAGATGGTCATGCTCTTGGACTGTCTCCGACAGGCCAGCCACAATGTCGTCACAAACGATGCGCATCCGGAGCTTTGCAGGATGGGAGTAGGGTCGGTCTGCTGTCGACTGGAATGAGAAACGATGGTTTGTGATCAACAGCCTACACCTCTGCTCTCGCTGCTTCTGAGACCGTGCTTGATTTTGGTGGCTCGACATGTCGGATGATCTCCGCACGAGCTTCATGGCCCCCATATGTACTTGTGACGAAATCGAGACAGCTGACGCCGATGCCTCGAGTCGACTGAGTTGTCGCAACTGTCTGGCCTATGCTGCTGTGGTTATCCCAAGTCGACACACGATACGACTGTTTGTGCATCAAGTCGGACCTGCGGTCTTCGAGCGCCGGGTACTTCTGTGTCTCACAGATGGATATCTGTAACGATCTTAGAAGGAGCGTCGATACTGACCGCACGATGTCACATTGGTGCCTGCGTCTCGGTTTACAAGATATCGCTGCAATTGGACCCGAAATTTCGGTCCACTTCCATCGCAGTGACCTGCACATAGATCTCCCGTGGGAATTCACAGGCGGACTCGAGCTTCAGATCCCCAATCCCGTTTCGAGCGTATCTTGTATGTCTCCCTGACGAATCATTGCCAGATCTCGGGCCATTCATCGACCTCCTCCGCACCAATACAGCTCAGACTATTCATGAACTGACTCTCAACCCCAGCCAGGGGATGTCAGAAGTCTCAGCAAGCAAACTTTGGACCACGCATGGGTAGTCGTTTCTGGGAGAGTCATCGATTGGAAAGAGTCCGACACGGGAATGCATTCGAGTGAGCTCTCTGCGTGGATTTCCGATTCAAGTGGGTCGACAAAACGTGCTTCAGCACTGAGACAAGGTAAGTGACCACGTGAGAGAACGAACAGGTCGCAGCCCTCCACGTCTTCAGCCAACGGCAACTAGTTCAGCTGCTTCCCAGTGATCTTCTCGCGGTTTTCCATTGTTTCATTGTGCAGCGTCCTCCAATCATCGTCTCAAGCAATGTCCCGGGTCGTGGACGAGCACAATGAGGGCCGTGAGTTTGCCATGGGAGCGGAGCAAGAGGGGGGCTTGCAGGGACTGCGCTACATACGTTCATGGCCTCGCCGCATGCGCACGAACCAGAACTAGTCGAAGGTCGCGGTGCCGGAGATGGATGGCGGATTGACGCGCTGAGCCCGGGAGATCTTGTAGCTGGAGCACTCAGAGGTGAGTGTGCCGACTGGTCATTGGGGACAGGCCGGTCGAGGGATCGTATGTCCCTGGAGCTGGGTAATTAAAAACAGTGGAAAATGAAGCTGACAAAGCGCACGGAAGTCCTCTATGGTGCAGCACTCACTCAGAAGGCTCGCGGTCTATCCGTAGACCGAGAGGCAGCTATTCCCGTTGCGCCTGTACATTGTGCTGTACTTGATTTAGCTGAGGGCCAATTCGCTCCGCGGGTCCCATGCGCACATTGTGCATCTGACTATCCGGCTCAGTATTTTCGAGTGCGCTGCGGAAAGCGCGGGTACGCCGACGCAGGATCGGGCAATGGGCGATGGCATTCTGGTATTCCGGTGGCTGTGCGATATGGAAAAGACGGTGTTAGTTCCAGTCATTACAGGCTTTCTGTCGAATCTACGGAGAACTGTCCTCCGCGTCAGCTGTGCACTGGAATTGTATGCAATGCGAAACAGCAGGGTAAATGCGAGCCCAAGAGCGGGTACGCCGACGCAGGATCGGGCAATGGGCGATGGCATTCTGGTATTCCGGTGGCTGTGCGATATGGAAAAGACGGTGTTAGTTCCAGTCATTACAGGCTTTCTGTCGAATCTACGGAGAACTGTCCTCCGCGTCAGCTGTGCACTGGAATTGTATGCAATGCGAAACAGCAGGGTAAATGCGAGCCCAAGAGTTCTTGTTGAAGTAGTAACTTCCGGGATTCTCCTGTCCGAGAGCCACTCTGGCTGCACGGATGAGAACCTGCACAGGCCGAGAATGGCTTTTCTCGTCGCCCATCTCGGCAAGCAGCGCCTCGGCCTTCTTGAAGAACTTGCATCTCATCGCCCAGTGCAAGCGGCTGTCGAACACCGCAGCCAACTCGGCAGATGACCGCCCCGTCTCGGCTTCGTATGCGATTGCTCTCTCTGAACCCGCAAAAATGTTTCCGAGTCCATCCTGTATTTGTGGTAACAGCGCATCCGGCGGATCAAAAATGCGGGACACCAAACGCTGCACATCCGCCTCGCGTACGCGTCCTGTCAAGCGAGACCAACCCCCCCTCCCGTCCCACGGAGTAACAAGTTTCAGCACCGCCGCGGTGGTGAACGCCGTGAAAAGAGTGGCCAAGGCCTCGTTCTCGTTGAAATCCGCAAGTCCCTGCACATACTCCTGGGCTGTAAAATGCACAAATCCAACCTCCGAGTCTCCATAAATCTGAAGAAATGATGAGCCGCGCCGACGGATGACATCGCGGGCATCAAACGGATCCGGTGGCTGTGGTATTCCAGCGTTGGCCACCCAGTCCAGGTCGACCATTGCGATAGCTGCCGCTGTTGATGCACGCAAGCTATAGATTGGGGACGTTTGAACAGCCACAGAATCAAGAAGACGCCGAGAGCGATGGAAAGACGAAACATCGACCCGCAGTCGCTCTATCATCCGATCATACGTCCCTTTGACGTCCGCAGGCAGGTTTTTCAGCTGTCTTTCGATGTCGCCCGTTTCGCACGTCAAGAGATGAAACATCTGCAACGATACCCACAGAAACCTGGCACCATCAGCTGACTTGCCATAAACATCGGAGCAACCACTCACATCCCATTTGCCCCCCTAGTCAATGCCTTCTCCACCTTTTCCCGAACTGAAACCGACCAATCCGGATGATGCTCCTCCATCTGAGCCTTGATGAAGCTCGAGATATCTCCTTTACGACTGCCTGCCTTCTCCTCAAGGTCCAGCAGATGAGTCGTTATTGGTTCCAGCACACGCTGGATATCCTGCTCCGGTCGGCTCGCCAACAAAAGACGCAAGTTGTTGATGTTGCACCCATGAAAATTCCGCAAGAAAGGTAAAAAATCCCCAGCGCGCCTGGGGTTGGGATACTCGTCCAGCCCGTCCATGAGAATGATCACCCGCTTGGGCGCACTCTTCAGCATCTCCACAAGACACTGGAACAGTACGATCCGAGAGGCAGAAAGAGCCGACCCGCGCCGATCATATGCTATCTTTAGCTGGTTGTGGAAACACCTCGCCTGAGTGGCGAGCTGGTAAACCAATGCCGACAGGACACTTTCCAAACGCTGGGATTGTTCTTCGCGATAAGAGATAAACGCAAACGCAAAGAGCTCCTTCGATGTCTTTAGATGCTCAACAACCGCAGACCTGAAATGCAAAATGGTCAGAAAGGACGACGCAAGACAGCTCATGGAACCCACATCGACACGCTCTTCCCAGCGCCGGCTGCGTTGCAGTCAGCCTAATCCCACGGTGCGGTAACGTCATTGTGCTCACGCTTGCCATGGGCCCAATACATCGAGTTTGGCATCCCAATCCAATTCTCAAATCGCTCGTCGTAGAACCAATTACATGTCCCGTTATGCTTGACTTCGGAAAGATAGTCAAAGCGTGTGCCTGTATCATATGGATTGAGCCAGGTTCTGATATCTTGCTCGACTGATGCATATGCGGTGAGCACCTGCAAGTAAAGACAAGCTTAAAGCACACCAATTAACTGTTTTGTTTCCACCGACACTAGGAGATTCTCCAGCGATGCAGCAAGCCCTTCTTCCTTGGTCAACTCATCGAGCTCGTTGAGGATCCCTTTAACATCGTCGAATCCAAGCATCTGGAGCACCCAATCCTCTGTCAGAATACGAGTGAGCCTTGTGAGGATGTCCGCAAAACGGGTCTTACTCATGCGCCGTCTCACTGCCTTGAGCCGGGGATTTTTGAGCTTGGGGCTTTTCCACAGATACGATGTAAGGAGTCCGAACGTCTCGATCATGAGGACGAGGATTCTAAGCAACACACCCCGGAGCAACTGACGGTGGCCCGAGGGAAGCTGCACAAGATAGATGTTCAGGCGAGTCAGACATGGCCAGAACCGATCAAGGATGAGCTCCAGGAAGTCATATTTGTAGCTGACTTTATTAGCAGCCTGTTCAAGGTACACGCTTAATGGTGTATGCGCCACGGGAACGTGTCGGACAGCACTCACCTCAAGCAAGGCCCCCAAAGCAACAAGGATCCCTTTCCCTCCCGGAACCTGAAAGTTGAATGAGCACGACGGCTTGTGACGCGCAGAATCGATACTCACCACAGCGGACGTCCCTTCGGCCACGGGATTGATGGCGAACCGGAGGACAGCTGTGAGGGGCTGGAGAACGCGCCTGATCTTGCTGTCCTGAGAGCGGAAGTCTCCAAAAGACTCCCTGTGCTGGGCCAGAACAGCGCAGAAATTGTCCACCGTGTCGCATTGCTTCAGCTCTTCAGCAAACGGCAGCTTATCCAGCTTCTTCCTAGTGATCCTCTCGTACTCCTTAATTGCCTCGGGGAACAACGCCTCCCAAGAATCGTCCGACGGGGGCAAGCACAATTTGGTCTGAGAGTTTGCCATCGGTGAGGAGAGCAAGGGGGTTGTGTGGGAGTGGCGCGAAATACAGCGACAGCCTCACACCGCATTCATCAGAGGCAGAAGCTGTGACGATGAGCAGCGCAAAGATTAGAAATGAGTCTGACTTACAGCATCATAGCGCCAAACTCGCATCCCTGTCAAACCAGCACCCCGTGGACGATCTCGCGTGAGAACCGCATCAATGTCCGTTGTGAGAGAGCCCCCAAGTACGGTCCGCAAGATTGACCCCGCGCCAACCGCCAATAGATCCCATGCTCTCAGAAGCGAACGCCCTGCAGCTCTATGCCGCACTTGTGGAGGGGGGAGGGGGGAGTTCCTGCGCACTGCGAGAGGTAGAAGTTGCGCATGCGACGAGAGACATCGTAGCATCGGTCTGTGGCTCTGCATTATAACACCAGATTTTCTCATTTGAGGCTGGTCTGATCAGACAGCCGGTCGAGCTCATTGAGAACATGACGGGCTAAGCACTGGGTCGAGACGAGATCCTGGCGACTTGTCGTCCGCAGAAACTCTGCCGTGTGTGCTGTCACCCTGGATCAAGGCAGTCAGAATTATATGATTCGCATGGAAGGAACATGCCACGATCAAGGCTTCGTTCCCATCACCGCAAGATGAGGCTCGGTCGTTCCGCGTTATGGGCAGAGATTTTTCGAAAATTGGAACAGTCTTTCACATTCCAAGCAGGGGCATTCTGTTCATTAGGGCCGGAGTGAGTCGACGCACGATATGACTTCTTGTGCACGAAGTCAGGCAGTAGAATTGTGAGCACCAAGTCTGCATTGCAAGACAGTACAGATTAGTGTATATATGAATCTGACGGGGCATTGAGCTGGAGCCAAGCGTAACACGGGCAGTGATGACACGTACCACGAACAACAGCTACCACTGAAATTGCACCCGTAATTCCACACCATGTCCACCGGGTCAAAGACATCCTGGAGCACAGAGGCGCGCTCGTCATCCGGATCTCGAATCGCTATGTGGAGTGCTTCTCGTGCCCTCCCTGGCGGGTGTTTGTCGGCCGGAGGGTTGGCAAGACATTCCCAAGACGCGAAACTCGATGGTGCGTCACTGCGTCCGCGTCGTCTGAGTCTGGAAGCTCATCGGATTCGTCATATCCTCATCGTAAATGCCCTGCTCCGGCTCCCCCAGAAAGCGACGTTCGTCGAGATCGGCACTGTTGGGGGTCAAGGCGTTGGAAGAGACTTCAGTGGAGGCAGGTTTGACACGCACTTGAGACAACCCCGAGCGTCCCAGTCGCGATATCCCTGACGAATAATGTACGTTCCGAGCTTTGCAGGACCATGTTTATCACGACGGGAGGGTCAGGACGGGTGTCCACTGAGGTGATCATGAGAGTTCCAGTCTGAGGTCAATGACAGATAGAGTAGAGATCTGTGATCGGGAACACCCCACTCTGGGCCAGATTCTCACTTCACTCTCGCAATGATCGAAGGCAGACCTGGTTTCGAGCGACGTTCTTCTCTGAGCGTCCGCACTGACACTAGATAGTTCGTGACCTCAATCGCTGAGCTTCTGGTCCTGTGCTTAGTCCAAGTCATCGCAGTCAGTGTACAGTATCCCATTAGTACAAGTATCAACAAAATCCCACACTTGTGCTTCCACCTTGGCACACAAGAGACCACCAAGATCGTGCCCGTATTTGCAGTCCATATCCATCAACGTCACCAGCGCATCGATCTCCTATGGCATTCCAGAGCCGAGCTCCAGATTCCGACCCCCCTTTTTGTGAGGGTGTCGTGTGTTTCGTTGAATCCCTCCCAGATCTCAAACCATCCGTCGGCCTCCTACGCATCAACACAGCCCAGCCTATCCACAGACTAAAACTCCCGATTCGACGTTGCAGGAAGAGAAGAAGAGTTCAGAGAGTGCAAGGCCCGGCCACAGCACCCAGCATGGAGGCGGGCGGGTGAGATGTCTCGGTGACCAGACTTGGGACCACGCATGTTTCATCATTTCTGGGAGAGTCGTCGGCTGGAACGAGTACAACGCAGGTATGCATTCCATCATGATCTCTGCATCGATTCAGGTGGTCTGGCAGATCGAGCTTCAGTGCAGAAACAATTTCAGTGACCATGCAGTGAGGGAGCGAGAAGGGCCAACAGAGATTCGATCCTCTGAGATATCTCGGTGATGCTCACATAGTCGGAAGGGAGCAAGCCACACCGTAGAACGTGCAAAGACCAAATTGACCGAGTCCCCAAGTGGAGCATTCGTCGCGGTGATCATGTTTTCCAGCTGGGGTCCCGGTTGGGGGTCGTCCTTCGCGCATGGAGTCCACTCCTGCGATGATATGCTCGAGAAATCTACGCGCGTGACCGCGGTGGAGCGTTCGTGCCCGTGCTTGCACATGGAGTGTGTGCCTCTAGAAGATTCCCAAGTACGATTTCATCCGGGAATTCGAATGGGCCGGCAGCCCGTATTCATGAGAAGCGCATGAGGGATTCTTTGGCTTGGTCGGGATACGATTTCTCAGCATCGAAGTGTATTCGCTTCCGCGCCGTACGCGCGTTTTCGTCCCAAGATCAGCAGCAGCAGCTTGCGATATTCTGTCATGACGGGAGGGTCAGGGACGGTTCCGCCGAACTTCGTCCGGCGGCCGAGAGTTCCAAGAAAGCTCCGAGGCCAATGACGACGGCCTGTCATCGATGCATCGCCGACACCTCTGCCGGCTCACCCGCCCGGACCGACATATGTGGCGATGGGGATCCACGGAAACAATTTCGATCTCGTACGGCGCGTCGCCAAGATATTCAAAGTGCAATGGAGCTTGATCTAATATCGACTAGTCCCTAATCTCTATGTTTCCTCACCCGGCGCTGATGTGACCTGTCGTGCTCGTGAGTGAAACCGCACCGTCTTCCAGTCTTGGGAAATCTCGAAAGCTTGCCCCTGGTTCAGCCATTCTGTTATCTGTGAGCATCCACAATGACCGATGCATCAGGGTGTTTATGGGTGATCGAGAGACCGGCACAAGTCGAATTTGAGATCAGAGTAGACATGGCATATTGTACAGCGGATAAAGTCCAACACCGTGGATTACACCATCCAGAAACTCATAAGAGCCCCCGAGGTCCGACAAATATTTCGAGTCTGTTGATTCCGGGGGGCATCAGAGCAATACCATCGGACAGCTTGTGGCCTGAGGTCAGCCGGCTGCACCACAGACGACCACAAACGAGTTCGGCTTCAGCGTGGGGGGCTCAAGAAGTGTCGCGGGCTTCAAAACGTCCAGGGCAGGCGCGTGCACAGGTCGACATGACGACGTGCGCAAGAGAAAGAAAGCACAGAGCAGCAACATAGGCAACAACGTAGGCAACAACCCCCGTTCCATTGGCATGGTCTCGCCTACAGCCTCGCATTCTGGTGGTCGAGTGCGCTGGCTGATATTGAGATTGGTCTCAATCCAGCGGCGTCTCCCGAGTCGGCTCGTCGTCGTTCTTAGGACAGTCCTCGTCGTTGCTGCTGACCGAGTGTACGCCCATCACCTCCGTGAAAAGGACTAGTGGATCTCTTCCTTGATTGCGAGCGGTCAACAGTCCAGCGCACGTCCATTCGAGGACCGAAATCAAGCCATGAAGAAGAATGGTAGAAAGCACAAAGCACCAGCATCTCCAGGTCCAACGCCCGTTTCTATTGTCCAGCACGGTCTTGATGACACTCAAGCAACGGGATCGGGGCCACCTCTCCATTGTCTTCCCAGCGCTATTCACCCCGAATCGTCTGAGCGGCACGGTTGGATCAGATTGAGAATCTCTGTGCGCTGCATCGCCCATAGTCGAGGCCGGATAGCGCCCACCGGCAGTGGGGCAGAGGGAGCTCGTATTCTGCCAAGAGCATCGAGCTGACATCGTTGATGATTCGGTTATCTCGGATGCCCTTAGGCGCCTTGACCTTATGAGGATCCCAATCGCTGTTTCGACAGTATCAGACTGGAGGCAGAGCGCGCTTCGTTGTACACGCACCAGTTAAAAACGCTTCGGCCGCCGGAACGACATCAGTCAGTGTCCGTCCCCTGTTGTGGCCTGCACATCCCTCTGAGGAACGATCCTACTCATGTGCTGAGTGGCCATGGCCGATTTCCCGAGCGCACCAGAGAGACAGCAGTGAATCACCTCTCCGTGTCGATCGGAAGAGCGCTCGCAATACTGCGTCCAGCCGATGCCCCAAGCTGCACGTGATCTCACATCGTAGGGGTCCTGAGTAGCGATAGATCCATTTGGATGGCGGGAGTCATTGACGCAATAAGAGAGTCGGGCGCTGCGTGCGGCATCGATTGAGTGGATGCAACAGATCAGAGAGTGTAAACGGCGGATACGCTGGTCCCACGCCCAACCTGACAGAAGATTTGGGAGGCTTTAAGCAGTCAGGTCCGTCACAAATCGATTGGTGGACCGAGACTCACCCCTCAGCATGTAAGCCAGTACGAAACCGATCTTGCTGGGATCAACGGACTTTCGATCGCATGAAAAGCGCAAGTAGCTTCAAAATCACGGCGAACGCGGGTTTTCATCCCACTATCGGCAGCGACAGCGTTTCACAACGCGTCAGGGACATCCGGCGCCACGAAACCCTGCGGTAGAGCGGTGCTCTGGGAAGATGCTTGATGGCGGTGTCGGGACGCATGCGAAATGGTCGTCCTCTTGAAACGTCTCCAACCGGCCGGCCACGATGTCGCTGCGAACGATGTGCATCCAGAGCTCTACAAGATGGGAGCCGGGTCTCGCTGCTTCCGAGACCGTGCTTGGTTTTGGTGGCTCGATGTCTAGAATGTCCCCCACACGAGCGTACTGCTGCCCCCCTATGCACTTGTAACGAAATCGAGACAGCTGACGCCGATGCCTCGAGTCGGCTGAGTTGATCGCAACTGTCTGGCTAACGCTGCTGTGATTATGAAAAGTCGACGCCTGATACGACAGCTTCTGCATCAAGTCGAACCATCGGTCCTCGAGCCCCCAGGTACTTCTCTGTATCCCACAGATGGATGTCTGCAACAACCTTATGAGGAACGACAATACGAAACCGCACAAACTCACACTGGTGCTTGCGTCCCGGTTCACCAGATACCACAGCGATCGGGCCCGTAATTTAGGTCCACGTCCATCACCGTGACTTGCAAATAGATCTCCTGTGGCATTTCAGAGGCGGCCCTGAGCTTCAAATCTTGAATCGCATCTCAAACCATTCATCGACCTCTTCCACATCAACACAGCCCAGACTATCCAGCGACTGACTCTTGACCCCAGCCACACCATGATGGGATAGGGATAGAAGATGTGAGAATCTAGGAGAGTTGTCGATTGGAACGTGTCCGGCACGGGGATGCATTCAAGCGAGCTCTCTGTATAGATTGAGCTGGGTCGACACAACGTGCTTCAGCGCTGAGACAATGTCAGTGAGCACGTGAGAGAACAGGCAGGGCCAAACAGACTTTCGATCATCTGGGACAGCTCGGAGTCTCTGGGCACAGTTCAGCTGGTAGAAGTTGCCCTGGAGCTGGTCGTTTCTCGCGCTGGTCAAGTAATCAAGTGGCAGTTTGTACAAATCTACATTACGTCAGATCGATACAATTCGACTACACTCTCTTTCTCCAGAGGACGCGAGAATCCGACATCGAGGAAGAGGTTACATGGCGCACCAAATCTGATCGTAGTAGACTGCACAGGCGCGCCGCTGGTCAGCGAGTGAAACCGAAACACCAAACAATCACAACGCACCGATCCTATGCACAGCAACATCGAGCTCCCAACCCTGTCCGGATCGTCCGCTGCAGCTTGGCATCCGTCTCTACATCAACACTGCTCGGCGCCTCGTCCAGTACGATGATCGGGCTGTTTTTTACCAACACTCGACAGAGGAGAGCAGTTGCTTCTCGCCGGCGCTGTAGTTCGGTCTCATCGCCGATGGTGGAGTTCAGACTGAACTTGGATTCGGCTATGGGGTCAGACGGTTCCCCGGGTCGCGGCAGTAGCCATGCACGCTGCAGCACGGTTAACAGCTCTGCGTCCGTCCTCGAGTTTTGTGGGTCCCTAGTAAACGCAGATCAGTTTCAGCAGCGCGTATTTGAGACCAAAGGATGACGCACTAGTTCTCGCGCAGAGTGCCCAAGAACAGCACACTGTCCTGTGGGACGAGCGTCAGCCGGCCTCTTAACACATCCAGACCAACTTCGGCAATATTCGCTGCGTCAATGCTGACTTCACCCGATTGCAGCCCAACTACGCGGAACAAGCACTGCAGCAAAGAGCTTTGCCCGCCTTGGTCAAATCGACAATACCGATCTTCTTCCCGGCCTTAACGTCGAAGCTGACGCCTTTGATCACGAGCGGACGAACTTCGCGATAACCCATCTGGATGTCCTTTTGGTTCATCGCAAAACTCTTCCGCCATGTCGCAGCCCTCGACGTCTTCAGCCAACGGCAACTTGTTGAGCTCCTTCCCAGCCATCTTCTCGTGCTTTTCGATCGCATCGTAAAGATGGGTCTTACAACTATCGTCTCGAGCAGTGGCCGGGATCGTGAGCGGATACGATGAGGGCTGTAAGTTTGCCATCGGAGAGAGCAGGAGGGGAGCTTGCAGGAACTGCACTGCATATGTCCAAAGCCTTGCCGCATGCGCACGGACCAGAAATGGTCGAAGGATGGAGTGCTGGAGATGGAAGGCGCATTGACGCGCTGTGCTCGGTAGATCTTGCCGCTAGAGCCGTCAGAGGTGACCGTCACAACCTGGGACAGGCCGGTCGAAGGGTGGTGTGTTCCTGGGGCTGGGTAAGTACAAGCGGGGCAAGAGCCGACTGAAAAATATTACTGGAGTTCTCCGTGATGTAGTATTCGATGAGCGGGTTCGTTGTCCATCCGTAGAGCAAAGATAGCTGTTCCTGTTGTGCTTGTACCTCGCGCTGCACTTGATTAAGCTGCAGACCTCAGGGCCGATTCGCTCAGCAGGTCCCATGCATACGTTTTGGATATGACTGTCCGGCTCAGTAATTGCGAATGCGCTGTGGAAGACACGGAGACCGCAGTGCAAAGCGGGATGGGCATCGAATGGCATTCTAGAGTTCCGGCGACTATCAGGTGACAGTGGCTGTGCGATACGGAAAAGCGGGCACGCCGCGATGTTATTTCCAGTCCTTACAGGCTTTCTGTCGAGTCTCCGCTAGATGTAGCTACAGAGAACCAGTCCTCCCTGTCAGCTGCGCGCTTGAGTGCTTCGCACTCCGCGACACTGGGGTACCAGGTAATCCATGAGTTCGTGTCGAAGTAGTGTTTTCTGGGATCCTCCTGTCTGAGGGCTTCTCTGATCACGCGGATGAGAACCCGCACAGGTCGAGAATGGTTTTTCTCGTCGCCCATCTCGGCAAGCAGCGCCTCGGCCTTCTTGGGTAAATTGCATTTCATCGCCCAGTGCAAGCGGCTGTCGTACACCGCAGCCAACTTGGCAGTTGACCGCCCCATTACTGCCCGTGAGCCTGCAAAAGTCCTTCCGAGTCCTTCCAGTATTTGTGGCAACAGCGCATGCGGCAGATCAAAAATGCGCGATAGCAAAGGCTCCACATCCGCCTCGCGCAGGCGTACCCCCGAGTTAGGCCATTCCCACTCGTCCCTCGGATGAACAAGTTTCAGCAGCGCCGCGGTGATAAAGGCCGTGAAAACAGTGACAAAGACCTTGTGCTTGTCGAAATCCGCTAGTCCCTGCAAATACTCCTGGGCTGTGAAATGGACAAATCGAACTTGCGAAAATCCATCAATCTGAAGAAATGATGACCCGCACCGACGGATCACATCGCGGGCATTAAACGGATCGGGTGGCTGTGGCATTCCGTTGTTGACCACCCAGTCAAGGCCGACCATAGTGATAGCCGCCGCAGTTGACTCATGCAAGCTGGAATTGGAGACCGTATAAAAGACCACGGCATAGAGAAGACGCTGGGAGCGATGGAAGGACCCATTAGCCCGAAGTCGTTCCATGATCCGGTCATATGTCCCTTTGACGTCCGAAGGCAGGTTTGCCAGCTCTTCTTCAATCACATCGGCATCACATTCAAGGAGACGGTCAATCTGCAGTGAGACCCACAGAAACCTTTGCTCTTTGAGTCACCCATGCCAACATATCATATCAGTGACTCACATCCCATCAGCCTTCTCATTCAAAGCCTTCTCTGCCTTCTTCCGAGTGGCAATGGACCAACGTGAGCAATGTTCCTCAAGCTGAGCATGGACAAAGCTGGCAATGTCGTCTCCGCGAATCTTCTTTTTGTCTTCAAGGTCAAGCCAGTGAGTAGCTAGTGGCTTGAGAGAAGATTCAATGTCATGCTCGGGTCGGCTTGCCAGCAAAAGCCGCAGGTGATGGATCTTGGCAGCATGCAGTTCTTTCAAGAAGGGTAACAGGCTTTTTGAGCGTTCAGGATTTGGATACTCGTCTAGTCCATCGATCACAAGAATCACACGCTGCGGCAAGGTCTTCAGCATCTCCATGAGACATCCAGACACTGTCTTCTGCTCTGCTGTGAGACTTGCGCCTCGGTTGTTGTACGCCGCTTCCAATATCTTGTGGCACAGTTTCATCTGGGTGGCGAGCTGATAGACCAGTGACGACTGGATATTCGGCACGGTCTGCGACTCCGCTTCACGGTACGTGACAAAAAAGAAGGCAAATATATGATCATGTTGCTGTAGACGCTCGACCAGGGCGGACCTGCAAAAAAGCATTGTCAACCACGAGACCATGGAAAGAGCCGTGATACATACATCGACACGCTCTTCCCAGCACCCGCTGTAGTGGCATCAGCACACCGTGCACATTGAACAATGTCACATCACCCACGTTTGCCATGTACCCAGTACAATGCGTTGGGCGTCTCAAGCCAGTCGTCAAATTCCTCGTCAAAGAGCCATTCGCAGGTCCCCTCATGCTTATCATTGCGTAGATTGTCCAAGCGAATGCCCGTGTCATACAGTTTCAGCCACGTCTTGATGCGGTCTTCGACTGTTCACGAGTCAGCGCCAAGCGCATCAGAAGGGAGGAAATGGAGACCTATGTTGTTATGAACAGTCCCGGTGAGTAATATGTTCTGCCTTGACGCTACTTCGGCACCCAAAGCAGCAAATTCAGCGCCCTCAGCGGCAGTTTGAGCACCCAAAGCAGCGACCTGAGCACCCAAAGCAGCAAACTGTGCGCCCTCAGCGGCGACCTGAGCAACCTCGGAAGCGACCTGAGCGCCCTGAGCAGCAGATTCAGCGCCCAAAGCAGCAGATTCAGCGTTCTCGGCAGCGACTTCGGCGTTCTCGGCAGCGGCTTCAGCACATTCAGCAGCAAATTCTGCTCCCTTGGCGGCGTCCTGTGCGCCCTGGGCAGCGAATCGTGCACCCAGCGCATTGACTTGTGCAGCCAGTGCGGCCGATTGAGCCTGTTCTGCCGCTGTTCGTGCCCTTTCTGCCGCAATCAGGTTTTCCATCACAGCAGCAAGCTCTTCTTGCTTAGTAAGCTCGTCAAGCTCACTGAGAGCATCTCTCATATCACTAGCTTGCAGCAGCTGGCCCACCCAGTCCCCTGTCAGAGGTGCAAATCAGTATCGGGCTAAATTGGGGCAGACTCGGAAAAGAGCGCACTGATTCGCTTCTGCGTTACCCAGCACCGGCCCCGCTTGAGTTTATGGATCGATTTCAGATCCGTTGTGAGCAGACCGAAGATCTTGATCATGAGAACGAGGATCTTCAAGAACGCATCACGGAGGGCACGACGCTGAGCGAAAGAATTCAGCCCGAGATAGATCTCCAGACGGACGAGACACGGCTGGAACCGGAGTAGAACAAGCTCCAGGGCGTCGTAACTGGCGCTGACTCTCTTGGAGGCCTGAAACAAGCGGATTCTCCGTCAGTTCTGCATCTGGAGGGATAACGCAAATAGCAGGTACCTGAAGAAACGCCGCAACAACGACAAAGATCCCTTTCCCTCCCGGAACCTGACAGAGAATGAGACCGAGAGCCAGCAGCACGCAGAGGCGGAAATCACAAAAGTGGCTGCCGCTTCGGCCGCAGGGTCGATGACAGCCTGAGTGAGCGACGCAATGGGCTTGAGAATCGCCCGAATCCTCTCGTCTTGGGAACGGAATTCGCCGAAAGCTTTCTGGTGTTTGTCCAATACTCCGAAGAAATCGACCAGCGTGGTGCAGTCCTCCACGTCTTGAGCAAACGGCAGTTCATGCAGCTTCTTCCCGGTCTTTTCCTCGTATGCCGTGATGGCCTCGTTGAGCAACTTCTTCCAATCATCATCTGGACCGGTGGGCGACGAGTGCGAGAGGGGCTGAGTGTTCGTCATGGGTGAGGAGAGCAAAGAGGTTGCGCTGGAATGCCGCGACACAAATTCAGAGCCTCACCGCATGTGCATTGGCAGCGCTCGTCTACCTGGTGCGTTCATTAGAGATAGAAGCTGATACGATCAGATACACAAGGCTTAGAATTGGGTTAAACCCGCAGCATCGCAGCGCCAGACTCGCATGCCTGTCAAACTAGCACTCCGGGGTCAGGATCCTGTGAGAAATGCACCAATGTCCGAGGCCAAAGAGCCGTCTTGCTGACTGCCTGTAACAAGAGTGATTGTTCCCGTCTGGGCTCCAGGTGCAGTTCGCGGTTCACAAGAGTGATCCAGCACCAGCCGTCAGCTGATCTCAAGCTCTCATTTACGAACTCCCGAGTTCGTCGAGAGCATAACGGGCTAAGCGCTCGATCGAGACTAGATCCTGGCAAGTTGCATTTCAGCGGAGCGATACCTTGGGTGCTGTCAGCCCAGATCGAAAACAGCACGAGGCGAGGTTAATGGCTGGCGTGCCAAATCGTTGGCGGAGAAGATGGTCGAGAGGGAGGCCGGCGGTGGGGAATCGATATGAGTGACGTGGACCTGGAACAGTCACAATTGCATAATTCGCAAGGAAAGAACGTGTTAAATCGTAGCTTTGTTCTCAAAACCCCAAGAAAACTGTCAGTAGTTCGTGTTGTGGGCTGGGATGTCGAAAATGAATTCGGAAGCCAGTTTCAGGAAGATAAAGGAGGAGAAAACCGTCTTCTGGTCATTTGATCCCACTGTCAGCGCTGACCAAGCACGAAGTGGAGACCTATAGAATTAGCATGGTAGGACCGTACAGATTGATGTATATACATTCTGACGAAAGATTAAACGGGAGTCGAGTGCAATCCGGATAGTAACAGCACACACCGAAAGCTCCCTCACTCATGCTCTCGCCGCAAGACAACAGCTGCAACTGAGACCATGCATGTACTTTCACATTTTGTCCACCGGCGTGGCGACCTCCTGTAGCACAGAGGCCAGATGGTGCTTGAGATACACCCGCGAATCCAAATCCTCGGAATTGCCACGTTTGAGAGGCAAACGGGTGCGAAAAATGATGTCCTTATGCTGCAATCTGTCAGAGGTATGCATGCAAAGCACAGAATACACACTCAAGCCTGGACTCGCCGGCTTCACTTCTTGCTCTAGTACGGAGACGGTGGCCCCTGTTATAACATGAGACATGACCAGACCAGCGAAACAGATATGACGCACGGTTGTGATGTATGTACTCTCCACCTGTCATGTAGCAACATTTCAGCTAGCTCGACTTGATCCTCGCGGGAACCATCGTCTCGACAGAGCCTCCCCTTTGTAGCATGCTGCTCAACAAACTGAACAATCCGGCCCACTCTGTACACGGAATCCCAATCCCAATCCAGCGGTGCGGCAGTGAAAGAGACCATAGAGCGCAAAGCCCGGCCCAAGCCAAGTCGTCCGGGATGGGGGTGGGGCATGTCGACTGAACCGCACCTGTTTCAAGATCTCTGAGATGTTCTTCTGCTGGAGCGAAGCCAGCATAAGGATGCAATCGATTGGGCTCTCTACGAGGATTGAGAGGGGGTGGTCAGACCGTACTTGTACGCAGACGTCGATGTAAGTGACCACGTGAGAGTGTAAGAGTGTATGAACACACCGTCGACATTCTGAATTACCATCATCTTCGAGAGAAAGCGAGTTGCGTGGCAGAGCGTTTAAGATCATGCCAGAGGACCGGTCGATTCTAATGAGTTGGGCGCTGCGTAGTTGGGGCTCCTGCAGCTCGTTGTCTGGCGCTCCCCGTCCATTGCCTCCTGACGAAGAGCGCAGTAGTTGATTTGAAATTTGGAATGGTCGTCGCGGGGAGAATGATGTTGTATTCGAGGTCTTAATGTAGGACCATTCGTCTTCCATTGAAGTGTACGTCGACGAGGATATGTTAGAGGCATCGCGTGGGGTCCTCGTCGGGAGGTCCGTTGTCAAGGATGCGCGCCTGCAACATGTGCGTGAAATTGATGTCCTCAGGCGTGGTGACCATTCTGGAGCGTTTGAGTGCTCAGTCAGAGCAGCGACAGCGAGCGGGAAGACCATCACATAGACGAGGATGTCGAAGGACCAGGATGAAGAGTAGAGGAGCTCCCGCTGCACGCGCGTGTTTATCCGGTCATTCGCAACAGCGGGGTCCGATGGAGACTTCAAGGAGACCCCGGTGCCTGGTGAGAGGCTTGAGGTGGCGTTGAGCGGATGAAAGATCGACAGAGACGTCAGGCCGTCCCAAAATACCCGGCGGCGACATCCCTGAGTGATCTGTGCACCCCGGGCTGGTGTCGAGAGGACTTGATCATGGGAGTGCCGGAAGACAGGGCTGGGTAACTTGAGTGACACATGACATTGACAAAGACGTGATCGGCAACACCCCGCCTCGCACTCAGTCTCTCACAGCCATCCAGGCCAGACCCGGTTTTGGGTGCTGTTCTTCTCTGAAAGTCATCATTGACACCAGATTGCTCGTAACTTCGACCGTTGAAGTCAATGCTGCTTCTGGAGGTGTGCTGACTCGCATGTGGTCCAAGTAACAATAGTCAGTCGTGCATCCCGGCCCATTAGTACAGATATCAACTCTATGTAGGATATCCAACCCGTGAGTGAAGCGTGGTATGTCGTAAGCCTTTCTTTTGTACGTCATCAGCCCGGATAGTAGATACGCAAGATATCAGCCCTCGAAAGATTCGCCTCGTTGTAGAGCGAGTGGAAGATCGAGTCCTCCTCGTCAAACACGTTCTAAACAAGACTGTGTCGTACTCGGCCACTGGTCCGCCACCAAAATGCGGTCGTAGTAGGCTGTAAATGCGCGCATCTGATCAGCGAGTGAAAACTCAAACAACAAAGAACCACAGCGTACCAATCGTATTGAGCCGATGTGCGATACAAAGCAACGTAGAACTTGCAAACTCTGTCCGGATCGTCCGCTGAAGCTTTCCATCCGTCTCGACGTCGACATTGCTCGTCGCCTCGTCCAAAAGGAGAACAGGGCTGTCTTTCACCAACGCTCGACAGAGAGCCAGCAGCTGCTTGTCGCCGGCGCTGTAGTTGGATCCGTCGTCGCCGATGGTGCAATTCAGACTGAACTTGGCTTCGGCTATGGGGTCAGACGGTTCCCCGGGTCGCGGCAGTAGCCATGCGCGCTGCAGTACGGATAACAGCTCTGCGTCCGTTCCCGAGTTTTACGGGTCACCGTGGAACCCAGGTCAGCTCAGCAGCGCGAGTCTGCGATCCAAAGATGACGCAGAGTGCTCAGGAACAGCACGCTGTCCTGTGGGACCAGCATCAGCCAACTTCACAACACATCTGGAACAACCCCTACAATATTCGCTCCGACAATGTTCGGCGCGGATAGTCGAGATGCCGGTCAACGTTTCTGTGTCTGACGCGCGCAGGGTCGACCGCATGACGGATTCCAGTGGCTCGGTCTCAACCGATAAGCGTCGATAGTACGCGCGATCAGATAGTACATGATCAACATGGGCGCAAAGATGATGCTGAGGGCACGGGAAGGTGTAGAACACCAGCGCGACGGTCCCGAGAACATTACTGGACGTCGAGAGCAACTGGTCAAGCGTCATCCACAGAATGCTGTCGAGCGTGTCTTGGTCTTTCACCAGTCGTGAGACAATCCCGGGCCGGCCTATGGGCGTCGTAACGAAGAAGGATGTCGGCGAGCGCGGGACAAGGGAAAGCCCAGCCTTGAACAGATTCGGACTGGCCACCAGACTCGAAATGCTGTGCGAGAAGTCAAATAGTGAAGGAATGGAGATGAAAGGGGCCCCACTCACGTTAGCGCATTCGGCCGTCTATAATCCAAGGAACAAGTAGTTCCTGACCTACGCCGCCTGCGACAAGGTCAGGAGGAGCAAGATAGCTGGCGCCCAAGGGATACTCATGCCTCCCCGCGAAGAGAGCAGGAGCCGATTTGAAATTTGGAATGTTCGTCGCGGGGAGAATGTTTTCAAGGTCTCGATGTAGGATCATTCGTCTTCCATTGTAGCGCACGTCAACGAGGACATGTTAGAATGATTGCACAGGGTCCTCGTTGGGGGTCCGTTCTCGAGGATGCGCCCCGAGAGCGCGTCAGCGAGATGTGCGTGAAATCGATGTCTTCAGATGTGGTGATGATTCTGGAGTGTTTGAGTGCCCAGTCAGAGCAGCAACAGCAGGCGGAAAGACCATCACATAGATGAGGATTTCGAGGGAGCAGGTTGTAGAGCGGAAAGGTATAAGTTGCACGCGCGTGTTTATGCGACCATTTGCAGCAGCTGCTTCCGACAGAGATTTGAGGGAGACTCCGGCGCCCGGAGCTCAGCTCGAGATGACGTTGAGCGGATTAAAAATTGACGAACACGCCAGACTTTCCCGAACGTCCCGGTGGTGGTATACCTGAGCGATTTGTGTACCCCGAACCAATGTCGAGCGGACTGGTCATGGGAGCGCTGGAAGACAGGTTAGGGTCGATGTCAGATTGATTATGATACATATCTGTGATCGGCAACACCTCGCACTCGGTCTCATACCATCAACTCGGCCAGACGTGGTTTTGGGTGCTGTTCTGCGTCTCTCCAGTCCTGGCGACGGGCCGTGTACCGACATTCTCGCTCCTTTTTGTAGACTGCGGACTACCGCAGGTCGTCGAATCAGCCTTGGCCGATGACCGTACCCCCTCAATCTCGATATCACCAGAGATGGGATTACACTCATGAGTGAGTAGATCCCGGTGATTTCTCTATATCTCGGTGCACGATGCGACACGCTTGTCTTTCTGAACAACACTTGCAGCGCTTCTTTACGTTCACCGCTCCTCCTTTGCCTATGCCACCTCCAACCACCCTAATGATCCTATTACGAGCTCTCATGCACCGTCATTCTTGGCCAGCTACTGGCTAGCTAACACAGTGCATTTGGAATCATTTCTGCCCTGAGAGAGCAGTTCAATGTGTTTCCGTCTGAGATGGCTTGCTTCCGGGTGCTGTGGACGCAAGCTTTCTCTATGTCGGTGCTCCCCATCTGCGCCCGTCTCTCCGTCTCAAACCCTCACAGATCGCGCATTCTTCCCTTATCATGCCCCAGCTCCCGAGCTGGCAGGTCTGTCCCAATCGTCGAGCAACTGACCAAGCGGGCGCTGCATCTGTTCGAAGAATCTCGCAATGGCGCTGCAGTGATGATCTAGGTCAACATCTTCGAGTCGTCCCGGGTCGAGATCGACGAGATGTTGCTCTTCAGCGGGATAACGCGTACGCCGAGCAAAAACATATGCAGATCCAGCTTCAACAGTGCTGACCTCGCCCTTGCGCAGGTGGGCTTCTGATCATCGTTCGCTTGCCAGGCGGTTGACTTTCGCGCAAATCCCCCTTCACCTGCCTGCCTGGTTCATAGCCTCAACACTTTTCGAGTGCATCTTCGACACGATCAGCATGCAAGCCGTCTTCGATCATTCACCGGCATATCTCAAAGCCGACGGGCTTTTCATCAATCTTTGAAGGACTCTTTCTTACGGTGTGACGCGCAATGCTGAACACTCATCTCCCAACGGCTCTCGGGGGCATTCCGAGCGATGCAACATGATCAGGAATACACCCAACGGGGAGAAGGTAGTTGCCCTGACGGATATGGTCGAGCGAGGAGAGCTCCGTGTGGTCATCGACGAGGTTGTTGAGGTTCGCGATGCCTTTTCGGTAGGATCCATCGATGGAGGAGTGTCCCAGCTGACCTGTTCTCTCTTGCAGGCTTATGATCGGACGCTGGCACGGAATGCGATGGGAAAGACAGTCGTGAAAGTACAAGACCTGTGACTTGGACTGCTGACTGGAATGAATGAAGCGCGTGATCCTTTCTTCATCGAGTGAGATTGCAGAATGCGTCAAAGACTGTTTGTGCTCCTCCGTGCGAGCTTGGCCAACTGCTCTTGACGTGCCGTGATCTGACCTCGAAGGGAATGCACGTTACGCCAAAGGGATACTATGTATGCGCACAATTCGCCTCGCGAAGATTCAGGCATCATCCCACGAGTTCCTTCCCGTGAAATCAGCACTCAGCAGTTGTGAGTTTGACAAGCCAGGGACGCGTCCCCGAGATTAGCCTTGAGAGCACGTGACCGCGGACACGAGAGGATGCACTGCCCGCGTTGACTCATTCTTGACTCACTTTTTGACACTTGGACCACACTACCACAGCCTGCTCGCTCTTGAGCGCGTGTTCGTTTGACCCAGCCCTTTTCCGCTGATAAAGATGTGCATATGAAGATGTTGTACAAAAGTGTCCCAGGCGTGTGCAGTCTCCGACACTCAGACCTCTGATAACAAGAGCTCCCACTCGTTCTGTTTGTTCTGCATCAGTCCTTCAAACCTGCGCCTATTCTCGAGCATGTCGATCTTGCGCAACGTATTCTGGCGCTCCTCGCTCGTGCGGCGCCCGCTGGCTCCCCGCCTCTCGCGAATACCCCTGCGAGATCCCTCAGCTCCGGGGTCCGGAAAGGCCGCTGGCTGGTGATACGCGTCGAATATGGCCCTGTATACGTCGATGACCCGCAGCGCGCTGCCCGTCCTGACTGTGATGGGGCCGACGAGCGGGCACGCGACGACGAGCTCCATCACGACGCAGTGCGTCGAGACGTGCATTCCACGGTTCGCCTCAGGCATCTCGCTGCGCGGCCCGTGCTCGAATGCGACCGTGACGTTCCGCGGGTCGTACGGGTCCAGCCGGATGTCCCAGTGCACGAACGGATTGTTGCCCTTGCGTCTCCGCGCCTGGCTGGTGACGCTGTCGATGCGGTGTGTCGTCGTCAGCGGCCATTCAAGCGCAATCGCTTCGGGCTTTAGTTTGCCGTAGACTGGTGTGGTCGCACGCTGAGCAGGACCCTCAAGAGACACGAGGCACGCACCTCGGCTTCCCGGAGGAAGGGGTTTGGAACCTGTCGTCGAGCATGGAGCGGGAATCGGTGCAGTCGGCAAACATGCTTACTACCGGTGCACTGGGGCGAAATCGGGGATGTCACACGCGGCACCGCCGCCGGTTGTGCTGCTGCCCCCTCGACTGGCTGGGAATTCCTCCTACCGCTGTATCGACTTGCATTCTTCAAGATTCCCCGTGGCGGGCTACCTTGTGCCTCCGATCGAGCGCAATCGCGTAGACGGTCGGGTTCAGGGGTAGCATCGCTCCAGGTCGATCTTTCATCAGCCAATTCTCGGGCTGTGCGCGACGAATCAGTCTCGATCCACTTTCTGGTCCTGGCCACTCACTGCGCAAAGCCGGTGCTTCCAACAGCGGGTGGTGCAGCTCGACCGGCGTCCCGGGATCGGCCCGCAGATTCGCTACAACAACCCGTCAGCGATCCGACGCAACGCCATGATACGACAGGACGAGCCACTCGCCTGTTGCGGATGCGGGCACAAAGGCGTCCGGCGCGCAGTCGAGGACCCGGATCGTGCCGTGGTGGAGCGCCGCCTGGATGAGATAGTTGCGTGGATCGGCTCTGGCCTTCGCGTCTTCAAGCTCCTTTCGTTTCCTCAGGTCGGCCATCATGTCGTTGTACTTGCGCCGCTCCTCGGCCGTCTTTCGGCTGGTCGGGTGAGCGTTGGCGGGCCGATCCTGCTGTGATTGCGGTCGGCCAGGCATTGCCTGGGCTGGATTCTCCTGCTGGTGGCGGTGCTGCTCTGGCGCGATCCACGGCGCGGCGAACGGCACAGTCTGAGCCACAGGCTCTCTCGACGCCCGCCCGTGTCGGTATCCCGAGGCAGGCGCATCGGCTCCAATAACGCGGCGCGATCCGCTCTCGCGCGGCCGCGGCATTGACGCCGCCATCTCGGGTGACGCCGCTCCTTGCCAGCCACTCACCCGGCCCTGGAAGCTCGCCCATTCATGCGGCCGGCTCGCACGCGGCTGGTATACTACCGGCGACGACGGGGGCGGTGGCGAGCGCCCCAATCCTAATCCGAGCTGGTCGTAGTAAGACTGCGGCCGCATCGTCGGCGGCAGCCCCGGCGACGCCGCAGGGAGCTCGACTGGTGCGATCTTGGCGGCTCTGCGGTGCTCGCGGCGCAGACCGTGGTGCGTCGTCGACACAGTGGTGGCGACCTGGCTCGTCGACATAATCCGGGATGATGGCACGGCAATGTCCGAGATTCTGCGCTTCAGTGGATGGCAAAGGATTGGCACGTATCTGACGGTGACGATGTGAAGAAAGCTCGTTCAGACGGTCGACTTGGACCTTGTAATCGACGGGGCTCAGAGACCTTGCGCGCAGAACCCAAGATGCCACACGGTGTCTTTTAGCGATCCGAATGTCTGATGTTCCCAGTCTTTTCTTGACGTGCGTGTGTAGCAGTTTCGTTGTGGGCGCCAGCACGGCCCGGTGGAGATAAGCGCGCTGGCTGGATGCAAACGGGTTTCGCTCGTGCGTAACTCGGTCTTGCGTGAGCCGTATGTTTCCACTGACACACCAACGTAGCTTCTACAACATGAAACTTTCAACTCAAACCATGAAAACACAAATCACTGACCTACTTATCACCACCACCACCACCTGGATAACAACAACACCACAGTGAGCATTATCCTTGTTCGCGGCGTCTTCTCCGCAAGTACAATTCCCTTACGGAGCGAGATCAGCGGTACATCCCGGGATCTGCACACTGGACCCTCGCACGGCCCTATGGTAAGTGAGGTGGTGTTATCCGCCTCGAGGCCGGCCGGCCGGCATTTCGCCTTCGGATTCAGGTCCGATGTAGATTTGTGTCGCAAAATATATCCGATTTCCCTGTCTGTACTTACACCGCTTGGGACCTCGCCGGAAAGCGACATCGGTGCGCTCGCTGTGTGTGCATATCTCGCCATCCTCGTGTCGCTTTCCGCGCTCTGCACATCTCGCGTCATATAGTCGTCTTATCGATCGGCCGTGGTGACAGGCGGCTCTGCTGACCTCTCAAGCCTTCGGAGTCGGGTGCATCTCAAGATTGCCCGGTCTTGTGGTATCCGGACCTTGTTCATGAAGACCGGGGTCCGTAGTAGAAGACAGGCATGGGTGCTGCTAACTAGGCTCGCTTCCACCCTCTATAGTAGTTCTAGCCGAGTCTCCTCCAAGTATTCGGAGCCACCTACTATAGAGCTGCCAACAGATCTGACGGTTATTTTGTGTCTTACCCGAGATATGCAAGCCACGCTGAGTCCTCCATACTCTCGCCAGTAGTAATGTACAGTATACAGTACAATCCAATTAGTTTGTGACGTTATCCGTGTGTCCTTTCTCGCTATCGACTTCGCCTGGGATCTCGTCCAACTGGGGGGAGGGAACAATCATGAGCTAAGCCGCAAACATACACACACGGTACTCACGGTGTCCAAGTCCACTAGACACTCCCCAATGATCTTCACTGCGCGCAGCAGATCCTCCTCCGAGATGACCAGGGGCGGAGCGAATCGAATACTGTGCAGTCGGAGTATGCTCAGTAAAAGAGCTAGTGCAGACTTGGCTGTCCTCACATATTGACGTGTGTGGGCTTGGCCAGCACACCGCGGCTCTTCAGCAAGAGACACAGCTGCCAGGCCGTGCGCCCACGCCTGCTCTTCTGTTCGTCAATGACGACAGCGTTCAGCAGGCCCCGTCCGCGGACGGTCTGCACGAGCGGAGAATTGAGCCCCCGGATGGCGGAGCGGAAGGTCTCGCCCAGTGCATCGGCTTTGGCGGACAGCTGCTCGTCGACCAGCACTTGCAGAGCTGTGATGGCCACCGCGCATCCTAGTGGGTTACTGGACTCGACACATTAGCATGAAGTCACGGTGCGCCAATTTCGACACGCTTACCCGCCGTAGGTGCTGCCGTGCTCGCCGGGCTTGATGCAGAGCATGATGTCCTTGTCTGCCAGCACGGCAGAAACAGGATACACTGACAAAGGGGTTCGTGAGACTCTTGTGTGTGAAACGACCGGGACGTACCACCACCCGAGAGCGCCTTGCCGAGCAGAATGATGTCCGGACGCACATCCTCGTAGTCGCACGCCAGCATCTTGCCGGTGCGGCACAGCCCCGTCTGGATCTCGTCGCAGATGAAAAGCACGTTGTGCTTCCTGCAGAGCGCCTGCACGTTCTTGAGGTACCCGGCGTCGGGCACGACGATGCCCGCCTCGCCCTGGATCGGCTCAACGAGGAACGCGGCGACGTTGCCGCCGTTCAGCTCCAGCGCCCGCTCGAGATCAGCGAGGTGATTGTATCGGATGGTCCGCAGCTCCTCGCCATCCATGAACGTGGGGCCGACGCCCTCGAGGTAGGGCCCGAAGCCGGTTCGGCTCTCCGGGTCGGTGCTCATGCTGTGTGAGGATGTGTGAGGATGACATCGATTTGCTTGATTGATGTAGGGCGCAGCTCACCTGATGACACCGACGGTCCGACCATGGAAGTTCCCCTCGACGCTGAGCACGACGGCCTTGCCCTCGGGGACGCCCTTCTTCATGTACGCCCACTTGCGCGCGAGCTTGATGGCGGTCTCGACGGCCTCGGCACCGGTGTTCATCGGGAGCACCATCTCGTAGCCAAACATATCCGTGATCACCTGCGCGAAGCGCCCGAACACGCTATTGTAGAACGCGCGCGACGAGAGGGTGAGTTTCTGGGCCTGCTCGCACAGCGTCGCGACGATCCGGGGGTGGCAGTGACCCTGATTGACCGCCCTGCGAAATACGGTTATCAGGCGCCGAGATCGAGGGCAGGATGGGAAACACACGAATAGGCCGAGAGCATGTCGATGTACTCCTTCCCTTCCGGGTCCCATACCCTGCATCATCATCAGTGCCTGAGCGAAAATCCCGCAGAAAGTAAGCTCACTTCGCGCCGAGAGCCTTGTCAAAGACGACGGGCAGCGGGTGGTAGCTAGTGGCAAAAAGAACGCAGGTCAGGAATAGCACAGGGATGGAGTATAAGAAGGACGGAACGGGCCATGATTCAACCTGTGTACTCTCCTCCTACAACAACCGCTCCCCCACCCCTCTGTACTCCAGGACGCAATGTCGACCGGCAGAGTTTCTGTGGAGAGAACCGTTGCTTCCACTGCAAACACCAAGACGACAGTTTAGAAGACGATGCTCACTTGTGCGCTCCGTGCTCGTGCTCGAGGTGGATGACATCGGCGGAGGTCAGGCGCGGCGCCGCTGCGGGTGTGTTAATCTGCGGCTTCACAGCATGGTATTTGCCGTTGCTGTTTGTCGGGCTGGTGATCGCGGCGGGCGACATGTTTCAATATCGGTGATAATAGTTGCGGGGGTGGATTGAGTGTGTGCGAGTGGATGTGGTCGCAGTGCAAGGGGGAATGGGGATCTTGTTGACAGGCTGCCAATAGCTTGGTGATTGTGACTCAACTCCGCACGCGCTGCACAAAGCTCCGCCCGCGCCGCATCGGCCCAAGTTCGCCATCTTCGATGCTCCGGTCCGGCTCCAACACATCGGGTGGAAGTGTATTGTACATATATGGACCGATGGGGGCAGATTCCGGTCGCTGAGTAGGACCGCCGACGGAGATAGTCTCGAGTTCTAATCTAGATTTTTCGCTCTTGTGCATAACATCACGAATCTTAGAGATACAGACAGATGACCTCGTCCGAACTGTGTGCGATATTCGTTTCGCACCCCAGGGCTATCTGCCCTTCCAGCTTACAGGACCGACGAGGTAAGGCGCACTCAAGATCGGGCGGCCATCGCCCGGCCCAACGCCTTCGATCCCTCTTCTGAATCAGACGGTCGGAATCGAGGCGAAGATGTCGAGAAAGCACGACAGCCGGCAGGAAATCGTGCTTGATCACGAACTAATCCGTCCCATCGATGGTCGCCTCGAGCGGAGAGGGGTCCAGACGGAGCACATATAACGAAGGGCCTCGGATCAGTCACGAGCATGACCGGGTGAACCACGATCAGCCGATCTCCACGAATCAAGGGCGGCGCGCAGATCTCTAGGTCCTTAGCTCCGTGGCTTTTCAAGTTGATACAGCGGGGAGCGGCGAGCAGTAAAGACATGTGACAGCGACAGCTTCGGGAATCGATGGGCCTGACTGGTGGCTTCAGTCAAGCAAGGTGAATTGGGAGATGTGATCAAGTTGCTGCATAGTCAAGCCGCGAGAGTGGCTGGGGAAACTGAGAAATATTACCTTGTCTGTGTTCAGATTCAAGATATGGAGCAATAATGTAAGATAGGCAAGCGCGTGTCCATCTCAGCAGCTTCGCTATGATGAGTCGGCAAAGATTCAATATCTGACCACTGCGGTACACCACTTCTTTATACCACAGATGCAGATCGCGCAGCCTAGGCAGATAGTGAGTCGGGTGAGGTCCCCAAGAGTTTGGTCGGAGAATATAGACAAGAAGACAGTGCGTAGATCCACAAAGATTTGACGGCACATTGGAGACTCCATTCCGACGTGTACTGAGAGCCAAGAAACAGTTGCGTCTGGACCAATCCTCCTTGTCAGAGCTCCGTAGATGCAGTCCAAGTATCCGTGGCATGGCTCCGCTGATAATTTAGGGCTAGATCGCTTGAAGTAGATAATAGAAATAGGAGCTTTCTTGCTCATAACGTTCATTCATTATTCCAACGACTGAGAAAATTTTGATTGCCTTGCTTGTCAAGGCATCTCCACCACCATAATTCGCGATCAAAAAGCTGCCGGCTCTCTCCGTTTGACATTCCGTCTTCTTCCGTTGCTGTGCTCCATTGTTTGTTGCTATTCTCGCCGCCGATATATGATGATGTCTTTCGTATTAGGGAATGCACATTGTGCATGGCATACCGGCATATGACCAAGATGGCAGACTCATTGCACCGGAGGACTACATGTCCAAACTGCATGGTACGACTGTGATGCTGACAATGAACCGATCTCACATCGCCTTCCAATCGAAGAAGGAAGATTTGGTATCTGCCGATATTGTCAAGATGTGCATAGTAGCTAACCAGTCTACTGCGCCGAGCCCCTTGAAGCATGGGAAGCTGGCACTGCATGACAGCAAAGGTGAAGAGGAGCAGAGCTATGGAGGCCCGGAACTATATGCTGATAAGCGAGCATCCCGATCTCAAAGGTTCGTGTTCCGTGTGATTGATAGTTGATCTTATCATATTCAGATTTCTCAGACCCCAAACACCGCCTGCTCATGCATTCAAGGATCATGTATGCTACGGTACAAGCTCAAGCAACTTTGGAGCAAGGGCGTCTGTAGTTAAGTATATACATGCTGTAACATGTAACCATTCCCCTGAAACGCTTCGCACATGTTTCTACCCACAAAAAACGCGATATGACCATCGGGGACAGACACAATTCGACGCAGGGCTGATGCGATCAACAATCAAATCCCTCATGCTCTCTTCCCTTTTGCTGTCGTTCTGCTTGACCCTAGACTCTGTGAGCTCGGGATTAGCCATCCTCTGACACTTCAAGACATTAGCGTTCTAGTTCTGGATGTGCTTGGGCCGTGCTATAGCTCAAATTTCCACTTTGGCTGCTCTATTTCTCTCCGCCTCGACAACTCCCCTTGGTGTTGACGTCGAGCCCGCGTTGCACCCGGATGACGGTCAGAGACAGGGAGAAAACTCCCGAATCAATATACAAACAAATGTACAAACATTGATGGACCCTATCTTAACAGTCCCCCTCGTGCAAATGACCGCTGCGTCTGAGCACGACCCACAAATCTGAAATTTCGTCACTTGAATTCCAGGCCTTGGCCTTTCGCGTATCCATATCGCGCCAGCCACCCGTAAGCCATGACGGTTTCCCTTTTTGAGTGCCCACTCCCACATGCGTGATTCCGCCTTGCCGCTCCGTCGAGTCCCCCTGATAGCTCTCCGAATCGCCTTCGTCCGGCTGAGCTTGGTCCGACCCGTGTTGCAGCGCCCTGCGTTCGGCTCTGTGATCCAGCCGCCGGCCGTACCTGTCGCACTCTGTGACTCTCCACATCTCATGTGTCTGCTCCCTCCCCCTGCCCCTGCGTGACAATTCACATTGGGAGCATCTCCAATGCTACGTCCCACTCTCGCACCGTCCGCACATCCTCGGGCCCGCCCTGGTCCCTTGTCACCCCTATAGTCCCCCTCACCCAGATGACCGTTGCGTCTCTGAGTGACATCTGTCGACATTGGGTGAGGAGTTGTATGTGTGGGAGGGAGGGAGGGAGGGAATCGATATCTTGTGCCTGCAGCGAGTGCCTGTATTCGGGAAATGGAGTGGGGGATTTTTGAAAAGCAAGATGTGGTGGATTAGGGTGATATTGACAGGGAGTCGTCCTGCCCAACGCCGGGCCTGTGTTCGCGAGCGGGCCGCAACGATGTCAGAGCGGGTGAATCCCGCAAGTCTGACTGCGAATCTGTTGACGTTGAGCCCGCGTCGCACCCGGATGACGGTCAGAGACAGGGAGAAAACTCCCAAATCAATATACAAACAAATGTACAAACATTGATGGACCCTATCTTAACACTTGGCCCTATTTCCCCAACTGGCAGTCGCTTTGTGCTGCGCTCATCATCCCTGCTGACGTACTGACTGTTTTACATTTAATTCAATACTGGTCTTATCTCTAGACTCATTTTGTAAAAGCTCTATGTTCTGTACTCAAAATCAGCATTCTTTTTTCATTTTGGCATCTCTGAGCTCACTGCTGCCTCGATCTTGCTCCGGCTAGGGTATTCAACCCTTTACATTGTCTCACATCGTCTCGAAAAAGTAATTCTTTGAATTATAGAAATTGATGCACTTCGAGTCCAAATACCCCAGTAACTCTATTATCGGTCAAACAATATCCGATAAAATTGAATTACTGAGTGACATTCAGAACCTTTGGATCTCTAGGAACGCAAAGACATTATAGACACCTGTACTGCTAGCCCGATTTTTTTTCCTCTTGAAAAACACTTCCTTTTAATGAGAGGAGTGATCTCTCAAGAGGGATTGCCCATAGCTGTCCAACTGAGTGAGTAATGGGATTTTGACATCCCCCAATTTGGCGTAGCCTACAAAAACAAATGTATCATATATTGAAAGCCCTTGCGGCGCATTCTGAGATCCACCGGTGCAATTTGTATTTGGTCGAGTTGAATTTTCGCACCTCAAACTGCAAGTCCCCGTGTCTCCAATCCACACTGCTATGTGTCCATCCACTGTATCATATGGTGCTCCCGGTGTCTGGTCATCTGCCAAGCCGGAAATAAGTGCCTTTGAAATATTCTCCTTCAGAGTGTCGTGCTCAGAGACCCAGATGTAATAGTCAAAATTTTGGTTTTGCCTGACCCGATTTGCACGCTAGTGCACTTTTGATGGTGACTAAGCTGCGCGCACCATAGTGGATTCAAGTAAAAGGCAATATATCCCTTATAGCAGGAGGCACTCTGCTTTTATACTATCTAGCTACTGTTTTGGTTTCATTGAGAAATGGATTTCTGATGCGTTTCAGTACTGCGAAATGTGCAAGATTTTTAGCATCACAAATGATGCGCTATTGATGAGTCATTGGGATCCATCCCGATAGCGGCTGCTTCACAGCGTGTTAATTAATCCAAAATTTACTTATTTCAAATGGTGTCAGGCCCTTTTGTACGCCGTGGAAGAGAAATGGCACTTCACAGATTTTGTGTCTGCCTAGCGAGGCTTATGGGGTCTCAGAAGCAGTCAATCAGATCAGCATCAACGGCCGAAACAATATCAATGATACGGAGGCCCGCCTATCAGCATATAGTTCCGGGCCTCCATACAGAGCCCAACTAAGAAGAGGTGCTCAGTTTATGGTGCCTGGTAAGTATTTGTCTACCGCCTGTAAAGTCCAAAAAAATTGGTTTGATCTGTCTGAGAGGCAAGGCATGTCTGCCGACGCAGTCGGCGCTTCCTAGTCGGATGCCTGAGTATGTCACTCAATCAATGATAGACATGATGTCATCATTGGGTCTTCCAACATCCCACCCCAACATCAACGGATTTCGCTAAATCTTCCACAATTTGCTGTGAGTGACACCGTCCAGAAAGAGTGTGTATAAGGTCACAGACATGCACCCATGGCTCTGGCTGACGATCTAGGATATGTCTGCTGACATTTCAGCAGCTGCTGACCTCAGTCGGTTAAAATTTCATTCAAAGGAAGTATGATGCATGGGGACATAACGGGCAGCTGAATCGCCGAACCAGAGGTGCGAACCAATTCGAACCACCCCGGCAACCCTGCCTGCTGCGTCTTAATTTCTGTTTGAGACAGAACGCTCATGAGAAGCCTGAGGGGTCTGGAGTACACGAGCGGAGCTTCTCATCGCCGATGAGACGTAAAAAGCACCCCAAATCCTTTGAAGAAGTGCCATCTATGAGTACAAATACTCGGCGATGCTTCATCCCGACATTCTCATCTGGTCGCTCTCATCTGACTCCATGCTCGCGACGGTTATTCCGCTCTCGCTCTTGAGCGCGACTGCCTTGGCCTCCTCATCCATCCCACCGGCTCCGTTCTTCGCTCCCCTTGTCGCACAGTCTCCTCGAATTGGTGGTGCTGTATATGACACCAAGTATCTCATGAACATCGGTGTGGGTGGACAGGGTTTCATCGCCATCCTTGATCTCGGAAGGTCTGTTGTCTTTCCCCTCCATGCGCGCCAGGAGCCACGCTGATTCTTTTTCCAGCTCTGATGTGTGGGTCCCGTCGAAAGGCTTCCAATGCCTGAATCACACATCGGGGGCCGCCATCCCACGAACGGCCTGCGCTTTCGGCAGCACCGGTTTCAACGCCAGTGCATCCAGTACGTTCAAAGCGGGGCCTCCCCACACCGAGTTTGCGACTTCCTTCCCAAACAGCGATTACGTCGTGCGTGAATCCCCCAGTTGCGTTTAACACAGCCAAGTGAGCGATGCTCCTAGTCCGGCTCTGCGGCTTTCGATACCGTGATCTTTGGGGGACTGTCCAGTGAGCTTGGGAGAACACTTGCGGGTCGGCTCGTCCACTCACCGCGATTCTAAGTTCCCCAGCAAGAGTTTGGCCTGGTTTCGTCTGCCGCCTGGACAGGTGATGGTGTCAGCGCTGGGATCCTTGGCTTTGGATTCCCAGGGGGAACGAGTGTCTTCAACACTACGACGTCTACTTGGACGCGTCTGACCTACAATCCTCCCCTGTTTTCCGCGATCGCCCAAAAAAAGCTGCCGCATCCTTGTGAGTGGCATTCCTCGCGCTGCCATTCCGCCTGATCGCCCCTCAGCCTTCTCGATTGCACTGAACCGTCCGAGTTCCAACTCGAGTGGCTATATCGCGTTCGGAGGGATTCCCCCGGTTCCAGTCACGAACACTTCGGTCCAGGTTCCCTTGTACGGCTACTCCGAGGCATCTGGACCCACCCCGATCCACGGCGCCAAGGCCACATACACCGGGTATATGATTATCGTCCAACGATTCGATTTCACACACACCCCGGTAACAGACAACGAATCTTTCACTTACGTCATCCAGAACGGGGCTGCGGCGAGCACCTTCCCGAGTAACGTTGCTAGCGCGTATAATGCGCTGTATGGAAACAATGCCTCGCGCGGCGATGATGGGCTATATTTAGTGCAGTGCACCGCCCAGCCCCCTGCGTTCGCCCTCGTCTTGGGCGGAACAAGCTTTGCGTTGGACCCCAAAGACTTGATCGTGAAAATCGGAACCGACGGCTTTGGGAGGGACGTCTGCATATCTGCGATTCAGGACGGCGGGTCGGGCGAGATTCGGGGCAGTACATTCACTTTGTGCGTGCCCGTCGTTTGCCCTTGTTGCCATGTCTGATTCGGTGCAGGGGCGATGCTCTCCTGCGGAGCGTGCTGGCCACTTTCGATGTGGCAAATTATGAACTCACTTTGACCCAAAGACAGCCTTATTGAACCAACCATTTATACTTGACCCAGTCCGTCGAGCCCTTCCCGACGGTTCCAGCGCTGAAATTTACTCTCCAGCGTCGTCAGGAATTCTGATGTCGGGAACCATGAGCTTATTCGAACCGAAAAGAGTCGTATTGAATAGTCAATGTGTACAATCCAAGAGACAACAGTGACCGCATTTAGCAGATACTTGCGCGGGCGTTGCCGAGGACTGAGATGCCTACCAGAGCAAAGGCCGCCTCGGCGTCGGGAAAACAACGGCGCCGAATAGCCGTCCCATTGTTCGGCGGTAGCACGAGGTAGGACCCCTGGGACTCACGAGCGCTTTCCGAGTGGGCGGACTGACAGGCGGGGTTGGGTCGCCTGGAAAGTCGACCGAGTTCCGGCAGTCATCAGGAAGCAGAGGCTGGGGCGCTGATACCGACGTCGCGGTATCCATGATGTAGATGATGCCAGTGCGCGATACGGGGGTTCTTGGCCTACGCTGCAGTGCTGGAACAGTTTCAGAAGCCGGGCGGACAGTGAGAGATGACAGATGTGGCTCGACGGGGCATGATGAACAACCGCAAATGCATACGGTGCAGCACAAGGCGGTGTGCAAAGTTAGATCCATTTGTGGATCAACCCGAACGCGAGAAGTTGCGTCAGCCCGTGATGCGAGGA